AACCAAACTCGTATCGAGGAGTGATATTATGCATTTCAAAGTACTTGTAGTCAAGATACACGCCCTCCGTAAAGTTGGACTGTGGAAACTTCTGGAATTTGCCGGCGGGTTCGTCGGGGCTGAGCAAATGACTATAGTCTGATTCCTTTCTGGCCACGGTATAACTGAGCTTGCCTGAAAAGCCGGCTTCTCCGTAGAGTAACCTGACGAGGCTGGTTCCACTATCTCGGCCTGGTAAATGAGCAAAAATAATTGCTGTTACGTTGGGATGGTCGACGAAGCTCTCGACGATCCTTGGCCCGGCATTGTGAAGCACCACAACAGTCTTGTTGCATTGATCAGCCACTGTTTTGACGAGTGAGTCAGTAAAGTTGTCGTGGAGACTGGGACGATCGTATCCCTCCGACGCCCATGCATTCCCAAATACAATGCACGTATCTGTGCTGGGAACGACCACAGGCTCTGGCATTCCAAAGTCGTGGAATATAGCAGTGTCGTCTTGAGCGGCTCTCATCGAAATGGCGTCATACGGCGCAACAAAAACAGCAGGAGTTCCCGCACCGGATCCTCCTCCACCCATGATAGTGCCGTTGACAGCAATATTGGGATATTTGGCTTGCTGCCCGCCGAGCTGGCTTGACAGGACGTCGTCAATACTGACTGACGTCAATCCAAATCGCCACAAGTTGATCAAGAGGTCACCAGGTCCGGGAGAGAGAGAGTCAGCAGATCGTGCTGAATATCCAAACAGCGAGAGCATTCGAGGGGACTTCAAGGGGAGCGTATTCTTGGTATTCTTGACGAGAACGTGTCCTTCAATGGCTCCATCTAAAAGCACAGGCCGATCATTGTGATCGCGACCCTCGATGGTCTCATGTGGTTGTCGAACATCCAGAGGCATACCAATGCCGGGCTTGTCGAATATGGCATCCTGACCAAACTGGTACCATGTGGTTAAGATCCTAATATGCAATCGGTTAGTTGTTAATCAACCAAGACCTTGAAAAAAAAAAGAGGTACCTAGTTGCCATGTCTGTGACTCGGGACTCTGGGACAGAGCCGTTCTTGACAGCTTTCACAAGATGATCTCCCCAAAAGCCATCTCCGCTTGGCATAACCATATCCATTCCTGCAAGAGCTGTAGCAACCCCAGCATGTTGAGCACCCCAATCGGACATGACGAAACCCTGTATCATTCTGAGTGCTGTGTCCTAAACACATGTATTGATCCGAGTCTACTCACCTGGAAACCAAGCTCTGTCTTGAGAAGACCATTGAGAGTTTTGCTGTTGGCACAGCCATATGAGTTGTTGATTCGCTGATAGGAGCACATAATGTTGCCTGTTCCAGCTCTTACGCCGTCTTGGAATGGCCTTGTCTAAGGATTTAGTGACATGATACCAGTTTCATGGGTTTGGACTATACAGGCCAATGAACACATACCAGAGATAAACTTCGTGCATGGTTTTGTCATCGACATTTGATGATACAGCTTCAACTTCCCCGCTGGGATTTCTGTTCAGCTCTTGTTCGTTGGCAATGTAATGCTAGCGATATGATCAGTAAGGAAACCCTTTTCGCCTTCAAATTCTTTATTCTGTACTTTGAGGCTAGTCTGAACCCCTCGACTCTGGACGCCTTGGATAGTCTGAGCCACCAAAGAGCCAGACAGATACGGGTCTGCTGAAAATCCTTCCCAGTTCCTCCCGCCTCGAACGACTCTCCAAGCTGGCCCAACCATTGGGCCTAGAAGAACGTTGACGCCTTTCCTTCTGAACTCACCGCCCATGGCGGCACCACGTCTTCGTGCCAGGTCTTTGTTCCAACTGCAAGAACATTGTCAGCATAGTTCAAAGCTTGGGGGATCCTCTTTCCAACACGCAGGCATCCGGAGTGCGCACCTCGTTCCGACGTGAATACCGGCAGGATAAGCATTGACAAAATCGGTATTTCGAAGACCATTGCCAGCATCGCTGACACACATTCCGGGAAAGTTCAGTCGTTTGTTGGGATAGATGCTACCAGAGCAACCCGTTCTTAGATCGACGCCCCCGGTAACATTTACCTAATATACCAACTTGGTCAGCAAGCGGTATTTCATCACGGGGGGGGCATGCGTGGTTAGCACCTTTTCCTCTAATGTCATTTGGGAAACCAGTGCCTTGGCCTTTTGATAAGCGGCTGCCCATTGCGAGCCGCCCGTCATTTCCGCTATTTCATATTCCATCCATTAGCCCGACACCCGAATTCCTCCAATGTCACAAAGACTCCGAGCCCTTTCCCGAAGGAAAACTCACGGGATGGATAAATAGGCGGCGATTGGCCGTAGAAATAGGCATCGTTTGTAATTGTGCCATTTCCAGCAGTCGTAGAAGCTGCCACAGTACTTGACGAACCGCTCTGCCATGCTGCCAGTCCAGCAAGGCTTGAAAGCACAAGTTGCTGTGTTGTGACCATGGTGCTCGATGTAATGAGAGCGAACGATGAGCCGCCCGTCCGACCAGGTATATATATGCTCCAACCCAGTACAATAAACAGAATGAACGCGAGAAATGCGATTCCAAAAAGAACGGTGGGGGGAGGTCGTTCGGTAAGTCCAAATTACCAGGCGGGAAATAAACAGACGCATGGGACAAGACAAAGCTCTTTATAAGCTTGTCAATCAACACTAGCCCAAGACACAACACCCGGGGAGCTCACACTCCTTGCCCAATCAACCCCTCTAGACAGCTAGGACAGTAACACTCGCCAGCTATCATTCAAGCAGTGGAGACAAAAAGGAAGGAACCAGCTATGCGACGGACGGCAAAATGCATGTCTTATCGGCCCGGTCATATCGACGGCTTCTACGTCAACGATGTGACGGTGGACGGCCAAACCCAGCATCAAGGCCAGCAGCGCCGTACGAAAACAGCAGAAGACAGAAGACCCGGACCCGTGGTGTCACCAGATTGATAGCGCGGGGAAACGCACGGCAGCTGCACGATCCCACGCAAATCCACTTGCGCGGGGAACAGGGATCGGGTCCGGCTTTTTGCAATGTGGGGGTTGAAGAAAGGCCTAGCGCCAGGTCCAAGAATATCGATGAGCTCTGCAAGGACTGTTGATGAATAATGAAGGGGCAAGATAACGCCTTGTCTGGGAGTAATTTATCCTGGCTGAGAAAGGCCAGAACCCAGTTATAGTAAAATAGAAGCAAAAGGATACAGCACCGAGCCCAATCAAGAAAAAGCAGAAGGGCAACATACGATCTACTCGCAACATTGTATTCGGAGGAGGCACGACCGTCCCGGGAGAGCAAGCGCCTGCCTACCTACCCTAGGTACATACGAAGTAGGTGGGTATGTGGCTACACAGCGCCTTCCCTAATCCTGCCCAAAGGTCCACGGGTCCTTCCTCGTGGCAGCGAGGTCACTGGTGCTTTTGGTCCATCCAGCGACGACGATGACAACTAGTTGACCAGTTGAGCCTAAGTAGTGTCCTGGACCTGGGCAGTTCCCCGTCGAGCGAAGCCAATCCGAGCGAGTACTCCTTGCGCCAACCGAACTTGGCTGCATGACGCGGTAGAACATCGGGACACTGTAGATTCTAAATGGATTGGTGACGCAGACCATCAGTATGCGTGTTTACCCTTTTTATTCTGTTGTATTCCCTCTGGGACCTGGTGGCTCAACACCAACAGGTTGGAAGGGGAAAAAGGGGCGCGGCCGTCGGTAAACGGAATGGCGACAACTCGCCTCCCGTCGGAACACAACTTGTCCTAGAAGAAAGCCAACTGGGATGATTGGCCTGGCCACAGCATCAATTGATGCCGATACATGATAAATACAGCAAGGAAATGGAGCCAAGGCCGTCTTCCCCCCCAGTTCGCTGTCGAGTTGACAAGCCATCGGCCCTATTCAGAAGCTAGGTCAACAGGCGAACCAAGTCTGAAGCCATCACTACGCGCTTCTCCAATCCGTAAGTGGCAGTCTTTTGCGACAGACAGGGCATTCGAGGCCGTGTTTCATTTTAAAAAAAAAACTGCCCCGAGGGTTATGCAGACGATATGTGAGAAACGGTTGGGGCTAGAGAATTGGTGCAAGATGAGAATCATGGAGCTGAACCGAGGCACAGATCAACCAGTGGTCTTCACTGCTGCTACTTTTTCTTTTTTTTCGACATGGGAAGGCGAGTCCGTAGACTGTCAATTTCATTACATTTCCACCCCATCTTTTATGTACCATCATTGTATCATATCCCTCCGTCGACTGTTATGGTATACTCTCCCATGACCCACTGAAATTTCCTGGCCAGCAACAAATATCCCAAGCGTAACAAGACAACAGGTATCTGGGTATCAATGAGTCGCGTCTCCGCTCGTTCTCTTTTTGGCGCGGAACCCTTTTACCGCCCAAGACGTCCTTTTCCGCGGGGGGATGACAGCGCACTCTGCCGGTGAGCAATACCGCCTCTGCGCTTCGCCAAATGCTGGAACTGGCAGACAAATACAATGCCACGCGTGTCCCGGTGGTGCCCTAGTTATTGATGGTATTCGTTGTGACCGTTTCGAAGCTGCTAGAAGCGGCAGATTGATAAGTCTGTTCGCCTGGTTATTCGCGACGATCCCTCACTGTCTGTCTGTCTTGCTGCTCGCCCCGCGACCCTCAATGATGCAAATGATCAAAAGAAATAAATGTCGAATAGTACCGGCCGTAATCCATGTATTCATACAAACTTGGGGGAAAATAAAGACGTAGAAAATGAACTTTGCCACCGTCGTTGTTTGTTGATCGTTCATTCAAAGTGACTATTATGTCCTCGCGCAACGAGCCGGGAAGGGTCAAATTTTGCAGAGTTTTGCCAACCCCAAGGACGTTCGTTTGGGAAAAGTGAGCCCTACCCCTTTTTTTCTGATAAAAAGAGCAAAATGGCCGGACGAGTCTGAGTTTGGTCCTGCATTGGTAAGAAAATGAAATCATGTAAATGATTGATGAGATAAAGGGTTGGCGCTGTCATTGTCACAATATCAATTGCTTCAGATTACGTTGAATAATCATGTCTTGCACGGAGCCCATGGTAATCTTGAGCAAATTGGTGTCGGTGGCATTGGTGAAATGGCCGTAGATTTCCTTCTCAGGGTTTCGACTGAGGGCTCGGAATTTATCCAAAAAGTATTTGCTCGCGGCCTTGTAGTCATCCTCAGGGCCGTGGTAGTCGGTAAATCCATATTTGCTGATGGGGCTCTTTGGTAACTTCTCCTTGAACAAGTCCATCTTGTTCAGGAAGAGGATCATGGCTGACTTGGTGAACCAATGAGAGTTGGCAATGGATTCCCATAGCATCAATGCTTCATTCATTTGATTCTGTGAGTCTGGTTAGTATACAACCGTCTGTGGTGAAACAGTCGTGCATTTTGAGAAGGAGGGGGAGAGGTTGGAAGAATCTGCCGTACACCGTCCTTGTCTTCTACGAGACACTGGTCGTAGCCACTGATGGCGACCAAGAAAAGCAGGCAATGGACATTCTCGAAGCAATGAATCCATTTCTTCCGCTCTGATCGCTGACCACCGACGTCGAACATTCGATACGTTAACTGACCGAGATCAAAGACACTTTCAGTAATGCCTGTGGTTCTGAGTCGTGAGCGAAGAAGATCCTGATCGTTTGGTACGTATCCATCGCCCCATATGCGATCCATGTCATCGATAAAACTGGTTCATCTTGTCAGCGATGCCATTTGGTCATGGCCGTCGGTTGAGTCAAATGGCAACGTACTAGGCCAAGTTGTCGTGCAGCGCATATTCGTTGCCTTTGGCAATTGCCTTTTTCACTCCACCGTCCTTCCATAAGGCCTTGATGGGTCCCAAATAATCTTGTGGAAGCTTGTCCTCTGGACTGATTTCATGTTCTACAAGAATATGAGCCATGTGTTTCTGTCAAACCCATGTTAGCTGTCAGCGCAAAGATACTTGTCACATGCAACTATCCCTTCTTCTTTTGGCCGGATCGCCGGTGACAGTCGCGCAGAGCGAAATCTGATGAGCAATGGCATACCTCATTGTCTGGGTTGTCAAAGTGATAATTCAACTCGGTCATGGCTTCAGATATCGTGCGGAACGACTGAATGATGTTGCTGAAGACGACGGGTTTCCACTCCAAGCGTTCATTCTTGTTGAAACCTTGCGAGTATATGAGCTTCATCTGCTTCAAGATGGTCGATTTCCCAGACTCTCCAGCGCCTACAAGTTGCACATGATTAGCACAAGAGTCAGTCTGGGCGGCACGGCAAGGTGTGTTGCACGACCAAGTATGGGATGCCAGAGACTATCGCGGCTACGTGCCAACCACTGGTCTGCTGTGTCATGTCATGCATGGGCCGCGGTGCTTACCTAGAAGCAGCAGCTTGACTTCTTTCTGCATGCGCTTCTCGTCTTGGCGGATCATGCGGTCGAGTTCGCGTGAGCGAGCTGCCTCGCCATTGTTCTTATCCCGCCCCCCGAAACACATGATGACTGAGAATGGGAGAATGCAAATGCAAATTGCTCAAGACCACGGGGGAATAGAGACTTGATCTGGCCGACAATCGCGGGAAGAGAAGGATCGGAGGCTTGAAGACGGAGATTGGGGAGCTGTCTGCAAGCTGCCCGTAATAAGCTGCCCGCGAGCTGTTCAATTTGGTGGCGGGGGCAGCAGCTTGAGCACTTGGGCACGCAGTTGGCAATGAAGCTCAAACCAACCCAACAGCTTCGGCGGCCAGGGTGCAGAGTCCAGTCCAGACGTTGTACGGCGACGAAGCCGGGATCTCCCTCCCCTTGTCTCTTGGATTGAAGAGTATTCGTCACTCCAGCACGGACGTTCGACGGCGACAAGAAAGTTGCGCAGAGGAGGTTATAACGGCCACGCACGGCGGATGAGAAGGAATGCCGCAAAGTTAGACTGCCCAGGAGATCCAAGGGAGCTAGCTAGCCCAGCCGTTTAGAGAAGGGACCAAGTGAGACAGCACGAATCCCGGACCAGAACCCTTGGCCTGGTGGCTGATGGCTGATGGCTGATGGCAGATGGCTAACGGTCGCGAGAACAGCCTGGTCGACAGCTCAGAGAAGAGAAAAAGGCGGCGGGAAGCAGACGAAAAAGAAACAATGATTACCCTCCCCAGAAAACTCGGCAAGGGCAGGGAACGTGGCAGAGACTGCTTCTGGGACTCTTGTTATTTTTTTTCATGTCCCTTATAGCATGTCTCGTCCTGTCTTCGGTGCTGCTGCTGCCAGGCTGCTGCTGCAGTACTAGTACTACGAGCAAGGGTAGCAGTCGTCTGGTAGTCTAAGCAGGCAGCGGACATGGGACAGAACATGGGATAGAACATGGGACAGAACATGGGACAGAAGAACATGGGGACATGGATGGCTACAGGGGTGGGTTTGGTCGACCATGGGTGAGTGGACTCGACGAGGCTTACCGCACCACATACACATGTACGGAGTAGAGTAGTACGGAGTACTCTGTACGCAGCTTATGACATGCCTACCAAATAATGGTGTTGCAGCGAGTGGCACGGTCTGACGGTGGTTGCAGCCAGGCTGCTTGACGTTGAGTACAGAGTGCCGACGATGGGATTTTCCACAGCGCAAGGTGCCCGACGCCCGACATACATGTGCATGTTCCTCTTCATGCTCATGTGCTTATTGCGCACTATTTCTCTGGGATGCTCCCAAGACTTCGAAATGCATCTTGCGGCAAGGCAGTCTTTGAGGGGATGGGTGAGCATCAGAGTCTTGAGGGGTAGAGTGACATTTGATGGCTTTGCTTACTGACGACGCCTTGTTATTGGTGAGGCACCCATTTGTTCGTCGGGCCGGCTTAAAAGATTCGAATAACAAGGCAATTTGGTGGACCATTCATTGGACAACTGATGATGACCGTTTTCGGTCGTCGTCTGTCCCCATGGTGAGGCTCGACATCTTGTTCAAGGTGCCGGGAGCATTGACGAAGCTGCTGAGCTCCGTGGTGGCTGCGACAAACCGCTACATCCTGAGCAGCCGTTCTGCATGTGCGCGCTCTCGTTCCACAGAAATCTTCTTTCCGGCGATGGAGTGCTAGGCAAGAATAGGCGCCTACAATCGCAGGTCGTATTTGAAAACAAATATCTCGCCTTCCAGTTTCGGAGAAGCCCTGCAAATGCCCGGCGCATACATACTACGCAGAGGAATGTTCATATGCTTCTGTCTGTCTGTCGTCTTCCGCCCCCAAACGAACAGGTCGAGATGGTGGCCAACAGAAACCCCTGTCGGCTCTGTTGAGGTGTTGGCAACCACGAATTCACCATCTACTAGCAGTGACAAACTGCTGCACTGCAAAAAACCCTGCTGGCCGCCGTGGGGCGTCGCTTTTGAGGCTTCCCACACAGCAAAGAGATGGGATGGCACACCGAAACCCGCCACATGTCAGCAGTAGCTCGGTAGAGTTGATCCCGGCTCATGCTCTTCGAATGCTTGTCTCGTGGTTGGGACCCGGGTTTCTGTTCCAGATAGGTAGTACTACTACGGAGTAGTTATTTGTTGGCAGTAATCGGTGTATGTACTGCGGCAAACGCCAAGACAGTGGAATAAGCAAATGCTCCTTCGAAATGATCGCTGGGCCTGTCTCTGTAGCCCATGCCATGTCTGGCGACCGCAGAGACATGTCGAGGACAATCACTTGGCATCAAGTCCTGTTGTTCCAATCGTCTTCCGTGGTAGTAATACTACTCCGTATCCGTATGTATGGCCCTTTGCAACATACTTCGGCACTACTCCGTGTGCTCAACGTGTTTGGGCTGGTTGCCACAGCTTGGCTGGCCATGGCACCAGTGACGGCACCAGATGGAGCAAACTGAAGAGGTCCTTCGAACGTCGGCGCACCTCCATAGCACTGGTAAGGCGTAATTGCGAAAAGACAGCCGTGGAGTACTCTGTACATCGCCTTAGCCTGTTTACCGCCGTTGCCATGTTGCTTCTAGAAATGAGTACGAATGCCTTGTCCTTGTTTATTAAGCAACATAAGGGGCATGGCATGGGACGGTTTCTCACTCCTGGTCAAAACCTAGTCCCAGTTTGTGGTATCGGGTCGGGCCCCCGGCTGCGACCCATCGCTGACAACATACATAAATAAGCAAAGAGTCTCAACTCCAATCATGGTGTTGTACAGGATGACTGGGCGAGGTGCCAACTGGAACGATGTGGAAGCGGAGGAGCCCTGCCCGAGACAAAAAGATGGGTGATTGTGCTGTCGGGGGTTGGTGAAGTGACACTCGGACTGACGATGCTCATTGTCCGTAGGTCCAGCATGAATTCCTTCCTTCTCAAACCCAGAGCAAAAGCTAGTGTGCTTCTTTAAAACCTGGCGCAGCTAATTGTTCGTGATGGCGAAAAAGTATATCAACACGTGCCTAGCCGACTCAAAGAGGGTAATTCGCAAATACTGATCTGATGCTTAAACTGATGCCAGTCTTCCCCTACAGGGCAAAGTCAATCCGAATCTGCACAGCTAATGGCTGAAAATGTACGGAGTACAGCCAAGTGCAGACGTCGGTAGTACGTGCTGTTGGGCCCCTCAGTGGCCATAGGATCCACGTTTGCGAGTGACGAACTGAGCTTCCGAATTCATGCCCGCATATTATTGAGTTGAAGTGACATGCCAAAGATCCTAATGTGACTCGTACAGTCGTGAAAGCTTATGCAGGGAGTGCCCAGTACATCAATAATTTAATGCCTGGCTTAATGCCAGGTTTGCAGAGCTTGGCGCATAGTCCGATGTTCTCTTGACGTGGATTTGCTTTCGCCTATGGACTGAGTTGCTTCTTTGAGGCCATCCCCTCGCTAAAGTGTCAGGTTTCACTAGGCCTCACTCAGCAATGAACCCGGAATTAGAGGAGTGGGTTGTTCCCCACGAAAGGGGAGCGGAGTACTACTAACGACGATTGTAATACAATGCAGTAAACCGAATTAACTGTCTTTTAACAGGGAGGAGTTCATGGCCAACCTTTATGCTGTCATGTGTTCCGCCGTAGTGTATGTAGGGTGTTCGTGCTTGGGGAGGAACGCCGCCTGATGGTCGTTTGACCGTTTCCAGAGACCTTCGGACATGCGCTAGAGGAATAAAGCAGGGCCCAGGGGTTCGCAGCAACCGAAAACAGCGACTCGTGGCCGTTGTCCTTGCGGGGAGGACAAGGCCAGGGGTGAGATGATGTTGGATATGTACACTAAACAAGATCCTGCGTGATGGACGCTGCCTTGGTGGGCGCGTGAAGCATCTTGGTAAAGTTGACCAATTTACCGTCCATGGCCGGATGGAGTCATGACCTGCGTCAAAGGCGAGGCTCTCGGGGGAGAGACTCGTCTCGTCAAGGAATACGGGCCCCGCGTCGTAACATGTGTTGTATTGTATGCATGAACAGGCGATGGGGTACATTAAACGTCAAATATTTGCGACTCGTCCGTGATTAATGGCACACAGCCATGTGGGTTCATGCGATGGCACGGTGAGTCCCACGCATTCCCAGGTCTGCTACAGAATATTAATAAAGTCAATACAACACAAGACGCATTGCAGATCGACAAGGCTGTAGTATTGTCTGTTTGCTGGCCCAGAGCATGGGGTACGGAGTAGGGTAGGTGCGCCACTGTCCGCCATCATGCTGGCCATGTCCATTGCTAGCCGGCTCCACGGGCCGTTCCACTTTGTCGTGGCGTGATTTGTGCTAAAGAAATTAGTGTGTGAATTATGTGGTAAGAGGATTTGAGGGAGGGCAAGGGAGAGCGCGATGGAAGATAAAGGGCTTCATCAAATGGGTTGAGTCCGACTCGGAGGGTGACAAGATTGACGGCTACGTACCGAGTGGACTGAGCGGAGCGGTTGAGGGTGTCCAAGATGTGGACGAGGAAGGAGCGACATTGAACCACGCCACGATGATGCCATCAATGTATTCGCATCAACAAGACAGCATGGGAGGGCCCTGTTGTCGCACTGGTTGGGATTCGGAAAATGGGAAATAACAGGTTTCAGAGGGTTTCCGGCAATCTCTTCTGCCCCAGGAACACAGATGCCCAAATACGTCATATCCGATGGCAAGCATTACGGTGTATTATTACAATGCAACACGGCTGGACAAAGTACCACTAGGCAGGCTTCAGGGACACATGCATGATCAACATGGTGTCCACCCTTGCGATAGCGCATCATGCTCTCAGATACAGAGTAGCAGAACGAGAATCCTCGGACCATTCACCACGTGGACAACCAACCCAAGAGGTTCATGCCATTTACAAACATGCTTCCCAACGTGCGCGCGCGCGTGTGTGTCTCAAGCAAGGTGGTTTCATCATACCCTATTGTATGTACAGCGGTGTACTAGTATATGTCAATAAGTACCGAGTGCTGCCCAAGGGCCCTTTACATTTATTTAGCCTTTGGATTCTGCGCCACCAGCCGTCAGCGACTAATAAGTGGACGAGCCACTCAAGAAGACCAGACTTGACCCAACCGAGCCGGGACATCAAGCTCTTAGCTTACCGCTTACCACCAGCAAGCACATTGATGTCAAGGTGACCGAGTTTAAACAAACGAAACACCGCATCCGCCAGAGTCCATGATATTGCCGCTCACCATCTCAAGCTGTGGGCGGGTATTCCCAACATGGTAATTTTTTGAGAACTAGTCCGTAAATATCAAGTTGACCAGACTTGATACGGAGTACGGATTGCCGAACGGCCCCTCAAGCACGGTGTAGCTTGCAGCCCCGCGGACGCCGCCGCCAAAATTTTTATCTTGCACCAGACCAGACAGACGACAGGCACCATGATTGACCCCACCATCGGCTTCTTCAGCCACCACTTGCAGACGGCATTGGGATGAAAAAGTTGCTCTTGTCCCAGCTTCAGCGATCCTTCACCTCTCCTCTCTTCGCGTCTTCAGCCTTCCTGATACCCCAATTCTGCACGCCGTATCCTATTTCTCGGTATTCCAACAAGTTTGTCAAGATGTCTGAGATTGTTCATCCCACCATTAAAGGTTTGTGCTTGTGCTACCTGGCACATTTTCCCCTCCACCAACAGTCTTGTCAACCCCGCGCTTGAGGTCACACCCGGCCGCCTCTTCAGAAAATGTGACGGCATTGCAACGAACCTCTTGACAGGTGGTTTGCTACCTGGGGGAAAGCAGAATTATGCGTGGGCCTATACAGCTCTCGAAACATCATCATGCGGCCTGTTGCTTGCTGAACCTCACATTTGCATGCTGGCAATGGCATCGTCGAGTCGTCGTGACTGTCGTGTCGGAACGCACCCAGGGTTGAAAGGACAACTTGACTGACACGGTTACAGATGGTTGGTTCCGAGAAATTTCGGACATGTGGCCTGGTATGAATAACGCCAACCCGCAAATGAGCTTCTTTATCACGAAACTTATACCTCTTGCCTAGGCCAGGCCATGACCCTCAAGGTTGACAAGGTCTTGCACCACGAGAAGAGCCAGTATCAGGATGTCCTCATCTTCAAGTCGACCGATTACGGCACTGTTCTGGTCTTGGACAATGTTATCCAGGCCACCGAGCGCGACGAGTTCTCCTACCAAGAGATGATCACCCACCTCGCCATGAACTCCCACCCCAACCCCAAGAAGGTCCTGGTCATTGGCGGTGGCGATGGCGGCGTTCTCCGTGAGGTTGTCAAGCACGACTGCGTCGAGGAGGCTACCCTGTGCGACATTGACGAGGTAAATGGCGAACTGCACTCCATCCCTAGAAACCCCGTCACCACTCTGGTGCTAACAAGGCCTCGAAAAGGCCGTTATCCGGCTTTCCAAGCAGTACCTCCCCAAGATGGCCGAAGGCTTCAAGCACCCCAAGTCCAAGGTCCACGTTGGCGACGGCTTCAAGTTCCTCGACGACTACAAAAACTGCTTCGATGTCATCATCACCGATTCCTCCGACCCCGAGGGCCCCGCCGAGAGCCTATTCAAGAAACCATACTTCCAGCTTCTCCATGATGCCTTGCGCGATGGCGGCGTCATTACTACCCAAGGTTGTATGTTCTCATTTTTTCTTGAGGAAAGTGTGAGGGTCCCTAGGAGTGGCAGAGGTTGATTAAAGGTTGATCAAGAGACCAGTTGCCTGGCAAGCTGCTAGACTCTCGGGTCTTTTTCTTCTCTTCAACTGGTACTCGAAAGACAAATAACGTACCGTCTATCCTAGGGACTTTCCAGAGGCTAGTGGCTGCTTTCCTCAGCTCTGCTCCGGGAAGTCCCGAGTAGCATGACACAATGTTATGCACCTGCTGTTACCGAGAGTCGACACGTTGTTGACTGACGTCTCAACACTCCTAAGATACCCGCCCAGATGCTGTGAAAGGACTTGTATTTTGCTGACTTGTACCGTTTTGTTGCACAGCCGAGAACCAGTGGCTTCACCTGCCCCTCATCACGCAGCTCAAAAAGGACTGCAAGGAGATATTCCCCGTTGCCGAATACGCTTACACCACCATCCCTACCTACCCCTCTGGACAGATTGGCTTCATGGTCTGCTGCAAAGATGCCAACCGCAATGTCCGCGTTCCTCTCCGCCAGTGGACTCCTGAGGAGGAGGAGGCCAAGTGCCGCTACTACAATGCTGAGATCCACAAGGCCAGCTTCATCCTGCCCACCTTTGCCAAGAAGGCTCTGGAGTAAGTGTTCGGTTTTGGATATAGATTTGAGACCAAGCATCTAAAAAGGGGAAAAAATGGACACGGCCCTCTCTGAGCGCAATGGTTCGATATGACGGCAAAATTGATGGGGTGAAACAACATAAAAAAGGGGTTTGGGAGCTTGATGGCGGCGGCGGCCTTTGGGACACAAGTCAACAGGAGTAATTACCCCGACACTTTGATCTTGGGTAGTCTGCGCAGAAATGTCTGCGAACACGAATAGAATAACGAATTTGACGTTTATTCCTCAACAATGTTGCCGTATTCATAAGATGGTGACAATTGGCGCCTACCTGTATTAGTCTCGTTCCATATATTCTACGCACTACCTACCGTAGACCCCGTGCATCTCCTCAACCCCAACCCCAACTCAATTGACATCACTCACTCACTCACTCGGGTCGTCAAACCCCACCCCCCGAAGCACTCACGTCGGCGTAAACGTCAAACCTCCTCTGCGAGCCCAGCGGAATATTTTTCCTCGCCTCGCCGAGCACGCCACCATCAAGCTCCGCCTCGACAATCGTCTCCGTCTCCTCAGCCTCCGCGACTACCGTCGCCATGGGATCGACAATCATGCTATGGCCCCAAGCGTTGTACGTGGCGCTCATGTCTCTGGCGGGACTACACATCGCCACGTAGATCTGGTTATCCACCGCCCTCCCCTGCGCCAGAAGCTTCCAATGCAGCGGGCCGGTGGTCAAGTTGAACGCCCCCGGGTAAATCAGCGCAAAGGCGCCCCTTCTCGCCGCAATCATGGCCAGCTCCGGGAACCGCACGTCGTAGCAGATGGCCACGGCCACGGTGCCGTACTCGGGCAAGTCGACCAGCGTGACCTTGTCCCCGGGGCTCAGGACGTCCGACTCGCGAAAGGTGATCTTGCCGGGGATGTCGATGTCGAAGAGGTGCACTTTTCGGTGGGAGCCCAGCAGGGCGCCGTCCGGGCCGAAGACCAGGCTCGTGTTGTAGTACTTTTTGGTGTCGGGGCTGAATTCGGGGATCGAGCCCCCGACGAGGTAGACCTTGTTGTCGGCGGCCATGGCGGACAGGGCGTGGTAGGACGGGGCCTGCTCGGGGGCTGGCGGCGACGGGAGCAGGGTCTCTGCGTAGTCGGGGAAGTACTGGCACCCGTAGGGCGAGTTGAAGCACTCTGGGAGAACGACAATGTTGGATCCTCGCGAGGCGGCGTGGGCGACCTGCGAGGCGGCGTGTTTTAGGTTGGCTGCTTTGTCGGTGCCCGAGGCGAGCTGGATGCAGGCCAGCTTGACGGGCTTTTTGAGCACGGATGACGACATTGTGCGGTGGCAATGGGTTTGAAGGAATGGCGATATGGACGGAATGGGGTTTGTTGAAAAGGTTGCTCCTATTCGGGTCAAGGTTTGGAGGTGTCGTCTCAGCGAGGGAGCTCGCATCACGTCTGGTTGGAAGTTGGAAGTTGGAGCTGGAGATTAACGTGGGGAGGGCCGTTGCGATTGCGGAGGGGCGGGTGGTGACGGGTTAGTGGGGGTTTTTGGTGGAAGCTCAGTTCTTGGTACAGTCCAGGTCGTCGGGCTAATTGTAGAAAACCAGACAGCTACATAGTACTTAGTATAACTCCATACGCCGTATTTACTGACGTAGGGTGACAGGTACCTAGTATGTAGCATTTGAAGGCCCAGAGGCGCTAGTCACCAGCTCTTTCCTGCAGAGCCAGAGCCCACGGGCACGCATCCAATCGTCGCACGCAAACCGCACCAGGCAGACATTACTCCGTGATCACGATATCGATAATCTGCCCCGACCGCCACGCAATCGCCGCCTGCAAACTTGCCTCTGTCAACGGCGTCTGCAACGCTCTCACCGTCCACAACACGCCGCAACCATGACTCGCGTCTACGTCTACTCATCGGCCCTGGTGGCCTTTGTAGCTGGTATGTCAATTATGCCTCCGTGACCTGTTTTCCTCGTCGGTGCATCTGCTGCCCCCCACACCCACGTGATCACACGATGACGTCGTTGAAGCAGCTCGGAAGCGGCGCGAGGGCAAAGAAGAACAAACGACCGTCTTCAAGCTTTCGAATCCACTGCATCAACTAATCATGATGATGGCCATGCTGAAACGGCAAGGAGGGTGAATTATACTGACGAAATGCAGCGACCGGCATGATTGTCGCATCCATCTTTATACCCAACTGGGTTTCCTACTCCGTCACAACACCCAAGGGCGACGTCGTCGAAAAGCACATTGGCCTGCATAAGACGTGCTCAAACCTCAACAGCCCGACATGCAGGGAGTTCCCCACGGCTGAGTTGTGCCAGGCGGGCGAGCGATACTTTTGCGACATGTGGAAGACGGTCGGATTCATGGCTTCACTGGCCGCCATAATGTGCCTGGCCAGTCTCGTCTCCTTCCTGGTCGTCATGAAGGGCGGCAAATACAAGCGCGAAACGGGCTGGCCGTTGGTCGCAAGCATGCTTACCCTGGTGTCGGTTGTAGAGTTTGCCGTTATTTCGATTGTGGTGAGTTCCACACTCTCTGTTTCCCTCTTTCCCCTTTTCAAGTCATCATGACAGATAGCTGAGACAGCATCTAGGCATACCTGTTTGACCATGACGAACAATTTACCATCCCGGGTTGGAATCTCGACGTGTCATGGTATATCAGCACTGTTAGCGCGACTATTGCTCTTCTTGCAGCTGCAGGGCTGGCCGTATCTGCGTATCTGTTGTCGCCTGAAGGAGGTTACGAGTTCCTGGAGGATCCGATCGATGCTTGAGCCATGAGACGTATGGATACTCACCACTAATATCAAGTATGCTTGCATTGCGAGCCTTGGCGAAGGAGTTGAGCTTTTTCCGTGTGTTTGTTCTCCGATGTACATATACTAGGGTATCGTGATTTGAAGGGGTGTCGAAGAAGGTGCCGTATTTTTCGCTGGAGTTTTCACCTGCCATGGTGCGGTTCGTTTGATACGACAATAATATATGAAAGACTGAGCACTACTTCCCATTCTGAGTGAAGCCGAAGTAGTGGATGGCCCCTCACAAGCGTGGTTCACACCACCTTGGTAGTGTACTTTGCACTCGCTGATGCAAAGATAGCAAAGATAGCATAACCCTACTGCGAGGAGCAATGAACGACGCACGTAGCCCATCTCGTCGGAGCTCCCCGTTTGCGTCCCGCTGCGGGGTGACATGCGCTGCGGACAGAACAAAAACGTGGGGTGAGAGATTGACACCATCACTTGAACCTCACCTGCCTTGCTTCGAGTGGGATAGGAATATATCCCACCACAATCATTGTCAAAAAACAACCCCTCTCCCCAGGACCACCCGGCTGGTTTCCAAACAACCCAGTGCAGCCACCACCATGACGGCCCCCGGCCTCACCGCGGAACAACTCGCATCCTTCCAGCAGAACGGCTACCTCATCATCCGCGACGCCCTCGCGCCGTCGACGGTCAAGTCCCTCCTCGACGAGACACACGCCCTCCTCACCAGCTTCTCCCTCAAGGACCACCCGCTCACGCGCTTCTCCACGGGCGAAACGACGGACCACGTCGGCGACGAGTACTTCCTCACGTCGGGCGACAAGATCCGCTTCTTCTTCGAGGAGGACGCCTTCGACGCCGCCGGCACCCTGACCAAGCCGCCGGCCAAGGCCATCAACAAGATCGGCCACGGCCTGCACGCCCTCTCCCGGCCCTTTGCTCGCCTCATCGACGACGGCCCTGCGCTCCGCCACGCCGGCGAGCTCAGCCCCGCCGACGTCGCCCGCTCCCTGGGCTACCGGGACCCCCGGTGCCTCCAGAGCATGGTCATCTGCAAGCAGCCCGAGATTGGGGCTGCCGTGCCGCCGCACCAGGACTCGACCTTTCTGTACACGGACCCCCCCAGCGCCACGGGCTTCTGGTACGCGCTCGAGGACGCGACCCTGGAGAACGGCTGCCTGAGCTTCCTGCCCGGGTCGCAGCGCTGGGCGCCCGTCGGGAAGAGACTGGTGCGGAAGGCGGGCGGCGTCGGCACCGAGATGGTCGACAACGAGGGGACGAGGTTTCCCGACGGGGGCGAGCACGGCCGGGAGCCGTCGGCCGGCGCGGAGGCGGGGGAGTATGTGCCCGGCGAGGTCAGGGCCGGCGACTTGGTCTTGATTCACGGCAACTTGTTGCACAAGAGTGAGAGGAATACCAGCTTGAAGGGGAGGATCATTTATACGTTTCACATCATCGAGGCCGAGGGGACCGAGTACGATGAGAGAAACTGGCTGCAGCCGCCAGAGGCGGGCTTTACGAAATTGTATTCATAGGGTGCGGCAGGAAGAACAGAAGAAAAAAAAAATATACGGCATGGTTGGCTTCCATGATTTGTGTTTTGTCAAGCTAGACATGGTGAGTTCCCTGAAACAACAGACGTATAATTGTAGACAAAGTCTAGTCTTCGCATTGCTGCTCTATACTGTTTTTTGTTTTCCCCTTCAAGCCCGCTAACCCCCCTCCCATACACAAACCTACTCGTCCACGCAACATTTGGGTATCTATCTATTGCCCTCCCGTGACAATTTGCAAATGCCAAAATGGTACAGTCTAAATTCCCTGCAAACGATTTTTGGTCTCATACATCCCGTGAGGGCTTTTGCATCTCATACATGATCTAATCGTCATTGTCTGCGCTGTCGTCATCCGAGTCCGACTCGTCGGCCGAAGAGGACGAAGAGGACGACGAGCTGCTGGATGATTCGTACCCGTCGTCTTCCTGGGCCACGGCCTCATCATCATCGTCCGAGTCCGAGGAGTCCGAGTCTTCAGAAGAGCTGCTGCTTGAGCCAGAGTCGCTGTCCGACTCTGATTCTGAACTGCTGCTGTCATCCGCGTTGATGCGTATTTTTCGTCGGCGCTTGGCTGTCCCGTCGTTCAGCTTCAGTTGCTTTGCGCCATCCGCCCTGTTCAATGTGTGGTTGTCATTGGTGGTGAAGGTGTTGTCTGAAGATTGCGTGGTCTGGCTGGTGTCCGTCTGCTCTCCGTCTGATAGCTCATCGAGGATGATTTCCGCTCGCAGTCGCTTGACGACGCGGCGGATAATGACATTTTCGGCCCCAGAAGATGCAACAAATTCAACTTCGTCATAGCCCTTTCGCTTTTTCCCGATATGCTGGCGGCTCAGGAAGTCGGACAATAGATTCATGTATGTTTCGTGTTTGGCATCGGCTTCCTTTGTGCCCTCTGGGAACCCCGAAGGGCCATCCGCAATGTCCTTTGCTTTTACTTCCATAGCAGTCTCTCGCAGCCTCGTCCGCACAAATCCTTTCAGGTCGCGTATATACTCATAGAAAGTGGCAATGTCTGCAGCAGGGATATCATCGGCGTTGAATACCCGGTCGATGAGAAGAGACTGGAAATTCTTGTTGAACTTCCAAGCCTCACGAGCTGTTTTCCACTGTTGGAGGTAATCAAGAGCGGGCTTGATGTCCTTGGGGGTGGCAGGCGGCGGCTTCTTGGTAGGGCCTTTGTTCTTCTTTGAGCTGGCAGGTTTGGGCTTGGTCGAGTCGGGTGTTGCGGACGCGGTTCCGTTCTTTGTCGGAGTGTGTCCAAATGTGACCTTTTTGGTTTCTTTCTTGAGACTTGTCTTGCTGTCGACACTCGGGGGAGACTGATCGTCCTTTCGAGCCTTTTTAATGGCGTGCGATGACTCCGTGGCCGGCGGGGCTTCGCTCTTTCTTTTGTTCGACTGGGCTTCACGCTTGGTGCTGCTTGGATGCCCAACCGACAGGGTGCCACCACTGGCAGCATCTGTTGCAGCGCTGGGCTGCTTGAGCTTGAGGCCCAATCGCTTCCAGGCTGGCACCTGCTGAGATGCTGTGCTCTGAGACGACGTCATTTTTGCTTGGGTCGAAATCTTGGAAATTTTCCCGTCGTGGTTGTGAAAGTGAGGCAAGCGGGTGGATTGGAGGCAGGCCGGAGAAAATTGGCACACAGACCTGCGGGATCGCAAACGCAGGCGGTCAGGTCTGCAGCACACGTTGCTCTGCTCAGAATTTTCTAGTAATGCCCAGTAAGGCGAGATCTTGACACCTCGTGGCTTTCCGATCCTGCCAGAATCTCTCTGGTGCCTCCCACACGCTGGGAGCTGATGTTGTTGCAATGCGGAAGCTGGCCTTGGGTGCGACACTGATGAGGTTGCAACTTTTTTCTGGGTCAGATCAAGACGGCCTCTGCCGACCCGTTTTGAAGACCTGGTACGGAGTCACTTGCGCCTTGGGTCTCTTGGTCCCCCTCTTGTTGTTTTGCGTGGCTGGGTGACGGCAGCACCTAAAACGTCTCTCGTCCACCCAAAACGGACCAGAAAATATAAACAGTATTACTTATAAATCCTGCCAGCGGCTCGCCATTGTTTCACACGTTTCCCACAACTTACAGAACAGCACTGCGTTGGGCAGCAAGTGTCGTTGCTGACTGCGGACGAGTGGAGTAGAGGGCAGTTTGACACGCACTCAGACTTGATCAATATTGAAGATTGATGGGACCTGAAGTCCCCACTGCGAGTCTGGGCCTAGTTTGGCTCGTCCTAGTGTCCCTTGCTGCCTCAGGCTTCAACTTGCAATCGGCCAAGGCATTCGCTTGGCCTCTGCCTGCGAGCTTCCGTTGCCTTGTGCGGCTCCAAGTGCTCTAGGCAAGCTCATGCTAACGTAACGCGTCCATATTACAATCGACAAGCTCCATCACCGCCATCACGCACCCAGCAGTCTATCCCTCCCATCCGACCTGCCACTCGCTCTGAGCCTCCTCCGAATACTCAATCAACATATCCAGTCGTCTCGCCCTGCGCAGGGCCTCTGATCATCCGCAATGTCTGGTTCGTTCTCCCACGCCGGAGCTTCAACGCCCTCTAGATAAAGAGCTGTGCAAAGACCTAACCTTGACTTGTAAACAGCCAGCGCCTATGACCGACACATTACCATCTTCTCCGACAATGGTCGACTATACCAAGTCGGTACGTTTCGCATCGAAAAACCCTCTTCACCAAACCCTGCCATTCAGCGTAGTCGACTCGTCGAATGACCTCGCTGACCTGTGTAGAATATGCCTTCAAGGCCATCACCGCAGCGAACATCATGTCAGTAGGCGTCCGAGGAAAGGATTGCGCTGTCGTGCTGTCGCAAAAGAAGGTGCCGGTAAGAGTCGAAGGCCTGTGTCGTGTCGTCATCAGCTGCAATATGCTAAAACAGCGTGGCAGGACAAGCTCATCGACCCCACGTCGGTCTCGCACATCTTCCAGATTTCTCCATCAGTCGGCTGCGTCATTACGGGCTCCATTGCCGACGCCAGGGCATTTGCCCAGAGAGCCCAGGGTGAGGCCGCTGAGTTCCGATACAAGTTTGGGTACGAGATGCCTGCCGATGTGCTTGCCAAGCGTTTGGCCAACATCAGCCAAGTATACACGCAGAGAGTGCGTATTCCAATGCTTCGGGTCCGAGTATCAATCTGTTTCTGACTTTGTATTGCAGGCATACATGCGTCCCTACGGTGTTGCTACAACCATCATTTCCCTCGATTCCGAGTTTGGCCCTCAGCTCTACAAGTGCGATCCTGCCGGATATTACATTGGATACAAGGGCACCGCAGCTGGTCCTAAGCAACAGGAGGCCTTGAATCACCTGGAGAAGAAACTGCGCAACAAGGATTGTGCCGAGGGCACGTGGGAGGATGTTGTGGAGCTGGCCATCACAACATTGAGCACAGTCCTGAGCATGGATTTCAAAAAGGGGGAGATTGAGATTGGCATCTGCGGCGGTCCTCGTACTGATGGAAAGGAGGGTACCAATGCGGCTTTCCGGATGCTCACCGAGGACGAGATTGACGAGAGACTACAAGCCATTGCGGAGAAGGATTAGTTGGACTTGATAGGCGGTCTGCGGGAGATGAGGCGTTGTACAATATACCTTCTAATAGAAGAAACGGCATGAAATCTCGAGGAATACTTGATGAAACGGGGCGAAAGTGAAGCCGTATCAACGGCTGTGGTGTGTCATGAGGACTCTTATGTGCGCTTGCCCGGTTAGAAGACGCTGCATTGGATGCCTGGCTGGCCGCGCATCTGTGTCTGTTGACGTGTCAGCCATGTGGAGTTATGAAGAGTAAGGTGTAGGCTTCTTAGCAGCCGGTTTTTATGAGGCCAGAAGTAGTGGTCGAACTATTTCTGGAGTAGCTCATAACACTTTTATCGGGAAGAAAGTGCACGTGTCGTCAACAACGTTTGGCCTCGTTGTCGATGAAACTGAGTGATGTCTGAGATTTTCCAGGACTTTGTTGGTGAGTAACTGGGATGAAGGTACGTCCAGTCGACTTGAAATATGAGAGGGTGAAGTTGGGGGTTGTAAGTGATGGTTGTAGGATTGGCTACCCTATAGCTTTTCGGGTGTCCTTGTGTAAGTAAACTGCGCGGACATAGGCACATCAATTGATAGGCTACTCCCAAGCTTGGCATGGCATGGTAAAACAGAAGAAAGAAAGGGGCATGTACTGTTTCCCCTTTGTTCTCCCCTCTTGTAATCCTCGGAAATCTTTCCACAGGGCCCAATGGTGAATTTGTTCCGCACGCATACTGTCGGCCCGGAAAACAGTTCCCTGGCGGCCGTCAGTCTCAAGCCGCCGAGATGAACTATCGAATTGCCAATGCATGACCCCAGACGGAAGCGGTGCAGCCAACGGAACATTGCACGGCCACGACGCCCAGGCACATGCCGAGAATGGCTGGCTGGACCAGTCTGGTGACTGTCTAGCATCCGGAAAGGCCTCCGGTCTTGTACTTAAGTACTGTATGTACGTACTTGTTGGCTTGACAGCAAACCTGCAGCCCTCAGCCCTGCCGCGGTGGCCTCTGCAACCAGCTCGCAACAGCCGCATGACGCAAGGCAGTCATCATCAATGACCACCTTGAGACAAAATGTCAAGTCATTGACTGCATGTCGCTGCAGCGGGATCCCGTTGATTGGCCGGACAGCACTTCAGGGCAGGACAGGGCCGGACAAGCCCGACATGGAGCCTCTCTCCATCAGCGGGCCGGAGCAGGCTGTCAGGTCAACGGTTGCATGTGCTCCTTTGGGACAGAGCCTCTTCTGCCCAAGAGACCGGAGGGTGTACGGGGGAAGGGCCTTCCAGCTGGACAGGGATCGCTGTTGCTTAAAAATACAGACGCATGCATACATATGCGAGATTGTGCGTTGCAGACGGGCAAAACATCCGCGATGCGCCATGTGATGCTACTGCTACCCGCTGCGAGGGACCTTGAATCCGACTCTGCACCCGGTGCGACGACGGCTCGAACAAAGTTTCCGAGAGGGCAAAAAAAATAAAAGAAAATTAAAAAAATGAAAAAAGAATAAAACGGTGTTTTAGATATATTTTTTTCTCGGGACATGGTGAGGTAGGCCACGCCTCGTCTATCAGCATTAAAGTATTGACGGTTCATTTGGCCCCATCCGCCAATCATCTTGCACCGCGGGGGGGAACCAGTCGTGCACTCTCGGAGTTTTACCTCGTGAATTGTCATTTGCGAGACAACCCGCCCTTGTTGTAGCCGGTTCGCTTAAATCCGAACAAAAAAAAAAAAAAAAGAGGCACCGGAAACAATCTCACCCCGCGTACGTACGTAGTACCTGCTTGCGAGGCGCCAGGTCTCGCCAGGCTGTCGAAGCTAAATCGGTGATGCAGACGCCCGGGATGGTAGCGAACGACCACGGCGCGGGGAATGTGAAATTATCGCCGACTGACATGGATCCAAGGTTGCCGAACGACGTCTGCTTGCGAATGTTTCTTTTTTCCCTTTGCCCCGGGTATGTTTGCCGGATCTCCTCCGTGACGAGTTTCTTTGCTCGCCAACAACATACAAAGAAACGCTACGGAGTATGGAGTAGAGGCTCTAGATCCGTCCCTGATACCCACATCTGGGGGAGTGACATATCGCCGGCTTGTCGATCCAATCGTGGCGGCCCGGTTGGAAATTTCGCCCAATTTCGTTGCACGGGAACTTTTTTTCTTTCTCCTGTGTTAGCATGTACTAGTATTCCCAATGCCTTGGATGCAGGCCGACCCCCCCCTGGTCTGGCATTTGGCAAGGTCTCAAAACCAAGGAGCCAGTTAAAGCCATCGGGGCGAGCTCCGAGTCTGGCTGGGAAGTTGGGATGAACGACGCATCTCGACGCCCTTGTCCTCGGTAGTCCGTACCCTTTTTTTTTTTTTTTCGTTGCAGGCAGTTGGGAGCCCGAGGCATCGTTACACAAGTAGAGACAAGAAAAGAAGCGTGGCAGGCATGGCCTCACGAGGCTCGACGTGACACACCGCATGCGCACCTTGCATCGCATTTCAGCAGGACCACGTTTTTTCTGTCGTGCGTCTTACATACATCCAGGTACGTCTCTCGTCTCCGGAATAATGGGGACATGTCATAGCCATGGCATGGCCTTGCTCGATGCCATTGAACGGTTGTAAGTGACTAGTCATGACGCTGTTTCTCACGCCTCGGCGGTATTACGCATTATTCATCCAGGGCCAGTCTTGCCGTCGGTTGAGACAAGCCCGCATTAGCAATCGTCACCATCAAGACAAGTTTGCCGCTGGCTTCTTTCTTTCTTTCTTTCTTTTTTTCCTTGAAGAGATCCCATCCCCCAGCACAGTGGGGCCTGCCAATTCCCACCCGTCCAATAGTAGATCGTAATGTTGCGTCAACGCCCCCCCGCGGGGCAAAATCCAACACACCCCCCCGTCAAGAACCCAATTCCGCCATTCTCCGAATTTAACCTCACGTCAACAAAAACCACAAAGACGCATCGCCCTGCTCGCTGCCCGTCCACTAGCCCTATCGATAGACTGCTCCCTCACCCGTCAAATCAGACGCCATCCCGACTCTCTCGCTCCCGCATACACAACGTCCCCCCCTCCACCCACAATGCAGGACGACAAGCCCCCCGTCATCAACTACGTCGTCAGCTTCATCCTCGTCGGGCTCGCCTGGGGCCTCACGACGCCCTTCATCCGCCGCGCCGCGCGCGCCCACCACCCGCCTCCGCATCCCACGCTGCACCTGGACTCCGTCAAGAACCACTGGCTGCGGAGCAGGCTGTACGGCGCATTCTTCGCCGTCGCCGACCTCTTGCGGAACCCGAGATACGCCCTTCCCCTGCTCTTGAACTTGACCGGCAGCATATGGTTCTTCCTCCTCATTGGACACGCCGGTATGCCATTGATTCTTCCGCATTGCCCTCTGGTCCTTTTTCTCCGTTCCTGCCCGCCACGTAGTTTACCCCTTTTTTTTTTACTTTACTCTTCCTTTTTTCTTCTTTTTGCCACACGACAATTCATGTATACCCGCTCTCAACGACCAGTATCGGAACTAAACATCACGTGTTTGTAGAGCTGAGCTTGACGGTTCCTATTGTCAACACCATGGCCTTTCTTTTCACTGTTCTAGGCGAATGGTATGTCGAGGGCAAAGTCATTAGCAGAGGTGAGACGACTATCCCCTTTTATTGCTATTCAAAAGACGCTCATTCACTCACCACATATAGACACGGGCGTGGGAATGGTACTTTCCCTTGTTGGAATTGCGCTATGTGTTCAGAGTAAATCTTGACAAAATCCAACTCGTCTTTTTTCCCTCATAAAAACCAACAGACACAAAAAGAAAGAAGTGGTGATCCCATCTGTAAACCATATGCCATGATGCCAACTTGCCTGAATCCTCTTGTAAATACCTCATGTGATTGCCCAATTTCACGTTGCAGACCTAGGCCACTATGCAAAACAATCCAACACAAATAAAGTAAATCTAAATCAGAAAGAAGCCCATTTATTTCTCCAAAAATAATCCCTCTTGCCCTCCATATTAGGCAATATAAATAAGAACATTGTAGGCAGTGCTCCACGCTCCCTCTATATGTAATTTGACATAAAAATCCGCTCCCGTAAAATCCAACACTCATCTGGGAATGGCCAGCATCCCTTTGTCTTGACCCAATTCTCGCTTTATAACCCACCAATGCCATGCACCGATCCACTGAAAATCAAAATCAAAAAAGCGTTGAACTTTTGATGGCGCTGTCATGCCCGTTTTTCGTGGTGGAATGGTCATCTTCTCAGGCGGTCTTGCTCGCTTTTGATTATCTTTTTTTTCGCCACGACCTTTTCAGCATATAACCCGTCCCAGCCGTATTAAAGCTTGCAATTGTTGAGTTGGTCATTCCGCATTCACGTTATCGTTGTGGTGCCCTCAGCCAGCGCAGGACACTGCTCAAACTCGGGTCCTCGGCGGTCCAGCGTCCGCAGGCGTAGTCTGAAGCTGCCAGTTCATTGTATACGCTTTCGTCAGTGATTGAAGCGAGCTCCTATGGACGAGTCAGAATATCTCCTCCTAAACATATGCTCCTCAACCCCGGAGTGGCGGGTAGAACCATCGATACATACAGCGCGTAGCTCGTTATCACAAGCATCCAACTGATGCTGGATAGTTGCACGGGGTTGTTGGCTTTGAAGAATTGCGTCTCGATATGACAAGCAACGCTGAGCGGCACTTTGCCTCATATAGATCTTTTGTCCCTGGTGTCGCCTTGAGAAAGCATCTAGAAGAACCCTGCTCTTCGAATTAGTGACCATAACTTGGAATGATAAACATTGACTTGACTCTTGGTGAGACTCGTCTATTGAGGTGATGGGGAGCTTACTGCTTCAGCTCTGCCTTCATTTGCTCTTCTTGCCCCCCGTTGACTAGGGGCACCCCGGTGTCAGCGGCACATTCGAGGATGTGATGGCCGTCGATGGCACATTGCCGTAGGGTTGCCCATCCATCCAAGAAGTAGTCGTCCGCATATCTAGGACTAGACGGTGCATCTGTAATGCAGTGCTGCAACGTGCGGAAATCATCCAGAAGCTCCGCCACTCGGGCTGTGCGACATTCGTTGACTGTAAAAGTTTTGGTGTCAGTGGAACGTTGAGCATTCATGGTTTGTCTTGATTTGACATGCAGAGCCCCCTGGCAGTTGAAATGTGTCATTCCAAAGCAAGGCAACAAGAATTCTGTAACGTTGTTGGGAGCAGGTCATGATTCAAACTTACATCCATCCATGATGTCGTAGTTGGTATATGCCAAAGATGCTGGGTCGCCTTGGTATAGAAATGATGCGTCATAAGCAGAGGCCAGAGTACCAAAGTTGGGGTTATGGGAGGACATGATGGCAATTATATAATGATGCGGTGAATGTAGGATGTTCTTTGAGTCAAGCTCTGGCGATCCTGAAACGAATCCAACAAAGCGTTGAACCAGTCGGCCTTTTATGAGTCTCAGGAGGCTTAGAGATTCACAGGACAAGGAGAAGAAAGCAATGACTATCGTCGCGAATTACAAGACAAGGCCGAATGTAGAGCCTGTTCAAGCCAAGTCCCATTCTAGCGGAGGAGCTGGCTTTCTAGGTTCCGCCCCCCCGGGAACCAAGCCGCCTTGTGCATCATGATCGTCCCGTGGCCATGTTCAAGGATCCCTTTTGGGTTGCCATCCAACGGGAAAGCTTGGACCTCACCCAAAGTCTCGGTGCCTGCCGTCCGGATCGGCTAGTGATCATGGTCCCTGTCGATTGATGGCGTATCATGGGTCTTGGTAGGACGGTGGGGCCAAAATGGCGGCCCTGAGCATCCATGAAGATCCAAACGTCCACAGCCGCGACGAGAACAGAAGGAGAGGCAGTGGCAGACACGTCTGGCAGGCAGGAAGGTCAGCTTGCACAAGGCGGCCTGGGAACCAATGGTGCTCAAGGCCCTGACAATGATGCACTTGACATTTTCAATCAAGTCGTCGGATACGGTCGATGCAAGCAGTTGCAAGCTCAAAGCTGGATCAGAAACCCAGTCCTATTTCAGTCCAGCTACTGCCCGTCAGCCTTGCCGTCCAACGAGATGCTGGAGTTGGCCCTACCAGGCTGCGTCGTCCCCAGTTTCTCCTGCGGCCCCTATCCCTTTTGTTCCATTGTGCCTAAGCGTCGATGTCCGGTTTGTTGCCAATTAGTGGTCATACGTGACTGGTACGGCCACGATGGATACACATGATGAGTGGCGACTCGGACTGGTAAATGGCAGCAAATCGTCTGTAGTTGATCGAGGTGGGACAGCGACAAGGGATGCATGTTTATGTCGTAGTGTGAGCATCTGGCGGCAACACCGGGGGCACAACCACCCCTGGGACGGAGCATGGAAGCCATGTTCGGCCATGCTCGTTTTGTGATGTGGTCGACTTGCCGCTGACCAATGTCGTCCCGGCTCCAGGGCCAGGTGCGGTGGATGTGAAGAAACAACTTCAGATTTCAGACAGCCATTTTTCGCAAAACGTCTCTTTCCTTCCCCAACCGTCTTGCCACCACCATGCGGAGGGCCAACAGGGGGTCGTGTCCCCCGCGGCAGCGCAAAGGCGAATGCGCCAGTGGGGGCGATGCACGGCGATGTCGAGTAGCCCTACGGAACACAAGACGGATCGGGGGCTCAACTGACGTGCGATTTGTTAAAAAAAGGGGCATGGTGAGCATGGAATGGGTGACTGACTGACTGGTGCCTCGCCAATGTGAAAACGTGTCTGCTTCACAAGAGTCAAGTTTATGTGGAGAAGAGTACGAAGAGGTCAACCAGTTTCAATGTTTTCAAATGTCAAGTACGGAGTACCTTCAGCTGCTGTTTGACAGGCACATGCATGTGCAAGCTTTGCCCAAGTTGGCCAATTTGGCGAAGCTAAACACGGCAAGACCGTCCGACTGCCAATGATAAGTGTGACACACAGCGAGGGAAGGAACGTCTAAGCCATTGCCGAATCCAGTCAAAACTTGGCGGCACAGACAGCAATCAATACCTTCAACGCCAGGGTTTAAACGACGTTTTTTTGCTTTTGCCTTTTTCTTTGACGGATGTAAATATCCTTGGAGTGCAATTTTGCGCCGCAGCCATTGTCCTTGCGATATCCAACTCTATCACCATTACCTCAAAGACCTGAATAAATGGCGGCTCTCGTCGTTGCTTGTTCATCCCCCTGGATTATATCAATATGATTCCTTCTCACCGCAGCCTCAACCGATGCCGACGCTGAAGAATACTCCAGACCGTTCTCAATACTCATGTGGACATTCATTTCGCCTTTTACATTTTATATTTGATACGGAAATTAAACCGATCAGGGCCTCTTCATGATTCGCCCCAAACCGCCACTCCCGCCCCTAGCCAACGTTAGTCGTTTCTTGACCAGCAGCCGCGCCGTCTCTAGGGAAAATGGCTCCATCAATATCCGATTGGCCATTTCGTCTGGTATCTTGCCCTACCAAGGCCTCGCCTTTCCGGCGGCCAAAGTGCCGTGGAACCTGATTACCGACCCGGCCGTGAAGGCATGGTATGTCACTCGGGAATGCACGATCCAGTACGGAGGTGGACCCGTGAATGGCAGCCCCCAGTCGTTTGAAATCAGCTCTCTTGACCTGAATTGACTCTTGAGGGACTTGCATGGACATGCGTGGTGACATGTTGTAGTTAGAGTCGGGCTGATCTCACTCGGACTCTCGTCGTTTGTATCTGATGGAACCATAAAGCTGCTGCCTATTTCCCTTTCTATTCTGGCCAACACAGGAAGTCACCGATTCGACGCTGCGTTTGAGGCAAGGCGGGTATCGCATCTAATCTAAAGCGACGTGCATAACCTAGGCGGCCCTGCGGTCACAACTATCCAACGTTTCATGAGACCCTACAAGGATGAGCCTAGCAGTATTGTCTGCGGGTTGAAAGAAAACCTCCTAAGTGAGCGACTGTACTCTGTAAACAGTCTCTGGACACATGTCGAATTCTTTTGTATTGTGCCACAACTACGTTCCTAGTTGTTGGGACACATCAGTTATTTGAGACTCACAGCATGAATATACTTTTTTTCATTGAATCATATACATCTAGCATCATACTTGGCTGTACAGGTTCATGATTACGAATTACACTGTTTGAGTGATTGAAACACCAAAATTTACGGGCAATAGTTCTTTCCCATGACTTTGTCCAAGAACCCTAAACCGGAAGCCGAAGATCCCAAGATGGCAACAAAGTTATCATAGTTTGTAGGGGTTTTGTCCGGCATAGCTCACACAAAATATGCTTCAAGTCAGATGTAATCTCGATGGAACGGCATCGCATCCTACATGTAGCCTTTATTGAACCACCTCTTACTTGGGCCAACATCTCTCAAATTCCCTTGTTGGCATTCAATTATCGCGCTGTTACGCAACTCTGACCTCAACGACTTGAATAACAAAAAGACCGTGTGTAAAACTGCGCCGAAATATTTCAGGTACAGGAGGATCCGAAGATAGAGTAGTTTACGGGGGCCATATGTCTTCTGTCAACTCTTACCCGCCACCAGGCTCGCCCCAGACCACGTCGCCTACCGCACCCGGCTGAAACAATTGCTCCATGATTATAATGGAGATGCAATACTGAAGCTCACTCAGCGTGGCAAGTCACTGGAAACAAGCTCTAACAAGTGTAGCAGACGTAGTATGTAGCAGACGTAGTATCTTGGGTTCCTCTCTCTGCTCACTCGGTTGAAAGCAAGGCCTAGCTGTCACAAAAGCAGTCACCAGCTGAGAGGACCAGCATCTCTCATCCAATACAACCATGCAATAAATGGTGTTTTCTTTAATCCTACGTCCGGGTTTTCCAGACATGGTATCATATATCATTTTCGAGCCAGGGGGCAAGTGCATTTAGCCACAAAAAAGAAGATGTATAACATGCCAGTGTACACTTGCAATTTTTTTTCCTCAGATGAACATACGCTGTGGCCGAATTACCGGTAGTATTTTTCATGTGCGCCAACTGATGATGATGCATGACACGTCCCGAGGTCATCAATGACGGCGAAACATGCTCACCACGTTACACGCCAAACACCCACGACTCAGCTTGCGTCGAAGCGTGTAACTGAGCTGAGCAATGGGAATTGATCCGTCGAAATAAAGTGCATTCGTGCTCAGGGGACACGGTCAAGGGGCCAATCGATCTACGACTACGTCACGTGTTGCAACCCAATGGCATGCCCAAATCTACCTTGATAGATCTGGTTCTAGGGCCTTCGCCGTTTCAGGACTTGGAAACATGGATAGTTTTCATCGTGTCCAAAGGGGCTCTCCCGATAGTCGTTCGAAGGCCGTCGGTAGTCTCACGCAACTAGTTGCATCACAGCCAACCTTTACAATTGCCGTCCCCGGAATCCGTTTGGGGATAGAATCATGGTGCTTCACGGTTTGGCTACTTCATGTCAGTCAGGAGACTCGCTTCCATGCTTCCAGCCTAGTCGGACATATGTTACGCTGGCCGGCTCCTCTCTGGCCTACATGAAGCAGTGGCGAACGCTCTACGCAAACTTCAAGTCGGCAAACCCGCCTGCTACGTTATGTCGTGTATTCTAGACAGCCATGCATGCTTTGTTCGACGAGTTCACGAATGCGACCTATCGTGGGGTCGATCGCTGTGCGGGATTAAACAACTCGGCTAGCATGATATCTGGATGTCAATTAAAAAAATCAAGGGATATAAAAAATAAACACTATTCACCCAGCCCGACAACGCCCTGCCCATGAAAACCTTCGCTTATCGAAGTGTGGGTATAAAATTCAACGACCAACCTCCCCCAGGTCCTAAAACAAGTGCACGACGGCTACCATCGGGTTTCCTATGCGCGCGTGTAGGTCGTCTACCGAGTCTCCGAGTAATCATTCAGCGCAACGCAAACAGCGCCTCGGTGATGTCCGTTATACTGGCGGATGATCTGCTGGCTGTGTACCTCCCACAGCCGAGCGTAGTGATCAGAGCACGCCGTCACCAAGTATGCCGAATCGGCACTGAACGCACAGTCCCATACCCACCGCTGGTGTCCCGTAAGCGTTGCCTCGAGCGGAAATGGTTTCGGGTCCTTTTCCCCTTCGTCGCAGGGCTTGGTATTGTTGACCTCCCAAATCTTAGCTGTGTGGTCGGCACTACAAGTAGCCAGTTTCTTGACGTCTGGTGAGAGGAGAATGCGGGTTATGTATTCCTTGTGTGCGCTGAAGTGAGTCACGGGCATTATTTGCGTTTGGTCGTATGTTTGCTTGAGCGTCCATACAAAGACATTTCCCTGTGAATAGTCCATGGTTAGCTTGTTTGCGCTGCCAACGAGTCGACATCTTGAGACGCGTCCAAAAACGAACCAAGGTGTTTGCTGCGCAAAGAAGAGTGCCGTCACTGGCAACGGTGACGCTTGACACGGGAACATCTTCCTCTGGGACCAATTCATGGGCGCACGTATTTTCGGCCAGGTCCCATATCCTCACGGCGCCGGCCCTGTCACAGCTGATAATTTCGCCCTGGTTCGGGTGAATGACGACGTCGTTTGCAGGGTGGCCGTGGTTGTAGCTGCGCTGAATGGTGCCCGTTCTCGTTTCCCAAATCTTGACTGTGCCGTCTTCGGAGCTCGTCACCATCCATTTACCCTCGCAGTGGAAGGCGACGCCCGTAATGTTGCCCGTGTGGCCTTCAAATGTGAGGAGCGGGTTGGGGTTTGTGGACTTGATATCGTATAGCTTGACCGTGTGGTGGCCGGCAGCCGCGAGGAAGCGCTTGTCGGGCGAGATGCAGAGTCGGTTGACCTGGGAGTCGGGGTGCTGGATGGTGCGCGAACAAATGCCAGAGAGGGCTTCCCAGAACCTGTTGGAGTGTTAGCAGGCGCCCAAGACCATGCCCATGCTCGCGGGCTTGGGATGAGTGCGAACCGAATGGTGTGGTCATATCCCGCTGAAAGATGATTAGCACGCGACGACGCCTCTGATGGACAAGGGTTTAACATACCCGTGCAGAGGATGACAGACATGATGGCGACTGCAGAGTGAACAGGGTTCACTTTGCGCCCGACGGAGTGGTGATGAAGGGGCAGAGTCGCCTGCCTGGCTGTTGCTCGACGGTGATCAGGGTGGGAACATTGAAATGTGGTTAAGCTTGGACGGGAAGGTCTGCCGTTTAAAGATTGGAGGTGGTGAGTGACAATGACCGATGACGGATCCACTTGGCCTCGGTGCTGCCCCACTGTGCTCGCTGGGCAGAGAGACGGCTTTGTCGGGCTGGCCATCACTCTGATGCTTGCACGGAGCTAATTGTGCAAGTGTACAACTCTAATGTATTCACAACGACGCCAATTGGCATGGACTAACCGTAGCTCCAAGCTTCCATAATCCCCAGCGTCATGAGCACCCCGAGGCCTTCATAAAATAAGTGTGGTTCCTCCCCTGGGCGTGTATAAGTTGTATAAGTTGAAGTATAACAGACCCCGGACCACACTATCCACTCGACCAGACCCGGCGGCTTGTCGTGTCATCTTTTAGAGCGCTGCCGGCGATGTCATCTGCCTCAAAAAGCCGTCGATACATCTTCAGCTCCAACACTGAACGCGGCACTTACCATCGGGCCCTGCGAAAGCCCTCTGCGGAAGAATTTGTCTATCAAATCCACCAGTGAGGCTTCGAAAACTGCTGACACTGGCTCGGGCTATGCCCGTGCTCCGCTCAGACGACCCTGTCAAATCTGACAGATCTATTTCGCAAGCTGCCGAGATGGCTGAAGACCTTATTTTCGACTTCGCTGAGTATCTCGAAATGGTCCCCAGTGTTGCAGGCCGGCACGGCCAACACGGCAAAACGACGAGCATCGCCATGCCTATAAGTATCTCGGGTGAATCCCCCCATTCACAAAACAACACCCATCCATTCTCGAGAACCATCATCATCCCATAGTAAACACCACCATACAAAACACTCAGACACCATGGTCAACTTCATCTCCCTCGCCGTCCTTGCCATGGCCAGCGTTGCCGTCGCCGCGCCGCCTCCCCCCAACGGCAGCGTGTGGTGGCACACTTGCGGGTGAGTACGCTTTTCACCATACCCCCAGGCACCCGCACAAAATTCTTTCCTTGTAGTGGTTTGAGACAGACGGAAAACTAAATGAAAACCCAACCGGTAGAAACTGCAAGTGTGGCCACTCGGGAGCCTATGAAAACTTCAAAGGCGACACGGGCTGCCTGCGATTCGACCCTAACCAGGACATTAGAGCCGCTGGCCTCACGCGCCACGGACGCCTTCAAACGACTTGCAGTCTCTTTACAAGCGACAACTGCTCTGGAAAGGTTGTCCAGAGCATCGGAGTCGCAGGCGGTACATATGCCTGCACTGCCTTTAACCAGAATACGAAGAGCATTCGATGCTACTACGACGTCTGAGTTGCGTCGGGCTGTTGTGGCCAAAGACCTTCTGGATTCTTTGACCAATGCGGATCGTCTTGTATATAGGCCATATTTAGGTACCTAGGTAGTTAGAAGGATCTCTGCTGCGCGAGGTAGTGCGAATATTAAGCCACATTCAAGTCCATGCAATGATACTTGAACTTGGTTCTTGTGTCGGTCTCTTGGGATACAGCTTACAGCCATAACACGTGAAAAATATCCAAGCAACGTATTGTAATGTTAGTCGGGGCTAAGTCGCTTTTCTCACCTGGCTCCTCCATGTGACTACCTAGGTAGACTGTAGCACCTACATGATTCCAACCATCAACTTCCACCAGCTTCATACACCACTCCCCTTTAATCTACAAATCGTACCCAGAGGGGCTTAGGGACTTATGGATCATACAAGGAACGTAGAACGAGATTGTTGTGTCTGATGTGACCCCATTGCCTACCTAGGTCCATGTACTACAGCCAGACTGAGCATCCACGTATCCGTACAACAACTCGGCCCTAACCATCTCGCCACCGTAACTTGATTCTAGACCCAGTCACTGGCCATGTATCGATACACGTCCAAATATCTCAATACAGGTTGTTATTGTGAACTCCCCCGAGAATCTCTCCTAGTACCAGATCCCTTCGCATTCTCCCCCGACTCGGCCTCCCTATCCCGCCCGTCTCTCTCTATTCCACCATTTTCAACCCGCCACCAACGCTCACCCTCCTAATATCCAGGCCTTTCAAATCATGCACCTGTTTCCAGCGCCATACGCCGTTCCGCATCTCTCGCACATCGTCCACGGGGATGAACAACACCAACGTACCAAGACATTACTCACAGCTAGACCTACCACCATCGTCAGCAGCCCATCAACTAAAGATTTTTTTTTCCCAAAGCACCAGAAAAAGAAATGCAAATTTAGAATATAAAAAAGGAAGACCTGGCGGGGCAGTGCGGGAGAATACTCACGACGACCTCATGCTGCACGTAGCACACGAAACCAGAACATACTGCTCCGCAAACGCCTCGACCGAGTTGATCGTAAAAGCCATGACAGCAACGTGACTAGACATGAAAAAAAACCGACTATTCCTACCAACAAGAACGGATAAAATAAAAAGAAATACTGTATTATAAGAAGCAACCGTTCATACAGACTACACCGCAAACTACCACTCATACACAATTCTATCTAAACAGTCCGGGCTTCAAAGACACCCGATAAACGCAATGGCTGCCTGGCTAAAAATAACGCAGATAAGGGAAGCCAAGACGAGAGTGACACATAATTCGAAAGTCGGGAATCGGCGTGACACGATATCCAATTGAGCCGACGACTGCGCCCTCTGGACTCCAATCCTTGGAACGGGTACTACGCTCGTAAAGCCAGCGCTTACCTGCTTCCCCCCTTGAATGGAAATGCAGAAGGAAGAAAAACGAGTTCATGTCTAGTCTACAGGGTGTTACGAGTGGAATGCAAACCCAAAGGCTAGGGAAGGGCCTTCGGCTGCGCTAGCTCTGTGTTCCCAAACCTTCCTCGATGCAGTAAAATATACATCCAGACAAGGTACATATCCGAAAAGATGGTCATCACGCATCATGATATCTGTGCGGCCAAAGTATCGGGAAACGCCTTCTCACCATGGACTAGAGAGGAGATATGCTGTGGTCGCCATGGGAAGAAACCATGCATCTCCCAATGTTACACCATCGGTAGGAGCGTAGATTTGCAATGTAACGTTCTAGACGGGCAGAACAATGAAACATTATTAACATGATATACTCTTTAGCAACAAAAGACGCCATGGATGAGTGCAAACCGTCTGGTATCGATTATATCCTGCCTATGAGAAATTAAAAAACAAATTCCAATAGACTAAACGTCTTGAAGCAGCCTGTCGCGCAGTTCTGAACGCCATAGCAATTTCCGTACCGATTCATTTCTCATATAATGTCCGTTGCAGAGCCGAATTCGACAAAAGCCATAATCCTGACAAGAAGCAAATGCCACTAAAAGAAGAAAAGAGAACCTTAGACTAAGGAGGAAAGAAGGACTGTCTACAATACTTGTTCGCAGCGGTATATTATGGCAGCCATCACAATGAAGGTGCAGTGGCAATCAAGGCAGACATGACTGCGATGCCACCAAGTGCAGCGTAACCAACCGCCTCAGCGACTCGTCGAAAACGTTTCGCCGGGCGCTGGTCAGCGGAATCCATCGATGAAGACTCAACTCGAGGCACGTCTGGGGGCTGCGTTGCGCTGTTCAATGCAAACTCCGTCGGTCTCGTGGAGGGCTCGGCAATGGTCTGTGACGAGCTTGGCTCAGTTTCGTTTGGTAGAAGCTCGGATATTGCGTCAGACTTTCTCTTGGACGAACGCTGAACACTTCTAGGCGCCGATTCCGAGTATTCTGGGCTTGAATCCGAGACTGGCTTGTCTTTCCTACCCCCAGTAGCGAAGTTCACCGTCTCCGGAGGCTGTACATCTTCCACTAACTCTGCTCCTCTTTTACTCAATTCATATGTGTACGCAGAAGTATCATCCAGGTAATCCTCCTTCGGTGGCATTTCGACGAGCTCACCAACAGGCGTTCGCAAGAACTTTTCGCCGGAAGCTAGCAGCGCTGAGGTGGCCGAATCTCTCGTGCAGCTCTCCAGCAGTCCCGTGGTGAGGACATTGCCATGCTTCGGATATGGCGTCGAGCTTTCCATCGCGATGTCTAACTGCTGGAAGCTGGTTGGAAAGTCGTTTTCTTTATTTTCTTCTGGACCGAAGCAGACTCGACGGTTATGCTCGCGGGCTTCGAAGTATTCTGCCTTCCCAGACTTTGCCCCGAGCGATTCCGTGGAAATATTCTGACCGAGGTGTGGCGACTGGTAAGAAGACGAAGGGATCGCGTCAAAAAGAGATGGCAGATGAACATCGCCAGGCTGAGAAGTTTGAGTGATAACAAGGGGAGGTAGAGTATCAGATTCTCGACCAGATGAAGTCTGCAGGTGAGACGTGGCATCACCCAGGACTTCGATTAATTTACCTCGTCCATCCGCTTCGGGGATTGGAGGACTTGCATCCACGTGCAATGCGTCAGAGCATTTCCAACTATCTTTTTCATCCCAATCTGAATTTCCAACTTCTTCACCTGCTGCAATGCTTTCGGCTGAATCCTCATCATGGGACTCAAAATCGGACGAGGAATCAGATTCTTGGCTAAATGTGTCCTCATTGCCCTCAAGCTCCTCAGCCTCGACAGACCAGCGAACGGAGGGCTGTCGGTTTTGCAACTCGTCCGGCTCCTTATCCTCTGGGGTAGACATCTCAGGCACCTCCATAGTAACCTCGGGGTCGGCATCCGGCAGATCAGTATGCTCTTCGCCTGTAAGGTCAATAGCCCCAATGCCTTGAGGACCATCGAGAGTCATGCCGGCTTTTTGGAGGAGCGAGACACTAGTCTCAATCGCTTCATCGATATCACTAGTTTCATCCTCGCCGTCGGACGAATCCGGAACTTTGAACACCACAGGTCGTTCTTTGGGACTGCTTTGGTGTTAGATAAACACAGCGTCAACGTAAGAGGAAGAAGAGAGAAGCCATACTCTTGTGAACCATGGCAAAGCGATACCCTCATCTCGCAAGGCGGGAAGGTTTCTGACCCTTTTTGAATGGGGATGCCAAATCGAATTCTGTCGTTTTGATGAAGCCGTCGAAACTGCATCTTGTTGATGGACTTGTCATTTATATAAGTCCCGTGCAGAGAACCAACATCGACGAGGGCAACAGACTATGGCGGTTGTCAATTTGATTACTTTCCCAAAACAACTCTTGAGCCACATGGACCGATGCCAGTAGTAGGAAAAAACGAGACCAACTTACGTTGTTAGCCGGAAGATACACAATTTTGGCATGGTTTCGAGACATGACGGCTGAGTCGAACCAGCCGTTCTTTGCACCTGCAGCCAATCTGGCATCTCGCTTGGTACTGCGGCCAATAAAAATCTTGGGGTTATCCTTGGTGAGGAAAATATGACGGTCGCAAAATTTGGATTTCAATTTCGGATCAACGGCTTTGAGGATGACCTGGACTGCAATATTAAACGTCGTTAGTATATTCACGTGGAGCTGGCTTGTTCGGTGATGGTAGTGTGAACTACTAGCCTTCGTCCTTGTATTTCGGCACCGTCATGATGGCTGTTCTGATACTGCTGCCTCGATAAACGCGAGTTTAGATATTCTGTAGAGGGTGTTACTTGGCCAGAACGACGGGACCAAAGACAAATAATCGATCGAGGCCAAAGCTTGTTGCTTCACGATGACCAAAAGACGCAATACCCGAAATCTACACGATGGGCATGCCGGAGACAAGCGGGCCCCGCCTTCATGCAGAACAGTCGTGGACGATGACAGGTCGAGGTTGAAGTGGGAGGAGAGAACACGACCAAGAACGATAAGAGATTCAAGGAAAGGAAAGAGAAATCCTGCCTTTTCAACGTCCGGGGTGAGGATGTTCAGAACAAAACGGATGACAGCGAGAAGAGGGGCAGAGAAGGCAGAGCCGGAATATTGAGGCGACTCTGGGCCACGTCTGACGAAGGTCTGAGGGAGGTCTGAGGCAGGTCTAAGGAGGGCGGGGCAGGAAGACGGGCAGTAGTGGTAGACGTGCTGTGACTGACTAGGGCCCCGGGCCTGGCGGGGTGATGTTAGCGGCTAACAAGGGCTGGCTAGCCTTGTGTTGAACATCAGGCAGACGGACTGTCAACTGGTTAATGCTGCCTGGCCAGCTGCCAGAAACTTTACAAGTACGATTGACGCCGCGGCCTTATCAAAGCTATGGTGGGGCCGAATGGCGACACAAGTACTACTTGAAAGTACTCTGGGTACTGTGAACGGCGAGTGCATGTGAGCAGCTGACGAACCTGTGAAGTTATCAACTCGCGTACGGAGTATATTGCGCAACATCAAGAGCAACCTCGATGCATGAATAAAATTTGCATTGCTCTCAAAAGAGGTGATGCGTCCTGCTTTATTGTACCAGGTCCTTCCCCCCAGTCTGGAGTAGGTGTGTTACAGATGTACATCAGCACAGTGCAAGGACATCACTGGCATGGACTGGTCCAGACCGGTTCGGCATATTGGCTCGCGAAGAGCTAAAATCACGCCGTGCATCTCGAGGCTGATGGAAGCAATTGATTCCTTCATGACGAAACTGCCAGTTGCTCACAGTCGTCCTCTGGTCCATATAGCCTCGTAGCCGCGAGCCCCGAGCCAAGTCCCCGATGCAGTGATGAAGTTGCACATGAGACTGTGCGATGTGCCATGGCCCATGCTTGCTTGCTGTCCATCCTTCACATCGCACACCCTGACACGGTCGAGCTGGTATCTACACATGGACGGCGGTCGCCTTTGGGCAAGCCACCTTGTTGTCCGCACAGCCGAATGATGCTTGACCACTCAAGGCGGGCACAGAGGCGGCTGGGTGGATAGGCCAGCCTTGACTTGGTTCTCCAAGGAATGGCAACAGGGACTAGGAAGAGCCTCTCGTTTTATGCGCAGGAAGGGGTGGGAAAATTATTGGTTTGCCTGTGACTCACATGTATCCTATCCGTCAGTAGACTGGGCATTTCTCTTATCCTCCTAAAAGACAGGGAGAGTAAAGAGCTCTCAGTCTCTTTCAATATCTTACCACCACCAATAAACGCATGCAACACCTTCCCAACTACTTCGGGAACGAAGGAATCACCACTATTGCACGATGGTCACTGGATCTCCACAAATGTCTTGTCGGGTGACAAGCCAAGCAGCCTTAGCTCCAAAACAAGGTGGCTCGTCGTGCTGTTCAATCCGTCTACTCCCTAAGTACTCTGTCAAATGCTGATAAGACTGGCACTACAAGCTCTCTGGTACATGGGCCCATGGAAATTCCAGATTGGTTTCCCGGGTTTAGTTTCAGTTTTGTATTTGACACACCACGAACTTCCATTTCTCTGGTGGGGGCGGGGGGCTTTGAGCGCGTAAAGTGGATTTCCACTATGACGTAAGTCTCGAGTGCTCGTTCACCCAGCCGCATTTCTCGTAAAATGGACGCATGGGCAGCACAAAGTGCCAAGTAGAAACATTCCCCGAACAGAAATAGAAGAAGCGCTGAGGTGGTGTGCATGTCTGGTGCGCTTGTGCGCTTGCTGCAATGGCCCTGACAGCCGGTATGTACGGTAGGGTGGCAAAGCGAGTGGCCATGGCATTGAATGTAGATTGCATAACTCCGTAGATTCCTCAAGTGCGTGTTGTTCATGTTGCACAGATCTGGCCGGGTCGGGTGCTCGCTTTCACAATGAATGCTAGCCAGGTCTCAGACAGCATCAATGAGTTGTGCCCTTGCTTAACTCCCCTGCTTTATGCACACACTGCCCATCTACGGAGTACATACTACCTAGGTAGGTACTAGTCATTCAAGTGGTCTGTCTGGTGCTTGCACATCCGCCCACATTCGGCCAGTCAGCCAACATGACCATCGCATGCCACACCATTTGACAAGTCCAGATGCCCACATCGCAGCCCGGCCTGTTGTGGTCGTCAGCCCGCAACCGCGGAGTAATCTGTTAGGCCTCAGCAGCCTGCTAGCTTTAGCTCCAAATCAATGTCGCTTGGGCCGACGCGTTCGGGGTCTCTTGGGTCCCATGCCCCGGCCCGCCGTGCCCTCCATGCCCACTCAAAGCGCCACCCGCGCATCATTTGGCCTTCGCCTCTTGCCTCTTCTCCATGACCTGATGTGATCTATCTCAACTTACCGCCTTTCACAGCTTTTCTTTGCTTCCCACCATTCAGCTCAGCGCCCGTCTTGCTCCTTGAGCCTTGCTACCCGACACCGAAACTTGTCAAGGCACTGTTGGCCTTGTTGCAACCCCTTGTCTCCTATATCCTTTCCGTGTCCCTATGGATCGTGACCCTCGACCAGTTTTTGCAAACACATATAAAATTTACGGCACCCATCGACTACGCAACGCACTCAACGCACCGTCTTGACCCGAACAGGTTTTCATTCGATAGTCGAAAACTCGTTGAAACGGCCTGTCTCAAGGGCCGCGATAGGCAAAAGAACTCCTCATTCGCAGCTCGAAGATTCCGCACTCCATCTCCAATTGAAAAGGGACACACCTACCAGTCTAGCTGCCCCATCGCTGAACTCTCCTCCCAGCCACTTCAACTGGGCCATTCGAGGTCCCAACAAGCCGTCCCCATGATGAACCACGCCAGAGTCAAGGCTCTCAAGGGCAACGGCAAGACCACCTCGAAAAAGGCCATCAAATCCGGTCGCGCTTCAGGCAACATTACACCCAGAAGCTCTCCCCTGCCCTCTCTCCTGACGTCACCAACACACTCCGCGACGCACAGCCGTGTGACCTCCGATGTCAGCGACAGTGAGGATGAGGGTGACTTCGAGTTCGACGACACCATGTCCAGTGTTCACTCGGGGGGGTCCGGAGCAGCCACTCCTGACGAAGGCGGCACAAGTACATTCGATGCCCAAGCCTTGATTGAAGGTTTACAGGACAAGAAGCACAATAATAACGAGGTCCGCGAACAGTTTCTCGAAACCTACCTCAGAACCCTGCGCAATAGATACAGTGCTGATACTCACCTGTGGCTGGATCCTGCCGCTCCCGAGCTTGTCGAGGTGTTCCTCAAGGACGCGGATCGCGCCCCGACCGCTCGCGAGAGACTGCTCAACCTGCAGGCCTTCTGCCTAACTGTGGGGACAACTGATGACCTGGAGATTTTTGAAGGCGCCGAACGAACCCTGAAGCAGATCCTTGTGGACGATGATGACGATCAGTGCAAGACATACGCGATTTATGCCCTCGGTATGAGTGTGCTCTATGCTGGTGGCCTGGAAGAATCCGCTCTAGAAGTCATGCAGTACCTCCTTGACATTGTCCACAGCGACGGAGAAAGCATCGAATCACACGACAATGCCGCTGTTGTATCCGCCGCTATAGTAGGTTGGTCATTCGTTGCCGGCCACGTCAGCGACTTCTCGGATTATGCCGACACTGCCATGGACGCCTTTGTCGACCAACTCGACAGCTCCGACACGGAAATCCAGTGCAATGCAGGACAAGCCATCGCACTTATTTTTGAGTCCTCCCGACACCACGAACAGGAAACCGGCGAGCCGTTCCAGCTCCCATACGACCCGCAGCGCTTGATTGGTCGCATTAGTGAACTTGCCAAGCTCAGCAGCAAGTCTGTATCGCGCAAGGCCCGTCGCGACTTGCGCGAGGGTCTCATTAGCGTTGTCACGTCTCTCGAACGAGGGGTCGGCCCTTACTACTCTACTGCGCTCTATCTCCCAGAGAAGGACTCCTACGTCCCGCCATCACAGCGGACCGAAGATGGCCAAGCAGAGTATGGCTACAGATGCCGTCTCCGACTTGGAAACCACAGCACACGAATTGACACTTGGTCGCTCTTGTCGCGAGTCAACATGATGAAAATTCTTTTCAGGGGTGGTTTGCAACATCACGTTTTCACCAATCCCGTTGTCATGGAGTGTCTAGAAGATGCGCACTGGGGAGAGGAACAAGCTGCTGCTGCTGACTACGGCGGCGGCGGCAAGCCCTCCAAGGGACGCAAACGATGAGCCGACGACCAAGAATACGCAAGGATGACGAAAGTATAGTGAAATGCTTTTTTCTTATTTCAAAATGAGTTCATGAACGATGTTCATTGGGATACCACTACAACAGTTTTATAATTGGGTTGGCGTTTTGAGGCGGGTGTTGGTAAGCAAAAGCTGTGGACGGCGACCCCCCCCTCCCGAGTACAAGTAGGGAGGTAATAGTTTGGGTATAGTACACGATAGAGTAGAATCAATATCATTGCATTGCAACTCTCGACCCAGCTATCGACCAGGGGAAATGCCCAACGGGTTATCAAAAAAATCAGCATGGTCATACTTGGCCTTGATCAGCTTCAACCTATCCGCATTATGCCCATAGTACGACGGCAGTGGATCTGTCGAGATACTGGCATCCATATATCCGGCATACGACGCAGGACTATCACCGTCAGTCGTCAAAGAAACCGAGTTCAAAGTACCCTGAAAAATATTGGCGGGAAGCACTCACCCGGTCAGAGGTCTGAGATAGCCCTCCAAGTCCTCCTTCCACTCCGCCAACCTCTTATGCTTCTCCGCGTCCTCGGATCCCGTCAATATGAACTCCAGATGAGCATACGCTTCCCCTCTCCATGCAAACGCCGCCTCGTCCTCCCCCTTTCGACTAATGTTCCACGCATGCCACTCTCCCCAGCCGGCCGCCTCATCTGGCAACTCCGTCAGCCTGTCCACCAGACTCTGGACCACCTCCCTGCCCAGCTTCTTGCTCTTCTGCATGAAGAAGCTCTTACTCATTCTTCTGAACCTGGGCCAGGGCTGGGCCTGCGGGGAGTTTGGATCCTGACGAGTCTCGTTCCATGTGAATTGCGGATACTTGTCGACCTGGGTGAATGGCTGCTGGAGGACGTTCATCGCCGGTGGCGCGTATTTGGACACCTCTGTGTCGGGGATACACTCGCTCACAATGAACCCAAACATGCGGGCGTTGATGGAATTACACCCCCCTGAGATGTGGACTTCCGGTTTCCCAATTGCCAGCAGCCCGGATGAGTTCATGAGAGCCTTTGCGTGATCGAGCGTGCACCCGAGACACCAGCCCTGTATTTCAGTGCGGTTCTTGTACACATGGACAGAGGACGTGAATGCCGGGTCGGTCCTAGGGGCCCAGTCAAAGAAGCGAGTTGCCAGATCGACACGGGAGTCCGGCTCGTGCCATTTGATCTGGACCATGGACGAACGAGGGAACTGCGAGACCTTGAGGGTCCATTCGACGACGATGCCGTACGAGCCTCCGCCTCCGCCGCGGACGGCCCAGAACAGGTCGCTGTTTTCTGCGGGCGAGGCATTGACGAGACTGCCGTTGGCAAGGACCACCTCTGCAGCCACGACGTGGTCCACGCCCAAGCCCAAGGTGCGCATCTGCATGTTGAAGCCGCCGGCGCCTAGGAACCCGGACAGCCCGACGGTAGGACAAATGCCGCCCGGCCAGTCGCGCCCATGGAGGTTGAGAGCAGTGTACAAGGCCCCAAGACGGATTCCGGCGCCGACCCTTGCGGTTGTCTTGTCGGCCGAGACGTCGACGAAGTCGATGTGCGTGATATCAATGACGAGGGCGCCGCCGAGGGCAGAATATGCCATGAAGCTGTCGCCGTTGGCAAACGCTGGAGATTTTTTCCAGAATAGGAACCATCACTTACTGGTGACCTCCCGCCCTTGGAACAGCTTTCACACGCGACCGCCGCGCACACCGAATAAGAGGCGCAACCTGTGAGGCGTGGCTCGCGTACGCAATCAGCGCAGGCATCTGGTCAAACCTACAACAATCAGCCTGGACGCCATACCTAGACTCAGCATCGCCACAATAACTCACTGGATCGACTCTCCCATCCGAGCATCCGTATACGTCGATTGCTCTGGTCCGACGACGCGCTTGTCCGCTCCCTCGCCCAGCACCTCGGCGACGCATGTTCGCAGGTCCCGGCCCTGCCACTGGCTTCCAGCAGCCAAACTTGCACACAGAGCAAGACACACCAGCATTGCCCTCATGGTGCAAATGTCGAATGGGAATACTATCTTGAGGTCGTTGTATTGCTCAATGCGTGGGCGCTTGCCAACTGATTGTTCACGATTGTAAAAAATCAAGATACCTGCACGAGTCAATGTTTCCCAAAAAACTATGATTCACAAACGCAAGCGGCACAACTTGGAATATGACATCTTGCCATTTTAACATCTTTAAGAGAAAGATATTTTGGATCGCCGATATCTTGGAAAACAGGGAAACGGTATTCATGTGCCGATCCCGCATACGGTCGGAGCCCACATTGGCAAAATGCGCCCGACATCCGGCGGAGGGCGGCAACGCCCATATATTGCATACAGCCATTTGAGTATCACAGAGTCGCACAATGCAAAAGTCCTTCCTCACAATCCATCATCAGAGCACCGAATTGGAAACATAAGGAGATTCTCTTGACACCGGTGTTGTTCTAGAATGCATCGCAGCTGAAGCATCCCGAATGCTTATACTCCGTACTGGTGTCCAATATCGAAGTCTCTTTGCCGGTTAGTTACAAAATAGTAAATCAACATGATTCTTTCAGAAACTAAAACGGGCAGAAAATGAAATCAGCTTTGCAGACATGTTTGACTTGTTCTAAAGTCAGTGATTAATAGATGCAAAACGAAGGGCGGTAATGCCTGGCCATTTATGAAAAATGCATGCTAGTATTAATACCAATGGTAAAGAATATGTCGCAGAACCTTGCCTAGGAGACGAATCCAGCTACGGAACTCGACAATCTAAAACTTCGCCCACCAACGAGATTCCCATCGCAGCCTCACGCACTAAATGGCGGCAGCACCTATGAGAGATACAAGTGCAGCAAATCCTTGAACCACTCTCTAACCAGCTAAGTTTAGAAGGGCAACACTTAAAGGGGCGCCACCAAGGGCGCCGACTGCGCAGCAGGCCATCATTACACCAATCCGAAGACCGATATGTCCCATGTCCGGGGTCGTTTGTGCCACACAAGCAGAGCCCATTGGTACAAGACCACCTGAGAAGATACCAAATAAAACAGCGAATGCAGTCAGTTCTGCCGCAGTATGCACCTGTATCCACCACAGTGTCATCACCCCAACGATGATACTCTCCCAAAACAGGACATTGAAGCTAGGTTGAATCAGCTATGTTTGGCACGAGGACTCCACGCCCATGCTGCACTCACCAGCCAAAGAAGTCGGCAAGCAGGCCTGAACCAATTCTTCCAATAATGGAGCCCAAGTATGTGTATGCAACCAGGTTATACGCCACGTTTTCTGAGACCTCTTTTTCCCTGGCGTAGACTACGAGGAAGTTGAACGGAATTAGAACACCGGTATTCAGAATGACCAAAGACCAGGTCAGTGCGAGAAACCGCCACTCGAGAACGGCTGCTCGAATACTCCGTTGAGATGGTCGAACTTCATCGCCAGACTCATCATGACCGGCAGCTCCTTTTCTTTCTCGAATGAGCAAGCAACCAAGAAAGAGCAGAGGAGCCGCGAGGCCTCCAATCACCAGAAAGATAGCACCATGTGGTAGCATGTTATTCAGTTTAGGTATATATGTCGACCAAAGAGCCCCCCCAACAGCGGACCCCGATGCGGCTAAACCCAAAGCCAAAGGCCTCTTTTCGTTGAACCACTCCGTGATGGCACCGGTGGCCGGGTAATATCTATCCATGCAACATTTCGAATTAGCGACCGGTTTCTGTGCGGGCTCGCAAGGAGTCAAACAGACAAACGGGCAGACACTTACAGCAACGCAGTTCCCGTGCCAAAAAAGATGCCTTGAGTGACGAAGAAGTGCGGGAACTTGGTAGAGAACCCAGAACCTAGCAAGGACGTAGAAACGAGCACCGCACCCGTGATCATTGGCCAACGCGCTCCCTACTTGTCAAACATTGGCCCAGATATAAGGCCGCCGCAGAAGGCAATGCACATCTAAACAAATGTGAGCACATTGGAGTCGGATGTTCTCCATCAAATGGAAACAGGAAATACCTGGATGCTTCCAATCTATGAAACCTGTTCAGCCGTAGCATGTCTCCACGGATAGGATCCGAACACACCGTCAGTGTAGATGTCTTGAAAACTCCCAAAAGCGTTTAAAAGCCCTGCGACGTCAGGCACACCCTCTACATCTGAAACCGCAGGAAATTAAGACTCACCGAATACAAAAAAGTAGACGATGAAGCCACCCACAACGACAAGCCAGGCCCTCAAACCGCCATCAGGGACAACGATGTGGGATTTTCCGCTATATGTTATGCTCTCGCTGCCATCGACACTGGACGTTGAATCTGGGACGTCGGGCATCCATCTCCGGTCGCTTTGGGACCATTTCATCCGCGGCCAGCATGAATATGCGACATCAATCGTTATAACTGTTGGTAGCTTAGGTTCAGAGTCATCAGTGGCTCCATCAGAAGCTGACAGCGCAGCGCTTGGGTGGTAGAAGAAATTGCCACGATCCGATGTGTAGTATCCCGATTTGAGTCGCTCGTAGGCTATACGTGGGGGTGAATATGTTGATTCGTGCCAGGCGAGGGATACACGAGGCGGTCGTCTGACGTCCAGTTTCAGGGCATGGAAGGAAAACATACCAGGCTGACAAGTGCACGGGGGTGCACACAGAAGCAGCTTGCGATGATGGGAAGCAAAATAAAATGCTATTAAAAAAATACAGATTTTTGATATTTTATTGTAGAAAAGGAACCTTTCCCTCCATTTTTGCGACTCTCGGAGAAATCTATGCAAAGGGAAGTACAGAGAAACAAGCGGCGACGGAGGCAACGGCGTATAAGCGAAGATTGAAGCCGTCCTCAGCCAAAGAAGGCGCGAAGCAGTCGAGTGATGGGCCCCCCTTTGGTCTTGCCTTGTAAAATTGAAACATGAGCCCACCGGAAATGTGTAAAGCCAATTGACACTGAAGGCATGTATGTATTGAAAACATTACATAGTTATATCGAGTTATGTTCTACAATCGAGGTGCTGCACATGCGATATTCCTGCCGCGGGTCATGAAGCCCGATTTCAAAACACACGAGCGAAGATGAGGCCAGGGTAAACTACAGCTCGGGTCGGTCTTTTAATTTTAAATTTCATTTCATAATCGTCAGCGAAACTTTCCTTCTCGCAGATCTCTCAATAACTAAGCGGGAGCTGATGTGGCACGCAAGCTACTCTACATCGAGAGACAACCGGAGGTATTGAGCATGCCTAATTATGGCAAATGGTGATGATAATGTTGATTGTCTCAATTAAAAGGTCCGATTGGTCTCATTTTGAGGTTACATATGTGCAAATCATCGGCTTTCATTTCTGACTTGGTTGAAGCTCAAACGCCTTGATGCAAAGTCGTCATCCCACACGTCGCCGTCCGCGCCACCACGGAAAGTCGGTGGTAACACTTGGGCTCATATAGACACACCCAAGGAACGTGAAACGCTTGAGTGGACGATTTGGCAACTCAAATTACCATATGTTACTCGATTTAGGGCTGCTGTACTCGACCAGACCATGACATCAAGTGACGGTGCAAGCCGCGGAGCGGAAGTGGGCGGAATAGGCCTCGTGAAGTCGGAGGTCTGTGGTGTCTTGTGAGCACAGCATAATGAATCAAAGTTTTATACTTAAAGCGGTTCTTCTAACATGTCCTTCATTTTTTTTAAAAAAAAAGACAGAGCCCAGGGGGAATTTGAGAACGAAACGCTTGTCTCGTACGACAGCCATCGCAACCTACGAAGGCTGTTACATACCACGGCCATGGCACTCTTCACCACAATCGTCATCTTGCTTGCTGCTACTGCTGCAGCAGTTTTGACCTTACTTAGACGACGTTCGCCTATTTCATTGCCTGGGTATAAGGGCGAGGGATCCCTTGCATTTTTACATGACGCCAAAGCCTTTGCAACGAAGCCCATTGCACTCATACAGAAAGCCACGAGACAGTGTGGTGATGTATTCAGTATCCAGGTTCTTTCAGTGTACAATGTCTGGCTCCGTGGCAACCAACTTAACAGGGTGTATCTCGAGACGCGAGAAGATGTCTGGTCGTTTGTTGGCGGCATGGTGAGAAGTGCAGCGGCGTCAATTCTGACCAGAACACTGACTACCATCAGGGGTTGTTCCTAAATAAAATAATCGACAGCGGCTACTGGGATCATTACCGAGTCCTTTTATCCTCACTTAGTCGCTACGTAAGCTCCGGTCCGGCACAAAGATATGCTGCAACAGTGTCTGTGGAAGAGACGCAGAAAGCTGCCGCCGAGTGGTCATTGTGGGATGGCTTCGAGCTATTCGACTCGGTTTCTTATCTTGTGCACAAGATCATCGTTAGGTCGCTTATGGGAGAAGACTTTTACGAGCACAATGCTGCCGAACTGTTCAATCTCCTGCATTCCATGGAAGCTGATATTGGCAGTTTGCTGTCTTTCATCTTGCCCGACTGGGTTCCTCACCCACCTGCGCGACGCTTACTGAAGGCGCGAAACCGCTTCAAGGAAATCTTCATGGAGCGACTCCGAGAGAGAGACAGGCAAGAGAGAAGTGACGTTCGGCCTCTACAGGATTACGTTGCGTTCACCATGGAAGACGGCGCGACAGTGCCATTGAAGTATCTTATGCCCAGCCATCACACCATGCTCATGTTTGCTGCTCATACAAGCACTGCTGCTAGCATTTCATGGAATATAATTGCCGTAAGCAGGAAGGACAAGTCACATAATCACCAAGCCATTTGACTAATATAACTCAGCTTCTGCGCCACCCCAACGTCATGAAACAGGTGACAAGCGAGTTGCGCTCGATGCCCGAGGGACAAGAGTCGCTTCTCTTCCAAGCGTGCATCAAAGAAACGTCAAGATACTACTGCGGAATGAAGCTCCTACGGTTAGCTCGCGAGAATGTATGCATTCCTGGGTCCAACGTGAACATCCCCAAGGGAGCAGTAGTGTCTATAAGTCCATATCTCACCCACCTTGACCCAGAGAACTACTCTGAGCCGGAAGTTTGGAACCCTCAGCGATGGATCAACAACAAGCGAGAAATTGTGCAAATAGACAATAAAACGGATGGTGTGAAATATCTTCCATTCGGCGGCGGCAGCCACAAGTGTGTAGGAGAGAAAATGGCCATGATAATGGTGGTAAGGACGGTGGCGACACTCCTACGAGAATATGACTTTGCTTGGGAAACAGAGGACATCCCGGACAAGACTGACTTTTCAAATCTCAACTTTGACAAGGTTGGAACGCCCTGGCTTCGAGGTGGCGTACGGGTTCGGATGAGGAAAGCTACTAGATGACATGACGGTATGAGCGCCTGGTGATCTGTGATCCTGTTTTGTTACTTAACATATTAGGCGACATGGTTCACAAAGTCTGTTTTTGTAGGCCAATTAGTGCCGCACCATAGAATGAGCTGAATGAATATTTTCCCCCCTCCGCAACTTACATGCATCTCGGTCTTGCAAACGACAGAGAATCTAGCTTGCCAAGGTTCCCGCGGATCAAGTGCCATACTATTCGGTACTGTCATACATCATACTAGCACACACGAGATGTCAGATGAAGTTATACTCTGCCTTGACCTTGTGTTCTCTATGTATCTTACGGCCCCTTTCCAGCGAGTGGACAGCGTACATAACGCTACCATTTACAGAAACTCACAATACCTTGCTTAATGCAGAGCACAACCCCCCATGACAAGTATCGAAGGTTTCTAGAAAATTACAATGTATGCACTGCTGACAACGTCACTCGCCTTCCTTCACCATCTCACGCCCCCAGCGCGAACCGCAATGTCGGAAGCACGACCTTCGTCACAACGTAGCTTGTTTCCGCACATAACACATAGCCTATATCTGAGACCGAGAACTATGACGCAAAGCCAAATCCAATGGGATCGGACTGTCGGTGTGCCGCGGCCGCAGATTTGTGCCACGGCATCTCTCCGACTCATGTCGGGGGCCAAAAGACGCTGATCCGGGCTACTGGGAAGGGAAAGGGAAGGGGTGTCGCACCTAGAAGGCGTATTTGCCAACTACTTTGATGGGGAACCTGTGAGTTCCTAGCAAGACTTGGGTATTTAAAAAGAATAGCATTACGTGATTATGTGTGGCCGAGTTACGTCCAGTCTGCTCGACTGCAAACTGAGTCGCGGGTGGGCAGATCCAAGTCGCCACATCACTTTGCATCTTCGTCAATCCACGGAGAGGATAGACAGTCGTCACACAGGAGGCCTTAGACCCACCTCTACGAGGCGTGTACATCATTTCTTTTCTGTTGTTCTCTAAGTGGCTGCTTGCCTGCGGACGTCGACCGTGGATCCCCGATGCGGTGGTTGTCGAGGACTAGGAGGCACATCTGCGAGCTGGCAAACACATGAAACGGTGTGGTGTGCCCGGGGACATGGTGCTGCAGGTGGTTGCGTCATCTTGGGCTGAAGGAAGTCATGGGAAGCGTAGAGGCAGCAACTTAATTTGAACTACACTTTACTTGTGCCAAAGATGAAGCTAAGCTATCGGATGGAGAAGGCTGAATAATGAGGAGGTTGGCTTGAAAGGAACGAACTCTCTGAATGCCATGGCTATATACTGTAACCGCTCCGCCGTTGGACGTACGACAGTTGTAAGAGACATTTGATGCCGACGCCAGCGTATGCTCAAACAGTAAATTAAAGGGAGGGGGAACATTGAGATATATTCCAAGTTCATGCCCGTCCATGCTGTCTATGGCTAGAAGACTTCAGGATTCCGTTCGCGAAACATATTGATCCGTGGCCATTTCCCGTCATGTTGCCTCGGGGGTATCAAGCTACTCAACGTCTTCAATGCACTCTCGCAGGATCGAGCTCAGTTCCCCAATAAATTGTGGCTTAAATGCAGCGTCGTGGTCTCCGCTGAACGGGATGGACTGGAAGCTTCGGAACTGCGACGGATTCCACCGCATATTCTGCTCTCTCATGACAGTCTCAATCAGCTGTGCACCCGAATTTCCTTTATATTCCTCTGCGACGTCGATAGGCCCTGCAGTGCATTTGATAAGAACAGCGTCAAAATCGGACTTGGTGCCGGGGGTAAAGAGGTCGCCGGGCTGGACACTGGAAATGAGATCAAGACCTCGATGGATATGGGTTTTGATGTGCCGCAAAAATTCTTCCATGGCGGGCGGCTCGTCGCAATCAGAGCCACAGTCTGAATCGCAACCAGAATCATCAGTCAAGAAGTCGTCGGAAAGCGGAGACCCTGGAGACGTGAAGGGGCTGTTGGTGTCGAAGATGCTGGCTGCGCTGGATCGAGCACTCGATATCGTCGGGCTTGAAGGACTTTTCCAGACACTGGAATGCCGAGATTGGGTCGCAATGTAGTCGTCCATTCCGCAGTTGCTCGTAATGGCGGCCGAGACAGGAAAGTCGTCGGCGCAATCACCGTCATCGGACTGTAGCCCACCAGCTGAAATTGTGCGGTCAAAGGTGGTTTTGGCAAATTCCCAATGTTCCTCTGTGCTCTTGAACTTTGGGAAAACTTCCGGGTTGGCAGAATCAATCATGATGACTTTGTAGACCTCTTCTCCTCGAGCTTCCAGCATTTGCGCGATGAACATGGCAATCATGCCACCCATGGACCATCCACCCAAAAGATATGGTCCTTCAGGCTGAATATCACGAATGCCGTCGAGATAAAAGGCAGCCAGGCCTTTGAGGCTGGTGGGATACTTGAGGATATCGCCGCCGGGGCAGTGTAGAGGACTTGTGATGCCGTATACCGGTCTGTCGTCGTCGCTAAGGGAATCAAGATGAAGAAAGGGAAGAGCCACTCCAGAAATCGCGTGAACGAGAAAAAGGGGGGTCAGGTCAGACATATCATCACCTTGGATCAAAGTAATGACTTCCATGACTGCGTTGAGTATAGCAGTGAACACGCGGTGCTTTTCAATAAGAATAGAAAACTGTTCAAAAAATGGATGTGGGAATCTCGGTCTTTGCTAAATGAGGTCAAATTATTGTCAATATGAGGAAATCCCTTTGTGTGATAAATTTCCGGTGAACAACGGGCAATCCAGGCCCGTTGATACGAAACAAAACTTTTAGCGGGAAACCAATGACCTGCGAGAGAAGTCTACTTCCTGGAGATCTAGAAGGGCATGAGATCAACTCTGAACAAGAAGCAAAGAACGCAATCAACGACTCTAAACCCGTGAATGAAACGTGGCGTTCTGGAATCCAGTACTTCCATTCCCGCTTCCCAAGCCTCAAACTTTATAATATCTGTGTCAATTCGTCTCCGCGAGCATAGGGACGAATGCCGAGGGCGGTAAAGAGCGAGTTCAAGCACGTATCTAGAAATGAGGAGGCGATGAAAGCCGATCTCGTTGTTGATGGCGTGTCAAGCTATCTGGCTACTTGGGAGAGCTTGCGCCCCGAATGGGGAATAACCCTCGGCACAGCCGTCTGGGATTGCTCCGGTTGCAATGCTCTGTCTTTGCCTCTTGTTCGGGTTACCTCCATGGACAGCTAGTGTTAAGAAAAGGGTCCTCATGAATGAGTGATGCGTCTTAGCCATGATGGCGGATGACTCCCTAGACAAGCCTCCAGAGCACGTTTTCAAGTCGGAGGCATACTGGCCGTCCACGGGACAAGTTTCAAACTGAACCAGCTCCACATCTATTTCGGTAAATTTGCGTCATGGTAAATCACTGTGGCAAAGATCAAGGGCTCACGGGGGTGAGTTGAGTACTCGTGCGGTCAAGGTGGCGCATCATCATGGCACGAACAGGGAGGCAAGACGTGCAAACCCCGTTCTCAATCAATACAGCCGGCAAATATCAAACGGCCCGTACTATTCTTACTCGATTGGGAATACCCCCGGTGTTACAGATCAACGTCCTGGATATTGTCTTGTCCTTCCGCCAGCTCGCGGAGGCGCCGGCGATATGGCGCTTACTACCGGAGAGCTGGCCGGGCAAGAGAGGAGTACAAGAAGACGGCGAATTTCCGTCAGAACAATCTTGAGTTTCCTCGAGTGGCAATTAAACCCACGAAACCGAAAAAAGAGGGCGCGATTGAACCGTGGTATCTGTCTCTATTTCCATCAGCCCACGTGTTAGGGGTACGCCTGATCTCGACATCCATCATCAACTGACCAGTAAGATAACAAAGAAGTAAGTTCCTGCGTTCAACTAGTGTCAGTTGTGCATTACTTCCATGTGGAGCTGTTCGACGAACATTCTGTCGCATGGAATGTGGTGGCAACGGAATCCCTCTGTCGATACCCGCCACGCGCCATGCCACGAGCTAAACATTTCGTTGACTTTCTAGGTAGGCATCAGTAACAATGCCATACAAGGCCATTTTGGCGTCTTGCCTACTGCTGCTTAGAACTGCCTACGCAGTGCCTGCGGCCGTTCCTCCCAACGGTGTCGATGAAGCTCGATGGGGTCCTGGCGGACGATGGAGTGACAGGCCTGATTCTTGGAACCCCCGTGGAGGGCAATATGACTTGCCACTTGACTGGGATCCTCTCGGTTTCGCTTCCAGGATTGGTGTTGGATCGCCCAGATTCGACTACAAAGTCTTTGTCGACTGGACCTGGGTCAGCAACATTGTGACTACGCCCAAGTGTTATGGCCAGTGGAATCCGAGTCTTTGTCTGCACCCTCAGCAACCCTACTGGGATCCTCGCAATTCCACCACGTTCAAAAATTTGACAAGCGAGTACGCTGATCGCTCATGGAGGCCCAACCACTTTTTCATGCAAGACCCCATGAGCATCGAGTATGGCTCAGATTTGTTGCATATTGGGCCTGTGACTGGAGAAGCTGTCCTGCAGTTAACAGACCTCCAATTCAACGTCTCGGCCAAATACGGAACCCCATTCCCTTTCACAGGTATTTTCGGCATGTCACCGGTCTTTCGTGGTGATGACGGTAAGATGAAGCCTGACATCAGCTGTCGAGGTAAGCTGGGCCGCGTTTGCTGACACTCTCGCCACCAGTTGACTATCAGTCCGCCTACTATCAGCAATGGAAGAATGGCCACTGGAGAACGGCACATACCGGGTTCGTATACTGTCATGAAGAATCTCGCAAGCCTGTTTGCAACGGACATGATGGTATCCAGACCATGGGCGGCATCCGTCGCGATCTCATCAAGAACCAAAAGATCTGGTGGTACGATGTGAGGCTGTACCCCGATGTCAACACCCTAGACTTTGTGTATAACCCGCCCGTGTACAACTACTGGGGCATCGAACTTGCAGGCCTCAAGATTGGCACCGAAGTCCAGAAGATTGAGCCTACATCAAACAGCTCTGGCAAGGGTGCCATTTTCGACCACGCCGCCTACGGTCGTGGCACTCCATTGACTCCAAACGCCTACGCCAGACTGGCCCAGATCACGGGTGGAAAGCCCGTGGAACTCAAGGAGCCTCCCAACAATGGAGAGCAGAAATTCTTCTCCGTCGACTGCTCCAAGCTCAAGTCGTTCCCCAGCATCAAGTACAAGTTCACGGGCAGTAGCCGAGAATGGGCCGTCACCCCCGAAATGTATGTCGAGAAGATGAAGGACGGTTCTTGCGTGCTCAACGTCCGAACTCTTGCCAGTGGTGACAAGTTGTGAGTCCTAACCCAATCACTTCGCGTTCGCAATGGAACAATCGACGAGAGCTGACCGAGTTATTCCGTCCACAGCATCGGGAACTTTGGCGAGACGTTTGCTAAGGAGAAGTACATTATTCTTGACTTCGAGAAGAACCGAGTTGGCATCGCAGATATGCAATGGTGAGCCCACATATATTGTAAACAAAGAGCGTTTTAACTGATCAATCCCAAGGCCATCCTTCTAATAGCATCGACTTATCCGCCTCGTAGGGCGTGACTCCGCGTGGGTGACGCGCTCTCAGGAACAGCCACGACTGGTCGGGGTAATGATGACTTGATTTTTGCAAAGGCGGAAACAATATTTGGCAAGGCATAAAGTAACGCGTTTATATTCTTCAGTACGGCATTCCAATTGACCTGCCGCAAATTAGGTGATGATTGTCAGATCAGAGTAGTAGTACTGTTATCATATGAACTCTGGTTGGTTTCTTAGGGTCACCATATCCTTGTCGGCGCTTGTACCAAAAGGGTAATACAGGGTAGTAGCATCACTTGTCCCGACTCCCAAGTCTCGACGGACTATTTTTTCGCCTCCTTTTATTCATTCTCTTGTATATTCAAATAGACAAAGAAGCCGAAAGGGAGAACTTGACAGATCCTTTTCCAATCACAAAAATTAAAAAAAAAAATTCACGTATATGCCGTGTCTCTACCGTGGCCTGTCTGCTGTTTGTAAACGAGCGACAGCGTATTCTCCCGTATTAGACTTTTCCGCGTCGTAATGAGGAGAGGGTTGTAATGTTTGATCTAAACCATTCAGATATGCAACTACTTTTTAATATTAATAATGCACCTTAGATTTACAAAGTGTTTAGACTCCATGCAGTTGTCAACAACATGTGGAAGAAAGAAAAAAGGTAACGTCTGCCCACCTAAGTACCAGGCCGCATCTGTTGGATCTACACGGAGGATTCCGATGAAGCGAATTGTGTATATATATGTACACTGTAATTCGTTCTGTTTACATCATTTCCTGCCCTGTCTTGAATGACCCATGAATGACCCTTTCAGCTTGTTATTGCACGAGCTGGCCTCCCTACGGATACATTCGCAGTCCTGGGTATTTCGTTTAGCTACTGTGACCTTGATATTGAGACCTTCCTCCCAACGAGCTGCGCACATATTGCACCACGCCATGATGGAATACAGCGTGTATTCGGCTCCGTGAAGGCCCGCATACTACTTGCATGATCTCACATCATTCGTCAGAATGTCTGGTCTGTCCGTTTTCTCCGCCTGCGAGTCCGAAGAATGGTCTAGTATCCGCCGTATTTCATGCCCGTACCTCCGCCGTCCATCGGCCAAACCGCAAGTTGGATGACCAAGTCGTACGATACCTAGCAGTCCACGAGTTTGCGATATGCTACAAATAGGCTTTGGAGGTTCATACTTTGAGGAAAAACAAAGTGGCATATGCACATCCGGTTCATTCTTCCGAAATCTCCAATAATAATAAATAGTGTCAGGCTTTCTTTAGCCCTCACATTATTCTGATTCTTAATCACCAACTCGTCTTGTACACAGTTTCATCTACTTCTCAATCATGTCCAAGGTGGATGCTGAAGTCATCATTGTTGGAGCCGGTATCGGCGGCCTCACACTCGCTGCAATCTGCAAACGGCTGGGCATCACTTACAAAGTTCTGGAGAGGACCGAGGTTTTGCAGCCTGTTGGCGCTGGAATTTCTCTGGCCCCTAATGCTCTTCGCGTCCTTGATCAGATTGGTGTCTATGAAGAACTTCAGGAGACTGCTCAGAAGCTGCAAAAGCTGCAAATCTGGCGCAATGCTACCCAGTGGAATAGCTTGAGTTTAGAGAAACTTGAGCCAACTTATGGCTACCCAATCCTGTCTGCTGAGAGACACAACTTCCACAGACTTCTTTACAAGGCGGCTGGCGAAGAAGAGAATGTCATCCTGGGCTCCAAGGTTGTCGATATAGTTGACACTCCCGGCGAGCCCGTTCGTGTCGTCGTCGAAGGAGAGAAAGAGTATCGTGGCAACCTTGTTGTTGGTGCAGATGGCATCCGATCAGCTGTCCGACGAGCCCTCTTGCGCAACACTGGTCAGGAAGCGTCGGCGAATACCATCCAGTTCACTGGACGTGTGCATTTTTCCGGAATAACCAGCCCACTACCTAACTGTGGTCCTAAGGAGCTGGGTATTGCCAATTGGATGCTTTACGATCAAGCAATCCTGACCACCTGGCCATGCAAGGACAACAGACAGTGGTATATTGGGGTCAAGGTGAGTTCAAAGTATTATTTCTTGAACATCAGGGGGCTGCCTATCCCAACCCGCCGGTTCATGCGGCAATGGAGAGGAAGGCGAAGAGTCATGGCAGAACCTCCGTTCGTTTCCTCAGGTTCGGAGGTGATATCAAACTCCGGATCTAAAGATAGGCAACATGGATCGAAAATGCCACATGGGAACCTGTCTCAGTTCACTAGACATGAAACATAGGGATCTACATCCTTTGCTGACTTGAACCCTGTTTCAGAAAGCGGAGGGAGACGTCGATACAAATCGCTCGGTATGGGATTCGATCACGCCCGCAGACATCAAGAAAGTCTATGGCCGAGCTTTCCATCCATTCGCGGAGGAGGGTCAGTTTGGAAGCAGTAAGAACATCCTCAATGTTCCAGCGTATGCCTCTTTCGCCGAGAGGTTGCGCAGCAAAAAGGATTCCACCCTACTAGAGCTGACCACATGTAGTCATCGACAAATCGGAGAGGGTTGTTGCCAGTAACGTTTTCCAGGAAGTGGAATTCCCATCCATGTACAATGGAAGAGTGGCACTTTTAGGTGATGGTAAGTGGGGAGGTTTTCATCATAGCCCTGCTGGACACGGTTTGTTGAAAGATGTGCGGTTGCTGACAGGTTGTTTGAACGATTATAGCCGCCCATAGCATGACGAGCTTCTTTGGACAGTGAGTTCCCTATCCCACCCCCACTCTACTATCCGAGGAAGCTGATAATGTCATCGTGAAATAGAGGCGGTTGTCAAGCCATTGAAGATGCCGCTGTGTTAGGCAACTTGTTGGCTGAGAATCGTAGCACTCTCGTTGAAGACTCTGAACTGATTCTTTCTACGTACGCAAGGATCAGAGAGCCTCGAACCAAAGACTTGTCAAGGTTTAGTGATAACTTTGCTCTACTGCATACAGCAAGATTGCCGTACGGCACCGGCCCATTCGTGAGATGGCTGCTTTACACCCTTGTGCCCACATGGTTTTGGATCAACTATCTTGGCTGGCTGTACAAGTACCAGCCAACTGTAACTGCTTTAGGTACGCCGTCTGCCCACGGAAAGAAGAACGCGTGAATAAAAAAGGACGCTCCGAATCTGAGATGTGCGCTAGGGGGCGGCAATGGTAAGCTTAACGCATGAACTGCTGCAGGAACTGTCCAGGCTTCTAGAATGTAGTAGCTGGTGTGTGGCTTCCCGGTGGTCCCCTTGGCGTCCATAAGCTCCCGGTGTGTGGCTGGAATTCTTATTGTATTTATCTAGTATCAGGAATTGGCTCCTCCTCATGTTTATCCTTGGCTAGACTTAATTTGTTTTGTCAGTCTTACTACTCCTCGTTGTCTCTGCTATTCTGGGCATAGAGTGCGTGCTTCAAAGTGAAAGCCATTCGGCTTGCCATCTTCGTCCACGGCTGAGTGGTGTGTAGTGATGTTTGGCAACGAAGGGAGTATACTGGAAGCTGTCAGCATCAAATGGATGCTGCGCCATGAGATTATGGCTTTCAGTGAACTCTCGTAGCGGGAGAGCGGGAGGCCCTATGAAGTGGTGGAATTCCAAGAGTCGGTTATCTCTGGCCCGCCCTCATTGTCATTAGCGTTCTGGTATAGTTATGCAGTAGTCATACATACACCAACTGCGGTTTGCCATGATGTCATTGTATCTTGAAAAAGGCTGAAGCTGCCTGGGTCTTCCCGCATAAGGCGGTAAGGCTGCCGTCGTCCTGTTTGGAGCGGCTCTTCGGGTGCCCAACAGGCAGCTCCGACAGGAAGTAGGCTTAATTGACAGCCGAATCCTATCAATCCTATCAGCTTGACGCTGTTTGACTAGACGCTATAGGGAAAAACATGAGACCATGAGGACTATCCAGGGACCAACAAATGGAGATGGATGATGGGTCCGGCCTGGATGTCGAATCCTGTTCAAACAAACGCCTTGGCCATCCTGAGACTCGAAACACGCCGGCAGAATACCCACTTACCACGCGGCAGATCGACCATCTATCACCTAGCGCCGCCTTTGCAAGCTCGTAATCAATGTCCATGGGCCGTAGGTGTGAACGCCTCGGAGGTGATGGTACAGGAAAGGCTGAGCCGGGAACTCCTGAGTACATCCCCCCATGTTTCAACGGAGTATTTGTCTGGTGGGGCAGGAAGCTGGGCCGCACCTTCCCTCTCCCCCCCTGTGCGTCTTGACTCTTGAACCTACCCATGCCTCCAACTCTCAATTGTTTGACACACCCCTCTTTCAACACCTCTCCACGTCCCTTAACTTGGTAGACAAATCCACCAGCACCCAATCCATCATGACGTCTATACCTGCTTGACACTAGTTCCACTTTGTCTCACCGGGAGTGCAGACCCTGATTCCTGGGACTTCGTTGCTCATAACAGCATGGCAACTGCCAAGACAAGCTCGACAGGGTCCCAAGAAGCGCCTATTTCGGGGATGGGCATGTTGGCACGATTTCCGGCCTGGCATTTTACCTCCCCGAGAACACGGCAGACACAAGGATCGGCCTCCCTCATGGCCATGAGTTGACACAATCCTACCTAGCTGACTATGCAGGCGGGCGTGTGTCTTGCATATGCTCCATGGATAGTCAGACGTTGTAGTAGAGCAACGCAGTCTGAAGCTGAAGCACAACAAGTACTTGAATATCCATGGTCCCCATTGATATCATTCTTGAGCTTCTCGTCATGGTACTCTCAGAAATCCCAAGAGCAGCGAGGACCTCACCCCTCATTGTCTTTCGCTGCTGTTCAAATATTTTCATTTCCCTGCTTCCCTTGTGCCTTCAAGCTGAATTGTCTGGATAGCAGGTCCGAACTTGGCTTTTCCATTAGTATTATAACCAGACTTTAAAACACCTTGCCACTTGCTTGGCTATATTGCACGCCTCGAGCACCTTTATGAGCAAAGACTGTTTCATTCGATACCCACCATCTCCCTGCCTGTCACAACCCCATGATCATCACCAGTTGCCGACTACTGTTTACGATAATCATCAACGCTGCATCATGGCTTCTAAACACCCATTGAGACGTTCGTGTGCATTTTGCCGCGCACGCAAGATCAAGTGCTCCAATGAGACGATTTGCGAAGCATGTCGAAGACAAGGAGCTGACTGTATATATGACTTCGAACCACCTCGCCCCAAGTCTCGAACAATCAGCCAAGATGGCCCTCGATCAGATCCTGCAGCGCGAGTTGATGGGCTCTCTGGCCTACAGAGATCCTCTACTGGCGGCACACCGGCAAATGGAAGCCCTACTGGCACCTTCTCCGAGGAGCCAATGCCCATAGACGACGTTGATAACATTGCTCTAGTGTTGGAACAAAAGTTTTATGAGAACTTTTCTACAGATACCGGCCAACGATCCAATCCATGGCAGGAGAGGATTGCAGCCTATCACCGCTCTATCCAAAACTCCGTTAGAGAACGCCCCGAGACCATGACCGCCAAGTTCAACCCCAAAAATGTCAAGTACACTGGTATCCTAAACTTATTAACACACGATCTTGTCGGCCTGATTACAGACCAATTCGGCTCTCTCGGTTGCCATCACGTTGAAGATGGCGGGGCCAGATTTTTCCTTTCTGGGTTGATTAGTGACGAGACCCAGACAATGTTCGACGACGCTCCCTTCAGTGGGAACCCGCTCTCAGAGTATGGTCAGCGACAGCAGACGCAGCTAATAGATGTCTGGTTCTCTGTACATCCATTATCATTCCTTGTTTCCAAAACCCTACTTTTAAGAGAACTCCGTGATGGAACTCATGATGAAACCCTCCTTGCCACAATGTTGGCTGACGCCAACTTCAGCATTGGTGACGAGGTTGCCATGGCCCGTGGCCACGTTCTGCTTCGATGGGCCACGGCTCAGCTGCGAACAAGACCTCTTCGATCCAACCAGTTCTCCTCAGCTGGCGCCGCCCAGTACAGCGGGATCTCGACACGAATCTTTAGTGGTATTTCAACAGCTCAAACCTTGATGCTTTTGGCTTGGAATGCCTTATGCTCATTCCAGATTCGCCGTGCTACCTGCTACATCGGCCTTGCAGGCAGGATTACCAACGAGATTAAAGAGCAAATATCCAGCACCGCGGCCCCTATGACTTCAAGCCGAATCAATGGGATTGATGTATTTGACGTTGAGAAAGAGATTGTGGCCTATCTTTACTGGACGACTCATTCATTGAGCCTTTGGGCGTTTATTCAAATGGGCAACGGTTATTTTTCTGGTCTTCTCCCTACCTCCTTAACTTCCATCTTCCTCCCTGTGACGGAAGCATCGTCAGTCATTATTCAACTAGATATGGTGTCGGAAAATTTCAGCACATTACAGAAACAGAAATCTGTCATTCGCGAAATGTGGCCGCTCGCCCACATTGCCAGCGTCATTGCCTACATTTTTGCCCTTTACCCGCACGACACAGACACGTCCGGGTCCCCGAAAACAAATTTTTGGCAAGAGGCACCACTACTTGCACTGCAACGCATTCAGCAGGGCAAACCTTCGCAGGATGTGGGAGCAGTGTGCCGCGAGATAAACAGAGTCTTGATGGAGAGCATTCACATTCTCAACAGGCAGGTAACAGAGGTCTCGTCGAGAAGTTTGGTTCTACTTGTCTACCATACCATGGCTATCCACTTTCTGTTCCCAATGTTGCCACAGGGCCAAGCTGAAGAAGCGGTTTCAGCCGAGATGGTGGACAGATTGTGTGCCTCTAGCCAAGAGGTATTACAGATTTTCACGGTGATTTCAGAGCAGCCCCAAGACTTGTTTAGCCTCACACCATCACTAAGATCCTCATTTCCCGACCTATTTTGTCTTGCATTAGACACCTGTGCGCGGGCGCTCAATCTTATTCACACCAAGAAAAAGATGGGGGCGTTGCTCATGGATCTGTCAATGATGCACACTTCCGATACCAGGCTGCAATTGTTGGCAAAGAAGCTATATACAACCAGTCAGAATGACTTCTTGAACCAGGGTAGGTCCCTGAGATTGGTGCGGAAGCGCCTGAGGGCTTGTGTAAGAGCATTTGGCGGATCTCGGTCCGGGTCTGCATCTTCCGGAGCCTCATCTCCAGATGACGGCAGCAGGTCTGGGAACTCCCTGCCACAGTCTCCTCTTCATCATAGTCCCCCAATCATTGCGGGTCATGAATCAGACCGCATGTCTACAGCAACAACTGCCGTCATCGACTCGACGTCTTCATTCATCTCGCCCATGGACACATCCACGATTCCTCAATCTATGCATTCATCACTGCCTTCTTCCGACTCGGGTAGGAGCTCCATTCTGTACAGACTAGTTGATGATCTTCATAAACCCGATTGGGACGCCGCGGACGAGCTGTTCCACACTGTCCTTGACCCGGGCGCTCTCGGTGCGCCTGTGGGAGACCATCTCAGCGTCTCTGACTTTGTTGACATGCAAAATGCCTGGTATCCGCAGATTCCCGGGTTCATGGATTTTGATATCTCTGGATCGATGTCTGGAGTGCAATGGGAGTGGCCAGAACTAGGGGTCGAGACGGCAGCGGCAACGGCCGGGGCCGACATGGATTCTGCCTTGTATTATTTTGACAACACACCTAACAAGAGGCCATGCTGAAGGCATTGCACCGAAACCGTCTTTCGACACTCAACATGGTCTGGCATACTGGGGTTTCCCCTAGGAGCTTATCTTTGCGATTGGTCTTGACGGCCAATTCAGCCCCCCCAGTGGTGGGCCAAGAAAATGAGCATCCTGCTTTGGAGGTACGGCCCCCAACGTTTCGAGACACATACGGCTTCTCTCATACATCGACTACAGACTTCATCAGTACCACGAGTGCCCTTTGCACATGAAGACGAACTAAAAATATTGGAGACTGCTTTGATTTACTCCTTCTGGATCTGACGGTGTCGAAGCAGTGCTTGTTATGCGAGAGACGACTCGCCCGCATTCTACTTTTACACGGCCACTTGGCACGAGCACTACCCTGATTTATTAGCTCATTGCCTAACAGTAGCACTATTACTTCTTCTTACTCATGGGCATACTTATGGAAGAGAGAGCGAGGGAAATTCATCTTTCCCACATTTGAGAGACTGTATTCTTTTTTCTTTTAAATTTTTGCCTTTTGTTCAGTTTTATTATTTTAATCGGCGGTAAACAAATTCTGTGCTATTATCAGATTTTGGGTGATATTGTTTACTAGACTCCTGAGTCTGCTGCCAGGGCTACATCGTTCTGTTTACTTTTTCTTTGCCATGCTCACATAGACCGAGGTATGCAATGATGCGCCGTTCTTATAGAGATAATATGAATATAAAGTTGAACTAGGCAGGTGCGTCATCTTTACGTCTAGTCATGATAGAATTAACGACCCTGAAAATAGTTGTCTTGAAACAGTCCATTTGTTCTCTGTTCTAGTGCGAGACCATTTGCGAGACTACAACGCAACCGCATGAATCACACGAACCGGCGTCACAAAATTTTCAAGTGAAGATCCATGCCAAACCCGAAATTCTAGGGGCTGGTGATGCAGGGAGGTCATCACGGATGGATTTGTGTCATTATTGGTCAACAAGTATTCTTGCGACTGCGCCGCCGAACGGGTACCGAAATGACGATGGCCCAAGGTAGGAATATCTTGAGAGATGTTTCCAAAATAGAAGCATCGTGCATTATGTGACGTTTATCCCCGCTTCATCCATCATTGTGGATGGCTGGTGAAGGAGGATGGTGGTGTTGGTACAATTGTACAGGTTTGCAGTGAAGCCACAAATCAACATCGGAGGTGACCGAAAACTAGACTAGGAGAGAAACTTTTGGTCATCCGCATGCCTTAGATGAATCATGACGCCAAGGGTCGGAGGTGTGTGCATGGTTCACTAATCAAGCAGCTGGTGCGGGTACTGGAGAATCGCGATGTTGTGAACACGAAACACCAAGGATTTTCAGCAGAGGCCCGTTGGGCGTCCGTCAGCTCATCAGGAGGCACTTGTAGAGGATTCAACTCCATGCGAATTATAAGCATTCGATCCGATGAGTTATAATTTGCATTTCTTGGGGTTGTCGCTTCACCAGTGCTTGGGGAGTAAGTTATTGCAAGATCCTTAGAGTTACCAAATCTCAAACTTTGGGCTAACAGGACGTTCCGATAGGGCCAGGTTTGTGATTATTGTGAACAAGCTGGTCCTGGTGATTGGTACATGCCCTGCCCCAGATCGATTACATGGCCGCTTTTGGGGACAGAGATGCCAAGCGCAATCGCGGGCGCGGCGAGCGAAACACTCGCTATTCCTTTTATCCTTATTCCTTTAGTTGTCATGGCAGGCTACCGGTATTATTAGATCTCAGTATGGCTCAGGAAACAGAATTTTTAATACTTACGGCAGAGACTCGAGATGACTCGTTCTTTATTGTCTAAAGCGCTGTTTTATGCTTGGGCTTCTTGGCCGGCCCTCGACGAATGTGAGTACTTGGGACAGCGCTTTCATATACAGTAATATATTGAAGTTGACGACTTTGGTAGAATAGAGTAGGAGATGAACAACAGTTAACTAGATCAGGTGCCTACCTATTATACTCAATATCCTAATATATTGTAGTATATTAGTCTATACTTTCTACTTGTGAAAGACGTTTTGCCAAAGGCTCCAATGAATATGATGCAAGGAAACGCAACTTGTCTGCTTAATCTCCGAGGATGCCCTGGTGCTCTACAGTTCTAAAGCCGATTAACCAGGCTCTCAAAATTAAATGATAAGCTTGGTGGAGGCGCGGCACTTCCCATGTCACACGGTAAGACCAAGTTTATAACAATGATACCTACGTCACATTCACGACTCATGATCGTGATGCGCCTCATGTTGAACTACCGCCAGTTGGTCTCTTTTCGTCTCCTCTCACGCATTTCAAGCCCTGTATGCATCACCTTCTTTTCAGCAGAACTTGAAACAGCGACAAATCCTTCACTGGAGCTGGGGGAATCGGTCTGTCAGCACCATTGGCTTGGCGGCGACACACCATCTTGGGTGCACTTGGATGCCCTCGCCCGATACACCCTGGTTCGTGAGTAAACACACTCCATGTTTGCGGGCCGCACCATGCGATTGTCATGCGCAACATCAGAAAGGAGCCCCAGGCTATTTTCGGAGAGGCCTGTCCTTCTCTTGATGGGCCGGCCGCCGAGCAAGGATTGATTAGTACCACCTGCAGATAATGAACCACGGGACCTGAACCTAAGCGGAGGCGGATGACTATTTTCTGACTACAGGTCCATGCTCCATCTGTGTTCCCGAGGACCTAGCTGAGGCTGGCACAGCCAAACAGCCTTGTGTCATGGTGCTGCGTTTCTTGCGCCCGGGTGGCGGCGGCAGAGGCTCGTCGTGCGACTTCGGACGATTTACCCGAACTCAGTCAAGCTTTCTAGGGCGGTTATGGAAGTGCGAACAATATAGCCTCAGGTTAGGCCCAAAGATGGTGTCAAAAGTTGCATCGGAAGCGGTCATCAATGCATACTTTGTTCAACTGTGAAGCCACGAGGGTGTCTCTTGCTGTAACTCGTATCAGATCTCAAGAAAAATAAAGGAGCATGCCAATATTGCACAAGTATTTCCCCGTTTACCACGACAGAGAGTGGTCCAGAGCTAGTGTTCTCTGTGGGATGGAGATGGTCTAGCTGACAACTATTACAGTCTTGTCTACTTTTGTAAGGATTGACAGGGCCAAAATGTATGTTTTCTTGTTGCCATTCTTTAATGCAATGCAAGGGTACTGACTACAACGATAGTGTGTTCCTGCACCATGTTGCTGTTTCATGTCTTGACTGCTGCCAGTCTGTCTACCTAGTAAGTTAACTATCCCCCGTGCTGTACCTGCGGTATTGGCCTGCACGGCTGGCCCCCAATGTTGCCGTCGGGCAAATGGCCTGCTGTTTGCCCGCGGATGGGCTTGTCAGAGGAACGTACTGAGCATTGTCGTCTGCCCCAAAGCGACATGTGTCGGGGGGTCTTTTGTGGCACGAATTCTTGGGTAAACACCAGTGGTGGGCTGCAACTGGTAGTTATAGTAAACAGAAAGACACAGACTGAGGAAGCGCCAGTATGGTTTTTATAGTGAAAGAAACCACCCAATAGATAAGCCCTGTCATGGCAGAGGATGCTTTCGCTGAGATATGGTATGCCAAAGGGAGGAGATGGAGCTATATGCCTTACAATGCTGGCCGTTTCGCCTGTACAAGGCTGTATTGAAGCTCTGCATATACCGCTCCGTAGAAGGACTGGAAATGTATGCTTGCATTTACCTTGAGTATACGACAAGAACTGTTGATGATACTTAAATTGGCTCTATCATACAGAAGCTACGACTTGCCAAACGAATTCGACCAAAATGTTCATAAATCGGAGTAGGAACGAACAGTGTCATCTCCCCTTTGCCAACATCAGGCTTGAGGCCGCCAAATTCTCACAAATCAACTCAAGGGGTGAGGCTCTGGATGGTCCACGACAGGGCCCCTTGCACATCGGTGTTTCAGAACCCCTGAGCTGTGTTTGTACCCCATGGGGGGTTTGAGTGAAATCTATTTCGAGGAGCATCTACAAGTTCAACGCCCCTCCACGTGTGGTAATACACGTGGAGGACAGGATACGGCACGCAAGGATGTCCAACCGCAGGATAGATAAGATTCTGCGGCATGTGAAGAGCAGTGCAAAGGTATAAAAAGAAAGCTGGAGTATTTCTCCAAGCCGTTTTTTGCACAAGTTTACTTCTACTGCGGCCAATTGTGGTTTGTTTCATTCAAGTATTCGCCAGTGGCAACTCCCAAGCTGTGCTGGCGAGGTGTTTCCGCGTCTAAGAGACTGATGGCATTTCGAAAGCCTCGAAGGATTGTTTCGTCTTCATGCATGTCGAGGGCCAACAAGTTGCAAAGCTGTTTGGCATGCGTTCGAATCTGTATTAAGCTCCGCAGCCCCCAGTTCGGCTCAGGATGGCGTTCGAAGCGGCTTATCCGAGTTCGCACCAACACTTTATCCAGTCAGGTTATCGAACGAGTCCGGGCCAATTGAAACAAAAAGTTTACAACGGCCCTGGGAGTATTGTGGGTTGCCTAGGGTGTTGCATAATATTCCTACTTGTTAGCAGGGCTGACGATGACTGACAAGTGTCTCTGGATCACCGGGCGAATGCGACAAACTGCCCCCACGGTCATCAGAGTCCACATCGGCTTGCCCCGTTAGCTCCAAGGGCACCATGAACACGATGTCCGGTTTCAAAAGATGGTTGAATGTTTAGTGAAGCCGGTAGGGGGCTAAGCTGAGCGGGGGTAGCAAAGACGTGAGCACATAGGGCGAGTTGCAATGCTACACAATTGAGGGAAACACATGGAAACTGCAAGTAGATTATAACTAAGGTTGTCAGCAAACTGAATAAGAACGAAACTAAAAAGATGCGCAACGGCTCAAGTTGGGTGTGGCTTCGCCCCCTGTCTGCGTGCCTGAAGCTAGGAGCTTGAGAGAACCCTGTCGAACTTGCGTGTTGGACCCCTGCATAACTCGAGATACTTAGGGCCTCAAGTCACTGTGGTATCAGCAAGTACCTCTCTTTTCACACCGGTTTGACTTGTCAAACTCAGCAATTAGTTACGCCTCTCTTATCAAGACAGCCACTCCGTCACTATACCAGATGCCGCTCGTAAAGGACCCGATTTAGGCGACTTCCTTCCTACGAGGCTAAAGGGGCACCTGCAGTAACTGTAACACATCTGCCTGAAATCAAGTGGCTAGCAGACACATGGCTAAAGACCCTGGCTCTCTGCCTCGTGGCTACCCGGGTTATGGCATGGGCAACCAAACAGGCGTAGTTCCTGTTATGGACGGTCCAGGGTGCTCATGGGCCCATGAAAGCCTGTCGATAGCTTTTACTATACGAAAACTCCAGAATCCCATTCCGGAGCCGTCCGGTGACGGCCGCCGGAATAGTGAGGATGCTCCGGATGGTGCCGGAGCTATCACTCTGAAACCAAGGCAGCTCCGGCTCCGGGATGCACCGGCAATGAATGACAACAAGAGCAATAGAGTAGAACTAAGATGGAATATGTCGTGGGTCATGCAGTTGTTGGCAAGTTCTTATACAAGAGATGGTCCCAACTACATTGTTTTGAGGTTTCTCGATACTCCAGCTCGCATCTTCTCAGTCTTCTATTCAACAGCTCAGCTCAGTTCCTTGCGGTTTTAGAAGATTGCTAGTTGTCGGCTTTGTACCGTTACATAACCCTTGAACACGTAGGGTAATATTGATGCCCCTTTTGGTTTGTAAGAACCAAGGTTTTGAGCATTTCATTTTCAGCAAGGGCATATTTTGAAGTTCCGAACCCTAACAGACGACCCAGGAAGCATAACGCTCTTTCTTATCAAAGAACTAGACTTTTAGTCCCATTCATCTTCAAAACCCAAGGAGATTTATACAACTCGCCAGCCTTTTTGTCCTCGAGCAACTTTGTTCAAGTCTAAACACAATCGCGAATTTATACTAGTTTAATAAGCTCAACTCACTCACCGGATCAACAATGGCTTCCAGAATCCATGGACGAGCTGATGACCCAAGCGTTATAGTCGGTCTTGCCTGCCGTGTACCTGGAGCCAACACTCCCAGCAAGCTCTGGCAGAGCATTGCGGAACAGCGTGATGTCCAGCAGAAGATGCCCGAGGACAGGCTGAAGGTGGATAGTTTTTTCCACCCTGAGCCCACCCACAAGGGCACGGTATGTGAAGTCCAATAATGAGCGACGCCCTGGCGTTGAAGAATCGGTATACTAACACGCTTGGTCAACAGACGAATGCCCGTTTCGGGTACTTTCTCGACCAAGATATCGGAAACTTTGATGCGGGTTTCTTTGGCATCTCTGGAAAGGAGGCCGAGGCCATGGACCCCCAGCAGCGTCTGCTTCTCGAAGTAGTCTATGAAGCCCTCGAGAATGCTGGAATCACTCTTCAGGAGATTCGAGGCTCGTTGACGTCCGTGTTTTGCGGAAGTTTTACCAATGACTATAATGCCATGTTGACCAAGGATTTGGAATACTATCCCAAGTACACTGTACGTCTTGCTCTTCGACCCCCTATTTGATCTCCGAGGCTTCAACTTCTGACCCCCTGTTTGTTCATATAGGTGACTGGCACCGGCGACGCTATCCTATCCAACAGGATTTCCTACTTTTACGATCTTCACGGCACCAGTGTCACCATTGATACCGCTTGCTCTTCGTCCCTTGTCTGCTTCCATCTCGGTAGCCAGACCCTGCAAAATGGCGAAGCCGACATCTCCATAGTTGTTGGGTCCTCGTTGCACTACGACAGCAACGTCTTTGTTACCATGACCGACCTCGGTATGCTTTCCACCAACGGCCGCTGTGCGGCGTTTGATGCTTCCGGAAGTGGCTACGTCCGAGGTGAAGGCATCGCCTGCGCTATTCTCAAGCGCAAGTCTGATGCCATCGCCAACGGTGACAGCATTCGCGCTGTTGTTCGTGCTACCGGGTCCAACCACGATGGTAAGAAGAATGGCATCACTCTTCCCAACTCTGTTGCCCAGGAGCAGTTGATCCGATCAACATATGAGCGAGCCGGATTGAACCCCAGCCACACTCAGTATTTTGAAGCTCATGGCACTGGCACCGCTGCCGGAGACCCTATCGAGGCCCGAGCAATCGGTGCCGTCTTCGCCCCCGGCCGCGATGAGCCATTGTTTGTCGGTTCTGTCAAGACAAATATTGGCCATCTTGAAGGTGCCTCTGGTCTTGCTGGTGTAATCAAGACCACGATGGCACTGGAGAACAATTACATCCCCCCAAACATGCACTTCAAGACGCCAAACCCCAACATCGAGTTTGAGAAGTGGAAGATTACTGTGCCAACGAAGCTTGTTGAGTGGAAGGTTCCCGATGGTGTTCCCCGGCGAGCCAGCATCAACTCCTTTGGCTACGGTGGTACCAACGCCCATGTTGTTTTGGAGGAGTATACTCAGGACGAGCAAATACCTGCTCCTATTCCTCCTGAGCCTGTTGCCAACGGCGTGCACTCTCGCCCTTACCTTGTTCCACTTACATCTCACTCCCCCAAAGCAGGCGAGATGTCGGAGGAGACTCTCAAGGCCTACCTCAACAACACCGAGGACGCCACCATTGCCGACCTTGCCTACAGCTTGTCGACTCGTCGGACATTGCACCAGCAGCGTTCGTTTGTTGTTGCGAACGACAAGGCCGGCCTCGTCGACCAGCTCTCCTCTCCGCGCCCAGCTGCTCCTTGGGCCATTGCTAAGAATCCAGTTCCCAGGCTCGGCTTCATCTTCACAGGCCAGGGTGCTCAGTGGTTTGCCATGGGCAGACAACTCATCGAAGAGTGTCCCCATTTTCGCCAGAGTCTGCAGCGATGCGACGCCATTCTCAAAAGCCTCCCTGATGCCCCTGAGTGGTCTATTGTCGCTGAGCTCAACAAGACCAAGGAGACAACTTTACTAGGAGAGACGTTGTACTCTCAGACCATCTGCACCGCTCTCCAGCTCGCCATCGTTGACCTGATTGCATGCTGGGGAATCAAGCCCTCTGCTGTCATTGGCCACTCTTCTGGCGAAATGGGCGCTGCGTATTCTGCCGGCATCCTTTCCTTCGAGAGCGCTCTCATCGCAGCCTACTACCGCGGGCGATATATGTCCTCTAGTCGCAGCGACGGTGTTCCTGGTGGCATGATGGCTGTTGGTCTTCCCGAGAACAAGTGTCTCGAGGAGCTCAAACCTTATGCTGGCCGTCTCACCATTGCTGCTGTCAACAGCCCGTCCACCATGACTGTTTCCGGGGACCAAGACGCTATCCTTGAGCTCAAGGAGAAGCTCACGGAGAAGAAGGTCTTTGTTCGACAAATTGCTGTCAAGCAGGCCTTTCACTCTCACCACATGTTTCCTCTGGCGCCGGCATATGAAAATGCTCTGAAGAACAACCCTGCCTTCAAGACCAATACCCCAACGTGCCGCATGTTCTCTAGTGTTAGTTGTCGCCGGGCTGACCACGAGAAGATGGGGGCTTCTTACTGGGCTGCCAACATGGTTCAAGCCGTTCGATTCTCTGATGCCCTGACCGGCATTCTCCTCGACGAAGAAGATGAGCAGAATGTGGACATTTTGGTTGAAATTGGCCCTCATCCTGCCCTCAAGGGTCCGGCTCGCCAGACCGTCCAGTCTCTCAAGCTGGATCTTCCCTATGTCGCCTCCCTGACCCGCGGTGTGCCAGACTTCGAGGGCCTTCTGAACATGGCCGGTACTCTCTTCTCTCTCGGCTACCCCGTTGATATCGTCGCCGCCAACCAGAATCTCAGTCAAACCTCGAAAGGGGCTTTAGTCTCTACTCCTACCGGCACCAAGCTTCATGATCTCCCGACGTATACTTGGGAGCACCGTCGGTACTGGTCCGAGACTCGTTACATCAAGGAGCATCGCCAGCGAGAGTTCCGCCATGCGACTCTGGGCCATAGGGTCGCCGGCTCCGTCGTGCGACATCCTCTGTTTCGCAACTATCTCCGACTCAGCGAGCTGCCGTGGCTCAATGAGCACGTGGTTGAGAACAAGGTCGTCTTTCCTGGCGCCGGCTACATCAGCATGGCGATCGAGGCAGCCATTCGCACTGACCGGGTTGAGAGCGTGAAAATGATTCACCTCAAGGATATTGTTGTCAAGAACGCTCTTCTGATTCCTTCTACCGACGAGGGCGTCGAAGTACTTCTTCAACTCAAGCCCGTCACTCTGTCCGCCAAGAGCCACTCGGATACGTGGTACGAGTTCAACGTCTTCTCTTACGATGAAAACTCAAACTGCACTAGCCACTGCCATGGTCTCGTCAGCGTTGAAAGGGGGGACGCTGCTCCTATCAATTACACTTGTCGCTATCCCGAGGGCACCAACTTGAATGAGCTTCGCAAGAAGACGTACCGGTCCATGCCTGCCGGCACATTCTACAAGAACATGGCAGAGCTTGGCCTTGCCTATGGTGACAAGTTCCGTCTTCTCAAGGGCAGCATCGAGAGCGGCGTTGGCTTCGCCGTTTCTGACCTCGTCTTCGACCCCGGCCATCTTCCCTCGGAGGCGGGCGACGAGACGGTTCTGCACCCAACCCTGCTCGACTCCTTCTTCCACGTCATCTTCCATGCTGTTGAGAACCGTCTGGGACGTCCTCTGGACGAGCCCTATGTTCCGTCCTTCTTCCGAGCTCTCAGGATTTCTGGCAACTTCTTCGACGGGAGATACTCTACGGCCGTGAAGAAGTTTCAGGTTGCGTCATTCACAAAGCTGCCCTCTCCTCGTGTCGCCATCAACGACATGATTATGCAGAATGACAGGGGGGAGCTGATGATGGAGATTGCCGGGCTCGAGGTGACTTCTCTGGGGCGCGAAGATCCCAATGGCCAAGGACCGCGAACACTCTTCTACCGTCAGCGTTGGCAGCCATTTTTTGACATGATGACAAACGTCGAGGGCAAACCTGTCTCTGATGTTGTTGATGTCTTTGCTCACCAGTATCCCAACACCAAGATGTTGCACATCACTTCCGATCTCGACAAGACACGAGACTTTATTCAGCATTTGGGATGTGGCAAAGGAGAGCGAAGACGGTTCAAGCAGCTAGACGTCTGGTCACTCCAGGGAAATGAGTTTGGAGAGGAAGCCGAAAGGCTGTCCAAGGAATGCCGCGGTCTGGTCAACGTGGTAGAGCCGGCTCTCGACTCTTATGACCTTATAATTGTCAGCGAGACAGGTGTAAATGCAGTTTCATTTATGAATGGCACTGGATGCATCTTGTTCGACGGACAAAAGGGCGTCGTCACCGCGGAATTGCAAGAGCTCTTCTCCAGCCCTTTCTGTACCGCTCTTCGCAAGGCTGTTGAGCCATTCACTCTCAACTCTGAGTTGTCCGTGGTCATGCCAACATGCAAGCCTTCTGCGCGAACTTCCCTCATTCTCAAGGAGCTCGAGTCTGCTCACGGTGGTGACCTCATCTTCACCAGCTTTCCCGAGCTGGCGCACCAGGGCACCGCGTTATTGGCCAAGGATGTCGTCGTCCTTGCAGGATTGGACGAGTCCATCTCCGACAAAGCTGCCTTCAAGGGGGCGCAGGCTCTTCTCACTTCTCTCGAGAAGAATGTCATCTGGCCAACCGAAGGTGCTACTCTCGAAGCCAACCGCCCAGACAATGCCATGTTCATCGGGCTTGTCCGTGCCGCGCGATCTGAGAACGACACTCTTCGCGCGGTGAATTTTGATTTCGGCATCGACTCTCCCGCACAGACTGTCGCTGCCAATATCGTCCGTTTGCTCGACGGCAGAATCACAGAGGACGAGTTGACGGAACGAAACGGCATTGTATACATTCCCCGCGTGGAGGCAGACGACGAGCGCAACTGCAAGCTCAGGAACGGCCCTGACCAAGAACCCCGTCTTGAGCCCTTTGGTACTGCTCAGACTCGTACGCCTCTTGCTCTACGAATCGGCAAGGTTGGTCTGCTCGAGACCCTGTACTTTGGTGAGGATACCCAGGTCATGGACACCAAGATCAACGACAATGAGATCGAGGTTGAGACCAAAGCTTCGTCCATCAACTTTCGTGACGTGGCTGCCAGCATGGGCATTATTGAGGATTCCAACCTCGGTGACGAATGTGCCGGCATCTGCACCAAAGTCGGCGCCAATGTCAGGGGCTTTCAAGTTGGCGATAGAGTTGTTGCTCTCCGTCCCGGCCAGGGCGCTCACCGCAGTCTTGTCCGAAACCCAGCGTCTTGGTGCTACAAGTTGCCCGACAACATGTCTTATGCTGACGCTGCTGCGATGCCGCTGATCCTTGGTACTGCTTGGTTTGCTTTGGATCATACTGCTCGCCTGGCCAAGGGCGAGTCTGTCCTTATCCACGCCGCGGCCGGTGGTGTAGGCCAGATGGCAATCCAGATCGCTCAGCGCGCGGGTGCCCATATCTACGCTACTGTAGGGTCTCCTGCCAAGAGGCGGCTTCTCAAGGACGTCTATGGTCTCAAGGAGGAACAGATGTTCTCTTCTCGTGATGCCTCGTTTGCCGAGGGCGTGATGGAGGCCACTGGTGGCAAGGGGGTTGATGTCGTCCTCAACAGCTTGGCCGGTCCTCTGCTCCATGCCTCTTGGGCCTGTCTTGCTCCCTTTGGGCGATTCCTCGAGATTGGGAAGCGCGATATCCACGAGAACACCAAGATTGCCATGGACCCCTTCCGACGCAATGTATTGTTCGCTTCAATCGACCTTGTGGTAAGTTTCTTCTGCTTTCCCTTCTTCCTTGGAGCGACCAAAGATTAACATGCCGTAGACCATGTTTGAAAAGAATGAGGCTCTCGGCGAGAGGCTTTTCAAGGAGTGTTTTGCCCTTCTTGCCAATGGCGAGATCCGCACGCCCGCTACAATCAAGCAAGTCCCGTATTCTGACGTTGTAAAAGGCTTTCGATTGTTGCAGATGGGAAAGCACACTGGCAAGGTAATTGCTGTAGCTCAAATTTGTTTTAGACAAATGTACTAACAACCTTTGCAGATTGTTCTTGTACCCCATGCAGAAGACATGGTCCCGGTTATGCGCGGCGGATACCGTGATGTCAAGCTATTCAGCTCTTCAAAGACTTACCTCTTGGTCGGTGGTCTTGGAGGTCTAGGTCGCACTCTCTCTCAGTGGATGGTCCGTAAGGGAGCCAGAAAGCTTGCCTTTTTGTCCCGTTCCGGTGCCGACAAAGCCGAAGCCAAGGCCACCATTGACTGGCTTATTGAACGTGGTGTTGATGCCACCGTATACCGTGGTGATGTCTCCAAGTTTACTGATGTCCGGAGTTGTGTTGACCAGATTGGATCTTTGCTAGGAGGCATCTTCCAAGCCGCCATGGTTTTGCAGGATAAACCTCTGGAAACCATGACATACGAACAGTGGCAGCATTGCTGCCAGCCCAAGGTTGAGGGAACCAAGAACCTGCACGAAGCAACTCTTGGAAACAAACTGGACTTCTTCGTCTGTTTCTCTTCCGTTGCAGCTGTTGTTGGCTCCAAGGGCCAGGCCAACTACTCGGCCGCCAATTGCTACCTCGATGCCCTCATGCGACACCGTCGTGAGCTTGGCCTCAGCGGGACTACGATGAACGTCGGCGCAGTTACTGGTGTTGGAGTTGTCGCTGAGAACGAGGAGCTGCAGAAGATCATGCTCAGAATGGGCATGGACACCATCAATGAGGAAGAACTCCTCTACCAGCTCGAAGAAGCTGTTCTTGCTGACAAGCCTGGTCGCCCTGTCACTGCTCGCGGCTGCAACGGGCACCAAATCATCACCGGCGTCGGACTCATCTCACCGGATGTATACTGGGCTAGCAAGCCAATGATGAAGAACCTCTACACTAACCACGATTTTGGTGCCGAGGGAGCCGGACAGAGCTCCAAGAACCTCCTTGCTCTCCTCGGCGAGGAACCCGATATTGAGAAAAAGACTGAGATCCTTCTTGACGGATTCTTGGAGAAGATTGCTAGCGTTCTTGCTACTCCCCGCGACTCAATCCTGCCAAGCAACCCATTGTCTGCTTATGGTCTCGATTCCATTGTTGCTGTTGAGTTCCGAAAGTGGTTCCGAAAGGAGGTCCAGGCTGATATTGCGCTCTTCGACATATTAGGTGCTACTTCTATCAACGCCCTGGTGTCCAAGACTGCTCGTATGGTCACCACTATCTCCGCGAGCAAACATACCGCTGGCGATAAGCCTGAGAAGAAGTCTGCTGTGGAGTCTGAAAGCACCAAGGAGGATAGCAACGTCTCTGCCATGGCTACGGGACAGCTCATAAAATCCCAGCATAGCGGCGTTGTTCCCCTGTCTACTTTCCAGTCCCGTCTCTGGTTTGTCCATAGTTTCCTAGAGGACAAGTCCTTTCTCAACCTGCCCATTGTTCTCCGAATAAGGGGCAAGCCCGACTACCCAACTCTCCAGAAGGCCGTCCAGGAGATGGCCGTCAGGAACCCTGCTTTGCGGACTGCATATTTCGAGGGAGATGACTTTGCCGTCCAAGAGCCCCTGGAAGATTTTGAGCTCGGCGTTGACTTTCGTGATTTGACCAAGGAAGTGGACACCGAAAAGGCTCTAGAGGAGTTTGTCAAGTATAATCGCAAGATTGAGATGAATGTTGAAGAAGGTGAAGTTGCTACTTATTCCCTTGCCAAGCTCAGTGAGGAGGAATGGGCTGTGGTTGGCATGATCCATCACATTTCCATTGATCGTGCCAGTTTGTTTCCGATAATGTCACAGTTTGTCGGCATCTATGACGCTCTGCGAACCGGTAATGATCTTGCCACTGTTTCTGCTCCCGAGTTCAACTACATTGACTTCACGCTATGGCACAATGCCCGTCTGGCGTCTAATCTTATGAAACCTGACCTTGACTGGTGGAGGACAACTCTCAAGGGCATCCCTCAGTCTAGCAAGCTTCTCCCTTTTTCCAAGGGGGAGCGCCCAGCAAGAAGTGATCCTCTCCGCCAGAAAGTCAGGGCAAACCTCAACGCCAAGTTATTTGCTCGTATGAAGCGAATTGCTTCACAGTCAAATGGAACTCCATTCCACTTCGTTTTGGCTGCTTTCAGGGCCTTCCTTTACAGATACACCGAAGATAAGGATCTTGTGCTTCTCATGGTTGACGGAAACCGACCTCATCCCGATACTGATCCCCTGATGGGGTTCTTTGTCAATCTTGCTCCTGTGAGATGTAATGGTAAGTGATTATGCCTGAGCAGTGACTTGAGCATGTTACTCTTCTGAAGCGGGTTTGAGGATTGGTAGTTGAAAACACGCTGACCATGACGTGTAGATGACTGTGATGTTCCGTTCGATCAATTGTTCCAGGCTACCAAGACTCGTGCTCTAGACGCCATGGCTCACAGCGGTGTTCCCTTTGATACCATAGTCGACATTATGAATGTCAAGAAGACGAGCAGCCACATGCCTGTGGGCCAAATCGCCGTCAACTACCAGATTCACGGCCCTGTCCCGACTTACACTACCTGCGACTTTGTTGTTGAAAACGTCGAATCGGACGACATTCCCACCGCCGCCGATATTCAACTTGAAGCCATTGAGACTTCTGAGCACAGCATGGACCTCAAGATTGAGTATGCAACCGCTCTATATGACAATCCCGACATGGAGCGATTCCTCGACAATTTCAACACCTTCCTCGAAAGCTGTATCAAGGACCACCGTCAACCCGTTGACGAAATCAGCATGTGTGGACCGCTCGAAATCGAATTTCTCAAGAAGAACTATTGGAATATGGAGACTAAAGAGAATCAGTGGGGGGAGCAGAGCGTACTTGATGTAATTACTGAGATGGCAAGACAACACCCTCAAACTGCAGCGATAAAAACTTCTGACTGCCGCAGCATGACATACAGACAGCTGATCGAAAGCGCGGAGAGCGTAGCCTCTGAGCTCCTCAATGCCGGCGCACAGCCCGGTGACAAAATCGGACTGATCGCTTTGCCCGGTCTTGAGGCCGTGACGGGCATGCTCGCCGCCCTCATGACGGGATCGTGCTATGTCGCGCTCGACACCGATTTCGCCCACGACCGTCTATCGTTTATGCTTTCCGATTCAGGCGCTGGGATTCTCTTAACTGGCCCAGGCCAAGACGGCCTTGTGGCTGAGCTATTGTCCAAGATGGTGATGGCCCCCAAGGTCATTAGGATCGAAGACGCTGCAGCCGCGGGCAGAACCGTTGCTCACCGGCGAGCACGACACCCCGATGACCCTTTTTATATGATCTATACCTCTGTGAGTTTTGATTCATATGAAACACGGCCACTCTTGCTGTCCCTTCGTAAACCATCTAACTATATACCAGGGAAGCACCGGCACCCCGAAAGGAGTCGTGCTGAGGGAGTCCAATACTCAAGCCATGTTGGCAACATTGAACAAAGACTATGCCTTTTCACACGAGGACAACTTCCTCGCACATACAACTACGTCATTTGATCTCTCAATTGTTCAGATATTCGGTGGCCTAACAGCAGGCGCAACTGTCTCGGTTGCTTCATGGGAAACACGCAAAGACCCCGTCGCGCTGGCTGACTTCATGATGAGAGAGGGCGTTAGTGTCACATACTTCACCCCGACTCAATTTGCACTTCTCATGGAGTTCAACGGCGAGGCTCTTCGGAAATGTTCCAAATACAGAGTCGCCTACTTTGCTGGTGAGCGGTTGCCCGTCCGTGTTGCCAAGGCATTCTACGATCTTGGAACGCCTGCCACTCTCTACAACACTTGGTCTCCTTCCGAACTCGTTGTGCAGACGTCCATAAGCAAGATTGATTATCCTGGTGAGGGCATTGTTAGTCTCCCTATTGGATATCCCATGGACAACTGCCGCCACTACCTCCTTGATATCAAAGGCAACCCCGTCCCGGCTGGTCAGATTGGAGAACTGGTTGTAGGCGGTGTTCAGGTCGGTGCCGGATACTTGAATAGACCCGACGTCAACGCACAATCATTTGTTGAGGATCCATTTGCATCCGAAGACGACCGAAACAGGGGATGGAATAGGATGTTCAAGACAGGAGACCGCGGCCGCTTCCGACCTGATGGCCAACTGGAGTTTCACGGCCGGATTGCAGGAGACAAGCAAATCAAGCTCCGGGGGTTTAGGATCGACCTTGGTGAGTTGGAACAGGTCATCTTCAAGGAGTCCCAGTCTTTGAAGAAGGCCGGCGCCCTTGTTGACATTGCAGTCGTGGCTCGCACCGTCGACTCTGATGAGCAGCAACTCATTGCCTACCTCGTTCCTAAAGCTAGCATCACCAACGAGGCTGACAAGATCGCCATTGTTTCTCACTTGCACCGCAAGATTAAGCCGCATCTCAACTACTACATGCTTCCCAACGGATACCAGTTTCTGGCCAAGCTTCCGGTTACCCTGGGCGGCAAGGTTGATCGCAGAAACCTTTTGGAGCGACGGCTACAACTATTGTTTCCGTCGAGCATCACCACACAGCCTGGCAACACCGTCTCAGGTGAACCCACTGAAGATCTGGAGGGAACCATTCTTGCCCTTTTCAGAACTACTCTCGGCGGAGAAATCGAGTTGAACGATTCATTCTTCGAGAGGGGTGGCAACAGTATCCTCCTCGTTCGACTGCAAGCCAAAGTGAAGAAGCAGTTCAAGATTGCTCCCCCCTTGCCCGCTCTGATACGGGAACCAACTGCGGCCGCCGTCTGCGCATACCTGAGGCGCGCAAAAGGTGGCGATGGCACCGATAAGGGTGGGCTTGCGAGTGTCATCAGCTGGAATGTCGAGACCAATCTACCCAACACCAGCCAGTACATACCACGATACGGCATCCCCCGCATCGACCGCGATGAACTCAAGTCCATTCTCCTGACGGGGGCAGAATCGTTCGTTGGAATCCACCTTCTTGCGGAGATTCTCCGAACCAAACGAGACGCCACGGTTCATGTCCTCGGCTCCATGGAGAAGCTGGAGCCGCAGGTCCTCATTGATCTCTTTCAGAAACTCGACCTGCTCCAGGACAGTCTGACCCTGGACGATATCAACAGCCGTGTCAAGTTTGTCCCGGGATCATTGAACCAGTCCAACTTTGGTCTGTCACGATCTGCTTTCAGGGAACTCGGTCAGACGGTGCAATCCATCTATCACCTCGGAGGTCACGTCTCGTTACTCAAAACATATACTTCTCTGAAGCCCAGCAACGTTACCCCCATATTCGATATTATCAAACTGTCGGGCCTTGGGTCCCATCTCTCCGACATCAACTACCTGTCCACCTGGTCCGTTGCCCATCTTCAGACTTGGTCTGCATCCAAGCGAACGCGCGAGGAGTACGCCACTGGGGAAGAAGACAGTAGTCACTTCTCGCCGCCTACCGAAGACGAGTCCGGCTACTTCAAGACCCGATGGGTTGCGGAGAACCTGCTGACCAAGGCTGCTCGTCGAGGATTTCCAGTCACCATCACCCGGGCTTCGGGTGTCACCGCCGCCGTCCGGGGTCCCGGCGTTCCCGACCCAGGTGACGAGTTCATCATGCGCATCGTCGTGGGCATGATTGAGTCGGGCATGGTGCCGCAGATTGGCCGTGCCGACCAGCCAAGCTTCGCCGTCGACGTCGTGCCCGTGGACTGGCTTGCCTCGAGCCTTTTCGCGCTGACGTCCGAGAAGCAAGCTCTCTCCCGTGTTGCCCCGTCCGAGGTGTGCTCTGCTCCTCGGATCTATCACATTACCAACCCGTTGCCGCTGCGCCTCAAAGACTTGCCCCGGATTATTGCGGAGCTCCGTTCGGAACAAACACGGCCTCGTATGGTGTCGCTTGATGAATGGCTCGACAGTATGGAGTCGGCGGAGGGCGAGAATGCAGCCGGCCAGGTTGTGAGAAGCACGGTGCTCAAGCAGTATCTTTCTACGGGTGGTGTCATGTTTAGTCTGGATAGCCGGAGGACGATGGATATCCTGGATGGTCTTCACCCCGGCGTGGCTGCTGGTTGTCCAGCTGTTGATGCTGAGTTTTTGAGGGCGTTGCTTGAAAGATTAAAGGGGGCTGACGACGTATTCAGCGGCTAAATGGATGCTCTTGCGGCGGATTGGCATGTAAATGTGAAGCAGTATGCACCAGACTAATATTCTTTCTTTTGTTGGGTTTTTGTTATTAGGACGCACTTTTTTTATGATTATATACTCTTCTAGAATAATTAATAAACTGAGCTGAGCCAAATGTTGCTACTGAGGATACGTGAGAAGTAATTTTCTTGGGAATGCCACGGAAAGACTGAGGTGTCATGACTGAATCGTATCGACACAAATGCCACCGGCGTCTCTGTTGTTTTTCAAGTCACATTTCCAGATCCACGCCACAAAGCCATAATTTTGAACTATACATGACCGTATAACGTAATGATGAACATTTCGTCAACGTATGCTGCGGTCTTCCATCATCTTGAGCTACCATGACAAGATGAGTATGTTCTAGCCAACACGTTCTAGACCTCAATCACAACTCGTCAAGTCCAATGCCACGACTAACACCAGACAGTATTGGAACCAACATTGAATTGACATTCACATGCTGTGCAGGCTGCTTACTGGCACCAGACCAGACCTTTAGTGGATTAGTGGGTGCTTTAGCGCTATTTTCCCCCCGCACAACGCCGGGGCTGCGCCGGGGCTCCACTATCGCCGCTCCGGTCCGCGGAATTGAAGGACATGGAGATGAATTGTCTACATAGGTACATGTAGTCACATATGCATGTCTGGTACCTTCCAGCTTTACTACTTTAATAAGACATGGAGTCCTTAAATGCCGTGCTACCATAATTGCACGCCCCATGCAACTTAAATTGGCTTGTACTCATCGGTTCAAATGACCTTCAATTATTATTATTGGTTGAACGTATTTTTGTGGATGATCGCGATCCCGCCTTTTTGGTGTTGACGGCTACGGGCACCTCGACACCACAAGTAATATCGCGAGATGCATGTAGCGCCGCAAGCGGAAACCCTCTGCATGCGGCCACCGGAGGGGAAAATAAAAAAGAATCTGTAGTAAATGATGTAAGTCTACTAGCTTCAAAATGCTCACATTCATCAGTGGCAGACGCAGCGTTGCTTACACCTATGACAAGGGCTCACGCTGGCATCGGACCTAGTTTGTCATAGTGACACAAAAGCAGACGCGTGCAGAATATGCATCGCCAAGTGCCGATGCATTACTGGTTCGGTTGGTTCATATGACTTGAAGCAAGCCATCTGCAATCGTATGCATGCTTGTACATATGTAGCTTATTACGAATTTACATCTGTCATTTCAGCTACATACAGTCCATTTAAAACATCCGACACCCCGCACCAGATCAAACACAAACAGATGACTTGAATCATCTCAGAAAAATACTGTGCGAAGAATCTACCGCGATGTCCATGCTAGTTGCCCTCGGGTTGCTCACTGCGCTGCTTGTTGCGTATCTCGTGACATCGGTAGGAAGACGAGGCTCGAAACTCCCACCGGGTTCGTGGATTGGATTCTCCGTGCAAATTGACTCGAGCTGACGTTTGATCAGGGCCACCGACGCTCCCCATTATTGGAAACTTGCATCAAATTCCGACCACGTTCACGCACTTGAAGTGGGTTGACTTACTTGATCCCGGGCACTCGGAAGCCATAAACTGACTTGCACCCATCTCCAGGTTTGCAGAATGGGCAAAGCAGTATGGTGAAATTTTTTCACTCAAAATGGGCCCTGCGACCTGCGTTGTCCTCACGTCGCCGCGTCTCGTCAAGCAACTTGTAGATAAAAAGTCGAATCTTTACAGCCATCGACCGGTTTCTCATATCGGCTACGATATTATTTCTCAAGGCGACCACATCCTTCTCATGCAGTATTCGGGTAAATGGCGAGCATGTCGCAGATTAATTCACCAATTCTTCATGGAGAGCATGGTGGTCAACAATCACCTTGCCCTCGTGGACGCCGAGGCTGTCCAGATGGTTCGCGACTTTGTCGAGGAACCAGAGAATTATATGCAACACCCAAAACGGTTCAGCAACAGCACCATCATGAGTCTCGGCAAGTTCTTGTTATCCCTCGACGCAATGCCACAAAGATGTGCTAACACGGCCAAGTCTTTGGAACACGAACGCCCGACATAAATGCCACCCACATGAAGAGGCTCTACCGCCTCATGGAGGCTTGGTCCAACCTGCAAGAATTCGGCAGTACCCCTCCCGTAGATATCTTCCCTCTGATAAAGTATCTCCCTGAGAGATTGTTTGGCAACTGGCGTACTCGAGCACAACACGTGAGCAAACAAATGAACAGTCTTCATCAAGAGTGGCTCAACAAGGTCGTGGAGAGGCGAAAGTCCCAAGGACCCCGCGACTGCTTTCTCGACCGCGCGCTCGATCAAGAGGACAGCGGCAAGCTTCCTCTCGATCGACACGCACTTTACTTTCTGGCGGGCACACTCATGGAGGGCGGTTCGGACACCACCGGCTCAGTCCTCGTCACCTTCCTCCACGCCATGACGAAATGGCCCAACGTCATGAAGAAGGCCCAGGACGAGATTGACAGCGTAGTAGGGGAGGACAGATCGCCCACATGGGGAGACTATGCACAACTGCCCTATGTCGCCGCTTGCGTCAAGGAGACGCTGCGCTGGCGCCCGGTCATTCCTCTCGGCTTTCCGCACGTCGTGGGCGAAGACGATGCAATCGACGGCATGGCGATTCCAAAAGGGAGCCAAATCATCATCAACGCCTGGGGCATGCAGCATGATCCAGAGCGATTCGCCGATCCAGACACTTTCAACCCCGAACGCTACGTGGGCGTCCCGCAGCTGGCGTCGGAGCTGGCGAATGGTGACTGGGAGAAGCGCGACCATTATGCCTACGGGAGCGGCAGAAGGCTGTGCCCGGGGATTCACCTCGCGGAGCGCAGCTTATTTATTGCCATGGCAAAGCTGCTCTGGGCGCTGAATATCGAGGCTGGTGTCGACGCGGAAGGCCGCGTGATGGATGCTGATGTCAGTGCCGAGGGAGCCTACGCGTCCGGGCTGTTGGTCTGCCCCAAGACGTTTCCTTGCAGGATTACTCCCAGATCTCAGGCTCGCAAAGACACTATTATGAGAGAGTTCGGCGTGGCTACAGCCGAGGTTTTTGCGAAATATAGCGACGATAAGGAGTGGTGATGGGGGGCAGTGAGACTGGCATGGCCTTTTGGGGAAACAATGAAGAATACATTGTTGGGCGTTCTTTCCTAATAGACGGCTTCTGCTCCTTGGTGTGAGAGCATTAGCAGAACAAACAGAGCCTTTGCTGCCATGGGCTGTAATCGATATGGATGGTGTCCGAAAACGCATCCGCCTCGTTCTTTTGGAGGAGAAAACCGCAGTTGAGATTCTCTTCAAATCAGCCCGAGTCTCTCGGTCAAGACCGCAGGGGTTCAAAGGTTCGGATGGATGAGTACAGAAGCAGTTGGGCACTTATATATATATAGTCCACCGTAGCACAGCAGCGTCTGTATGCGTGATGCTCTGTAGTTGCTGTCTATAATGTCAACTATCAGGATAGTTTAGCGTCTACTTGGCCACGGGGACATGTATCTTGCCACAGACTGCAGTTGCGTCCATCCTGGATCTAGATTAGATTCGTCTCTTTGGTGTCAAAACTCAGGAACTGGAGTTGCGCTGTGGCCAAATATTGACCACTTGGGAGCCAATTTAACTTAGCTAGTATATGCTAAGATGCTTCCGCCAACGCCACCAGAAGTGATAATTGAAGCTATACCAGAGGAGCTGAACGCCGCAAATCGACAAGCCACCACATCTGGGCATCAACTGCCGACCCGCGGGATAATGTTGGGCCACGGATGGGCCTCGACAACGCCCCTAGTTGAGGGGGTTTTCTAAAAAAGGCATCGATTTCTCACGGGGCAAAGATGCAGATGCTCAGGCGAGTTGACTGGTTCGTCCACTTGTGTCACGTCAGCACCGGTCCATAATATACGGAGTGTCGGAACTGATAACGCGCCACATTCAGTAGACGCAGGCCTCACTGCAGGTCCACCAATGGATTGACGGCACGGTTTAATGGGCCAGCCAAGGCCGATTTTTGGCACCAGTTGACGGATTGTGGCTTTGTTGCATGGTGATGTTATGCCAAGGTTGGCGTCAACGGAACCTGCAGAGCGGGGGATATTTAACCAACGCAGGAACACCACGAGTTGCTCACGACGTAACCATTTCCGCAGACATCGGACCCTGTAACCAATCATTGTTTCGATACATAAAGACACTCGGCAGCAATGGTTGTTCTCAAGGCAGAGTCCGAATGGGGCTATGCGCCGCCTCCCCAGACCCCATATAGCATCATCAGCAACATCCCCGGATGGGACATGTTAAAGGGCATCCGTGATGGGGACATGGCTCCATTGGCCAAAGTCGTACACATTTATCCTCGGTTGTCGCCGACTCACTATGTCCGCACAGTATGCGACCTCCCCTCCTCGTCTCTATAAACTCCCCAACTGGAATGCTAGACAACGTTTGGGCATTGCTAATTCGAGCCCGTGAACCATGTAACTAGCTTGCAGGAGGCGTCGCAAAGGCCGTCGGCCTCGAGGGCAAAGGATGCATGGTATACCTCGACCCCGTCATGTGGAAATACACAGCCAGCCATGTCTCGCACCAGCAGCGCCGGCAGTTTGCCATCTCCCCCAACAAGTTGATCTTCAAGGCCGTCGACGTGGCCGGCCACCGCCTCTACGCCGTGCTATTCGAGCCGGAGCACACCAAGGCGCTGATGCTCAGCTGGGGCACGCCGGGCATCGGCCTCTCCATCAGAGGAGCCGAGCAGCTCCTGGACAAGATTGACACCCTGACCGAGGTGCCCTTTGAGAATGCAGATGCTCCCCCCAAGCCGACCTGGACGCCAGAGGGCCCCTCGCACGAGCTGCTGAGACGGCGCATCGTGGAGCTGCTTCAACATGGCGCCATCGATCCGCAAAAGGTCCAGTGTCGATCCAACGACGTTTTCCTCTATCCAAGTGGCATGGGGGCTGTTTTTACGGCCAAGAACCTGCTGCAGGAGTATCGCCCCGGCTTCGTCAATGTCGAGCTGGGCATCGTGTTCCACAATACTCATGAGCTCCTGCACGAGGAAAGCCCGGGGGGTTGGAAGCATGCCCCCAAAGTCGATAAGCAGGGGATCGATGACTTGGAAGCGTGGCTTGAGAGCCAAAAGAGCAAAGGAAGCGGTGCGACGTTTGTAATTGTTGAGTATCCGGGCAATCCAACCCTCGACACCCCCGATTTGCCGCGTCTAAAGCAACTTGTAAGTCGCCCGGTTCTACTTTTTTTTTCTTTTTTGCCAAAGTCTCCTACTTCATGTCCAACTCTAGACTTACAATCCCTTCCCCCCCTATCTAGTCCGAAAAATATGGCTTCGTCTTTATCGTCGACGACACCCTAAGCTCCTTCGGCAACGTCGATGTCCTCGCGCAGAGCGACCTACTCCTCACCTCTCTCACCAAGTCCTTCAGCGGCAGGTCCGACGTGCTCGGCGGATCCATCGTGCTCAATCCCCTCTCGCCTCACTACGCCGAACTATCTAAGCGATTCGCCGCTTCTCACCACAACCAGCTGTTCGCCGCGGATGCCGAGGTGCTCCTGTCCAACTCCCAAGACTACTTCGAGCGGACGTCGCGCCTCAACGATAACGCCCGTGCCATGGCTGAATTTCTCGGCAAAACCATCGGCCAACCCGACTCGCCGGTCGTCAACGTCCAGTACCCAAGCCTGCTGCCGAGCAAGGCCAACTACGACGCCTTCAAGCGCCGCAGCACGCCGGAGCTTCCGACCCCGGGGTACGGGTGTCTCTTGACGGTGGAATTCGACAGTGTCGAGACGGCCAGGGCCTTCTACGATCGCTGCGGCTTCTACCCGTCTCCCCATCTTGGCGGGCACGTCACAATCATGCTTGCGTATAACATGTTCATGTTTGGCAAGGACAAGGATGAGGCTGCGGCGTTGCGGCCATGCGGCGTCAAGGAGGAGAGTGTCCGGATATCAGCGGGCTTGGAAGATGCGCAGGACTTGTTGGATACGCTTCAGGACGCTCTCAATGTAGCTATCGAGGTGAAGAAGGGGAGCAAGACTCAGTAGGTGGGTTAAGGGCCAGACAGCTACATGTCGTTGGAGCCTTTACAAACACCGACAGGCAATTTACCAATAGCGCAACGAGAAACAAGGCGCCATTTATCTTAGTCTTGATGCACAAAGGCGTGATCCGACAACAATGTAGTTATTGGCACGTATATTCAGACTACCGGTCTGGCGCAGCCGTTGGATAACAACTGCTTTTTGTTTTCTTACTGAAAAAGAGCAATTGGTATACTGAAAATAGCATGGCTATAAAATACTGCCATTTCTTACCTTGTTTCAAGGAATCCATCAAGTCTCGGGACTAATTGCTCAGTGCTGACGGAATCCTTGCTCATTTCCCACACGCAAATCATAAAGGTGACGTTCAAGTGAATTTTATAATGAGCAGCTAGAAAGAATAGAGCATTGAAAGAACAAGGCACTTCCTTACTTATTCCCGTATCCCGTTATCAAACCCAATACATCAGCTACCATTACTCACATCATCGTTTTGGCAGCGTCCTGTGCGTGCATCAAGCCAACTCAATAGCCCTTCCAGGATACCATATGGCAGCTCGTCTACCAGTCATTCATTCACGTCAAAATCTCAGCCTAGCATTTCAACCTACGCGACAAACAATTCACCACGGCAACACCATGTCAACACCATGTCAACACAATAAAAGTAACATGTTTCCAGTGTCTGTTGCACTGTGTAATATATATTCACTAACTACTAAAATCCTTCCATAGTGTATCTCATCCAAAACGCCATGGCAATGAAACCGAAACCATTAATGCTAGTCTAGTGGTAAAAGGGTAAAAACAAAACAAGCTTCTCACAACTTGCCGAATATTGAGGTCATGAGGACCCTGGTGACACGGTAAGGATCGGCGTTGGAGGCAGGTCGGCGATCTTCAAAGTAACCATAGCCCTTGGCGGCAGTTTCCCGTGGGATACGGATAGAGCAGCCACGGTTGGCGACGCCCCAGGAGAACTGATCAATGGAGCCAGTCTCGTGGCTTCCGGTGAGACGCTGCTCATTGTCCTCTCCGTACTCCTTGATACACTCGGCGTGGTGAGGCTCGAGCTTCTTGAGAGCATCCTCAATATGCTTCATTCCACCCTCGGCACGCATCTCTTTCGTCGAGAAGTTACTATGCATACCCTACAGCAAGTTAGCCACAAGCAAAACAACTTGTGTTTTCCCTCGGGGATTCTTACAGCTCCGTTCCAATTTCCCTTCATAGGCTTGGGATGGAATGAAACCTTGACGCCATAGTCTTCCGCGACGCGAGCGAGCATAAATCGAGAAACCCAGAGTTCATCGCCCACTGGAGGTCTGATTAGCATCCATGGCACAACATTGAACAGACAAATGGGTGTACTTACTGTTGATGCCAACGCATGGACCGACTTGGTACTCCCACTGACCGGGCATCACCTCAGCATTGGTGCCCGAGATGTGGATTCCAGCGTAGAGGCAGGCCTTGTAGTGTGAGTCGACAATGTCTCGCATAACAACCTTGCCGCTGCCAACACCGCAGTAGTAAGGACCCTGGCTATAAGGCTGTTAGTGTGCATGTCCTTCAAAAGCTACTAGTTTTCACAAGCGCGGTGCAACATACGGAGCAGGGAAGCCGCCAATGGGCCAGCCGAAAGGGCGGTCATCGTGATCTAGGAGGGTATACTCCTGCTCGAGGCCGAACCAGGGGTCGTGGTCGGCATAAGCCTCCATAGCCTTGTTGCACTCATAACGGAAGTTGAACTTGTTGGGAGTGCCGTCGGCGTTCCAGCACTCAGCCAGGACGATGATGTTGGGAGAGCCGCGGAAGGGGTCGGGGAAGATGGCGCAGGGACGCAGGTAGACGTCAGAGTTCTCGCCGGGGGCCTGATCGGTGGAGGAGCCGTCAAAGTTCCAGACAGGGAGGTCTTCAGGCTTGTACTCCTTCTCATCGAGGGTCTATCGCGATCGGGCACGGTTAGCTTCTGCGATTCTGTACTCGGCATGACTTGATGCGATCTGCAATATGCTGTACGTCATAGGGTATCACACATGGGCTGGGGCAGTCCACACGCCGCCGCACACGGCACCGAGGGCCCCCGAAGCCCGGACACCGATTGGTCCGCTCGGCCGGTGCCAGTGGGGATAATCTCGGGGTGACGCTGATGCGGGGTGGCTTTCTTATTCTGAGCGTGGCTGAGGGGCGCAGAGTCGCCTGCCTCGCCGCAGCGCCAGGCGTGTGGCTCAGCTCAGACTCTAGAGTCAACAAAGCGCCCCCCGTCTCGGCCTCGTGTGACCCGGAAACAGCCACTCGCAGCGCCAGGATTCCACGCCGCCGCCCAGAGAAAAGTAGAATGTGCAAAATGCTGACGGAACAAGTCGGGACCTGGCAAGCCACAAGGGCATTTGCGTCGTGTGCAGGCAAAATTGCAGGCAGGGGTTGGCCAGAGATAAGGGAGGCGGAGGATAGTTGTCATTGATTGACTGGGGTCGCTGGGGCTCGAACTCACCCTCGATTTTGATCGAGTCTCGCCGTTAGCATCGACCCAGACGTATTCGGCCATGATGGAGCCCTTTTGGTCGAGCTTGAGGTATTTGTTGAGCTGGAAAAGGCAGAGCGGTCAGCATATTTGCAGTTCGGTTTCGAGGCCGAAAGAAGAAGAAGAAGAAAACGTACAGTCTCCGTTCGGGAGGACAAAACTTCTCGATTCGCCTGGTAATAGCAGCGCAGTTAGCAATCTGGAGTGGTTGTTTTGTGCCTGCATGCAGGGTTTCTGGCAGCGCTCCTATTGGACGAAAGCGAGGCAGCGCAACGGCAGCACTTTGAAGATAGACTTACCATAGTTGCGGTGTTTTGTGGGTAGTGTGTAAAGAAGCAGAGCAACAACGGACAAAAAAAACCGATTCAATGCCTTTGTGTAGCAAAGAGCATATACAGCTGGGTATCAGGGGGAGCTGCAAACACAACCAGATGTGGGATGAATTAATTCGGACGGGTGTTCCTGAAATCGTCAAAACCTGGGGCGGCGAGTCTTTTATGTATCCAGGCGCAACGAGCCACCGAACCAAGGCGAGCGAGCGTCCAGAGGTCGGTATCGCAGGAAACCATTTCAAGCACTCCGTAATGCAAAAAAGTCTTATCCACACCCCCTCCCCTCAAAAGGACTAGGCAGGTCGCGGGGGGCGCCAATTGACCACGAAGCGCCTGCAACGGCGAGGGACTTGCGACGAGGTATAGATAAGGAAAGATACAAAGACGCAGTGGCTTGGTCGCTGGTTCCGGTGCTGGGCCGTGAGTGGGCGCCGCCGTGTGTTCGCCGCAACAAGCCCCAAAGAGTCCACCAATTTGGGTCGTGTCATTGGCCTTTGTCGACAATTGGGAGGCCCCACGACGGGGGGAGGCCTGGGACGCGCCTGGGACACACCCGGAGCCTGCCCTTCGGAGAGGGCGACGGGACTAGCTGTGTCGTGTGTGTACTGTTGGGATCGGAGTACTTGGAGTACTTTGCGCTGGGGTACAGTACCTCGGTTCTTGCCCTGCGAACGGAGGGGCAGTGGGGACTCGTCAAGTTCCGTCAAAGACTCAGTGGCGCGCTGGCTGCAATCGTCCAGCCCTGGGCGCGCTCACAGCCCTGAAAGCCCTGAAAAGCCCTGAAACGCTTCGCGACGTGGCGTGCTGCCCAGCAAGAGACGGACATGGAACATCGATGTCGACTTGAACATGTCAACTGGTCGATGGACCTCTGGGACTGTGCTCTGCCCGTCTGCGGCTTCGGCCATCAGATGGATAGATAGTCTGGGGAAACGGCCTCGGGTTATCAGGAGAATACAAGTGGCCAGTCAAAGCCATCGCTGACCAGTCGTGCTGACGCTATTACAATTGATATTGTGCCAAGCGGGATGACAGTGTACGGTATGTGCAACGCATCATTGATGCTCCAAACCGTTCATGGTCAAATCGTGAAGCCAAGGCCCTGGCAGCAGTCATTGATTCGTCTCCAACAAAGGCGCGACACTCTCTTCGCTCTATGACTCGTAACAGGCCTATGACACACGCTTGCACGCCCTTCCACGGTACTATTTGCCAACAGTTTGCCAGGGTTCGCCTGCTGTTCACTATCTCTCTTGGCGGTCCGACGTTTGTGTGGCCTGGCCAGAGAAGGGCTTCCAGAGGACCAGAGTGCTACATACATCATGTCGATATGTACAGGACTGACACTGCAGGGCATTCGCGGGTAGCGACGGCGCGCGTAAACCAAGGGTCCAGACGCATCTCGAGAAACATTGAAGAGACATGGACGGGAACCTGGGCCATGGCACAAATAACATCGACGACGTAGGCCAAGCTGATCCGTGCAAATGCGCTGCTATCCGTCAGGCTACATGTTGCACGTTATGACTGATAGGTTTCCCATTTACACTTAAAAGCAAACTTGCATACATGCCGCCTGCATCAAGGTTATGGTGGTAACCATTGGTGTGCGGCCCGGGCTTGCTGTGTGTTGCAGTGACCAGACAGCAGACAGCCCCCGAGGACACTGCTTGAAAGGGGGCTGGACTGGACCTTGTGTGTCATTGACCCGACAAGATTGACCAGACGTCACCTATTGACCGTATTACACCGACCGTTGAAGCGACTTCCATTTTGCCTGCCCAGACACAGTACAGTGGCGATGTACCTCGCTTACAGTTTTGGGCGGCCGGTACATGCACGTGCTTTTTTGCTGGCGTTTAAAGCAAATGGCGGGGTGGCGTTGGACCGCCGTTTTCCTCTCAGTTGCTCTTTTTCCCTGTGCCAAGAATCAGACTGGCCCCAAGGTGTCACATCGATGGGCACTATTGATGCAGTGCTCTGGCCATCATGAAGCAATTTTGTTCCTTTGCAATTTGTCTTACGCTCAAATGCAACATGGCCAAAGGGACTTGAGTCGTCGAATGCCTTCAGTCGTCATTGTTGGGGTATGACAAAACAGACCAGTTGACATCGGGAAAAGAATCGACATTGAATACCCACGCGCCCCGCTCAGTCTACTGTGGTCACTCACGCTGACATCAACAATGGATGCGCCTCAAACCGGTTTTCCATAGTTTTCCAGATTAATCCAATTCAAACACTGCACGGCAATCGTCATGCCTACCGAATTCGAGCGGGCGTGACCTCACTTGCAGACTTTACAAGGGACCCTGTATTTTCGTAATTAATACACTGCCGAAGCACTGCTGTGAAATGTCAACTGGTAAATCGCCGCTGGCCCTTGCCTCGTTTGGTCGTTTCTGGACGGCCGCTTTCCAGGCACCCGGCCGTGTAGCATCGTCAAATATAAGTGGAGTCGACCGGACATGAAATGGCCGAGTTGGCCAGGTGAACCAGCGGCACCTGTGGCGGTGGTGGGCGCTGAACGAGCGCCTGGAGGCTGACCTTGCGGACGTTTGGAAGGAGCATGCCGTCTGGCCACAGTAATTGACGCCCAACTCGACGCCTGGTGAGGCTGTGCGCTCCGTTTTGGACTTGGATTGGTCGGCAACACCTTGCAATGCTATTTTTGACATTACTCCGCCCGTAAACGAGCCGTGATGCGATCAATTGATCCCTCGATACGAAGCCCCCCAAACCTTCGCTTGTCTTGGGAGGCTGGGCATTGTGGCGCGCGGCCTCACCGTTTGAACCTTCCCGATGTCTTGGCTGTCACCAGACGGTGCACATGTGCCCTTCTTTCGTCACGGCGGCCGACGACCATCATCATCAATCTTCAAGTCGAACGCGAACACTATTTCTGGCAACGTCAAGTGCTCCGTACAGTAACGCTCCTCTCCCACACCCTCTCTCGCTGCAACCTGCGCCGACTCGGCACCCCTCGGAATGATTGCGGCAGGCACCGAATGTTCCTTTTTGTTACCTTGCATCAACAACACCCGTCTCAAAGCCTGGCTCGTCTCCGGACACAAGTGCCCCAGCCCGGCCAGCAAAAGCCGGGGGTTGCAGGAACCTTGGCAATTTCCATCTCCGGGGCGGAACAGACACCGTCTTGGCTCAGAACGGCGGCACACGACACTCGACTCTTCAATGTTTGGCTCTGGGCGCTCCCGCACATGTCATTCTTCATCGGGCATGTGAGAGCAGATGCCACAAGTTAATAATTGACCCTTTCGCTCCATTCCTGCCGCTTAGCCCAGCAGCCGCATTTGAGTTTTCCTACGCACCACATGCAGGGCTAAAACCACACCATGAGACACCGTTACGGCCGTCAGCCTGCGCAATCTGGGGAGGCGCGCCCCAGACCTACGTTCCTATGCCATCAGCCTTGCAACCGCGCTCCTTCAGGTCCCCCAACAAAATCCAATCACGTAACTTGCACACCGAGCCTATCCAATCTCGGCTTGTCGGAAACAACCACGCCTGTCCTTACTTACTTTGGGAATTTTTTCTTGTCTCTCTTCCCAACCGGCCCTTTGGCTCCATTGTCGTCGCCGCTAAACCCCAGCCCGGCCAGGCCCCTGGTTTCCCCCCAAGCATGTCAAGTCAACACTTGTGCACCTTATCGTCGAACGCTGATTCGCCAAAAAGCACCAGACATCATCTCCATGTCCCCGCATACATACAAAAAAGGCTTGCACTTTCGCGAGCTTAAGCGTTTGATATTGTCTGTGTGCTTTGTAGAATTTTGGCGCGATTTTTTAGCTGTGTGCAGGAACCCTACGAAATCACTCGACATGGTACTAGTCGATCCAAAACGGATCTTTTCGGAGCATCGCGGGTTGACGAAAACAACCTTATGGGGAATTTTTAATTTTCATGTTTTTTTAACACTGAATCTTGGTCCTATTTCCGCTCATGCGTACTGTGACCCGATCGTGGGTTTCACATCACCACACAAGTCACTCTCCATGCAGCGCGACTCAGGAAGCCAGATGTTCTCCTTTTCTTCTTTGGTTTGAACCACTGATGCCCTGCATTTGTTGCGGCTTTTTTTTCGGCGATGCATCGTGTTGTGATGTGTGACGCCACGAATATACATACATGGCATAGCTTCTTGTCTTGTCTCGGCATCAAGAGCCCGATTGACGGCCACCCTTTGAGGTGAAATAAATCGCTCGAAACAGTGACATTGCTACGATGAGATTCCTTGCACATACGTATCTCCTAGTTTCTAAATTACCCGACAAGTCCTAGAGCGCTGGACGGGATCTTCAAACGCTTGTGGTGGTGCTTGTAGATTCGCCGACCAGCCGTGCCTTGCGCATTCCCGATCTGCGCAAAGCGAAAAGGCAAGAGCAGACACAATTGATACGCCCCCCCGCATACATACAATAATATCGCACCCCTCCATATGGGTCAGACCCTGTTTCCTGCCCGCCCCAGAGAACGCTAGCCCCTCCCCTTTTACGCTTTTTTGGCGTAGATCCATTCATCCTATCCGTATTACAACACAGAATGACAGCTCCTGATTTCCAGACACGTCAATTGGCAAACGCGTCCGTCCCCAATCTTTGACGATGGAGGGAGGTTGTAATCAGAAGCAATCTAAGAGGAGGATGATTCTTCACCCAGTGCTATTTTCTCCCCTTCCCCCAATTTTTCTCTCCTTGGCTCTCCCTGGCTCTCCCGATCCCGGACCGAGGGATCTCGAGGAGCTAACGTGCGACCAGAAACTTTGCGGAGCCTTGGGGATCCTCCGGCTGGCTACTGATAAAGTCTATTTTACCTGTGATGTGATTTGTTCACCTTATTTTTCGGTAGTCAGCAGCGTGCGTGAAGTTTCTAACATGTGCTTCACTGCCAAACTCGGTAGTCTGGCGGGCATACAATGGAGCTCGTGTGTCAGGCAACAAGTATCTCGGCCCGGGCTGTCGGTTAATCTTCGATCAGGCGGCTACTAGGTCGTTCTGTCTCGAGGGAGGAATAGATCAAGTTGGTTCTCTAAGAAGGGGGTGTCTGTCTAAAGTTGTCATCCAAAGGATTCGGCAGAATTGGGCTGAAGAGATGAGCAGCGGCGGGCAAAATCGTTCAAATTCAAGCTCGACCTTATCAGTTGCTTCCGATGTTCGGAACACACCCACCCGCCCTTGTGAGTCGAAGTATAAACTTCCCCAGATTCCAGATCTGCTCGGCCACCACCTGCTGTACCATAAACGCTGTAGTACTCGCATGCATCCGAACATCCCACGCTGTCCTGCCACGAGTCTTCTAGATGAACATGGCTTCCTAGTATAGACGCGCACCCGTATGTAAAGGTGGACTTCGTCAACATGTAACCTTCTGATGTTCCATCTCAAGGACTCAATATCGACTCGGCAGGTACCCCCCAGTACCAGCTAGCCACGCCCATAGCCCCCACGCTCATGATGGCTGCCATGAGAAAGTTGACGTCGTTGTTATCCAAGAGATCCCATCCGCTCTCAATGACCCTTGACGGCCGTTGGTCCCCGAAGCTGGGCTTTCGATGCTTATTCCTGAGGTTGTACTTGGCATCGTCCTCATCTTGGTCGTCAATGGCCGAGCCATCTTGCTTATCTGCTCCAGCCTTGCCTCCATCTCCACCGTCCACAGCAGCTTCTGGTGCAGCACGGCTAGTTGCAGACACCAGCACGCGGTTACCACCCTCACCCTCGACAATCTTGCCAGATCGCACATCCCTGACTGATCGTTGGAACATGCCTCCGAGGAAGCTGTCGAGGACACTCCCTAATGCACCCCAGATTACGAGGCCACCCATAAACACCCGTCTCTGGGCTAGGGTCCAAGGCGCGCCGCCGCCGAGGGTTGGTGCCGTTCCAGGAGTACATGCAGGTAGGAATACCATTGAAGCGGCCACTATGACCATGGACCCAAAGAGGCCGGCCACCAGGCCAAGTAGCGTGACACCTCCGTTTGTTCCCCGGGGTACCTTTCGTAGCGTCAAAGACGTTATCAATCTCGGTTGGCTCTTGGACAGGATGCCAAGTTCTGAGCTGAATGTATCAGCGGCCACAGCCGCGTAGTTGGCAATGATGCCCACAACCAAGAGGTCGCCGCCCCATGAATAGCACATGCTGCCTTTGGGGTTGGGGGTATTCGGGTCGGCGTATGCCGCTGCTCTGGCTCGAAGTTGATATCCGTGGGCGACCGCAAATATCGACGCCATTAACGAATTTGCAAACACTATACACCCGCGTATTAGTAACTCCTGTACTCTATACTAGGAACGCGGCGCATCACCATGCCTTGGACGTGTGTTCTTGGGCCTTCTCCGCCCGAGCTGCCCTTGGAGTGCAAAGTCAACGTAGCTTTGACATTTTCTTTGATCTGCCAATCGCGTTAGCACTCGGAGCCGTGCGGCCACCAGGCAAGCCAGTCCATACATGTGTCACCCGTGTGCCTGCCAGGAAGAACACGCACAGCAGCGCAAAGGGCAGATTCCACGGATGATACGCATGGGCAATCGCCGTGAGCGTCGCGGCGAAAAGACCAGCGGGCGTAAGAGAATTCTTGCTCCAGGCTCGAAGAATAAGGGCGAGAGTCGCCGGTATTGCGATAATTGCCTTCATGGCTAGCAGCGACGGTGCAGCAGGTCCGGTCAAGCTGGTGATGTTGGCGATTGCTGGAGCTGCCAGAGACGGTGGGTTTGAGCTTTGGCCTGTCAAGGTGTGCGCGGCTGACGTCAAAAAAGACGTCAAGTGTTCCGGACTAGCGCCGGAGAGCTATGGCTGCCCTGCACGATCATAGGGCTGGCTGATCGTGAGAAAACAACAGCTCGAGTATCCGCCAAAGGAGAAGGGAAAAAAGTCTAAATATGAGGCAAATCACGTACATAATGCTAATGCAAAGACTTTTATTTTCTACGCATTATTTAGGCCATATCGCTAATTTCAAGACTGGTTGCGCTTACATTCATCTCCGTGTAGTACTAGTCAAAGTTCAATGAACACTTCAGCTTCCGTACTACGGCACCATCGTAATGCCGGGCTTGCGTTGTACGGATTACGCTAACATATTAGACATTTGATTCGGAAGGTTTCCAGAAACTTGGTATTTTTTTAACTTGATGTTAACCTACTCTCGATGGTTTGTCGTTTGACAGAAGTCCTCGCACTGTATGTTTCGATTCTTGGTCGAGCTGATTGACTCCAGCACCTCATTACGGCAGTATAACACAGCAATAGAAACATCTCGGTATCTAAAAAATTCTATCTCGTCTGACTAAAATGGAATTCAAAATCTGACAAAATCACATCTGTTTACTCTTCAAATGTGACTTTGGAACGATCTCCTGTACAGTGGAAGCAGCAGAGCTGGGTAATCGATAAGATGTGGGGCCCGATTTTTTTTCTTCCTGCCAGACTACGAGATCATGTCGGGTTTTCATCTGCATCTGCTGCAAAATCACATCCTAGCCGTCAATTCCTGATCTTGAGAGCTATACACCCGGCTTCTTATGATGGCTTCCGGTGACATACCAAGCGACCAGTTCGCAGTTCTGCCGATTCGCATGCCTCCTATGCCTTCCTTCCCTCATAGCGCTGTCCACGAAGTTCGCATTCGCCGAAATACGCCAAAGATCCCTACCGCAAACGACTCCCGGAGTCTTTTTTTGAAGAACATTCCAGCCGATAGCACTGAGCCTCACTTCAGAGCAGTATTCACAAATCTCGTAGGCGCTGGCCGCTTCGAGACCATTTTCTTCCACGATGAAGCCACAACTGCCTTGCCTGTTGGCCCAGCTCAAGCAACAAAGATGCAAGGCTTTGCAAGGAAACGAAAGATGAAGGACGTCGAAGCTGAAGAGAGGGAACTGGAAGAAAAAGCCTCCCAATTACCGCAGATATGGACAAGACAATTGCACAGGAGTAGTTGCACGGCAGTGGTTTTACTTGCCGATGAGAGGAGCGTCCGTTTAGTGCTCAAGGCGATCGCAAAAGTTCAAAAGAGCAAAAAATATCCTGTTTGGGGGGAAAATATGGCAGACGAAGTTCCAGAGCTAGGATCGTCGTGGGTATCAGAGCATCTACAACTCTCACGAGTTGATAAATCTGCCACACAAGCGGCCGTCCACGCCTTCTTCAACGCATACAACCGTAAGGAGAAGGAGGCTATTGAATTGGCCAAAAGGCTTCGGAATGAGCCGGATGAGGATGGCTTCGTCACGGTTACAAAAGGTGGAAGGGCGGCGCCTGCTAGCCGTGGCGAAGCTGAAGAGGCTAAGCAGCGAATGCTAGACAAGGCTGCCAAGAAGAAATCTGAGTTGAAGAACTTTTACCGCTTCCAGCTTCGTGAGGAGCGCAAGAAGCAACAAGCAGCTCTTCTTCGACGATTTGAAGAAGACCGACGAAAAGTGAACGCTATGCGAGAGAAACGTGGCAAGTTCAAGCCGGAGACCTGAAATGCTTCAGTGTCATCAGGCCAAATTCCACCAACGTATGTGCAGTTCTTTTTTTTTTATCCTGTTATATTATCCATTTCCTAGCATGATGACGCCGCGGGGCCATCAAAGCGCTAAAAACGACCTGAACAACTCAGATCTGTTATTTGGCGGATGCCGAAAACAACCGCGTTATAAACAATCTTCTCAACCTCGTCTGAAGTTGATATCGTTCCACTGTGTACTATTGAAATAAGATGATGGCAACGTATCAGCAAACTGACACTCATTATAGGATCTCAAGTCGTGTTCCGAGCTGCGTTGGAAGCTTTACACGTGCATACCCGGGGTTTCAAGCCTGTGGTCCCCGTTAATCGTACACCAGTTGTCTGTGTGCTACCACTGCTTTTGAGTCAATCCACATTGATTATTCGTATGTGCAGTCGAAAAGCTTCATGAGACATTGGCATAGAGTCTGCACAGCTTCACAATCCCACGACCCCTGCTAGACCAACGAACGTAGTGTTTCAGGGATCATCCAGAGTCCAAGGTACAGAAAGTTGGAGTCGCTACGTCACTTCAGAAATGGTGCATATATGGGATCAAATAAATAAAAATATATAGATAGGCATATTTACAAGACCATGAATCAATTGCATTGCTCAATTGAATAATGCGCCTAATCCTCCTCACTGTAGGTCCAAGTATTGCAGACTCCAAAGTATCTTTCTTAGTGATGAGGTGGTTAGTAAGCACGGCTCACTCCTTTTGTTTACTTCCATGTCCCCCACATAGCAACCAAACACAACTTCGTCGCACGGGACCCTTTTTGGAGACATTGAATCTGTCTTGCATCACAGCCACCTGAAGAAACGGTCTTGCAAAGCCTGTCTGTAACATCATGGTATTTGGGAATTGAATTGACAATTATTTTCCCAGAACAGCTGCCATGATCGACGCCGAAAACCTCCGTACAGCGTCGCTGTACATCAACCACCAGCTTCTCTCACGAGGATTGCTGCGTGATGGCGACACAATCGACTTTGCAGGCGCAGGAAAATGTGCCGAGGATGGTGCAGCCCTTTCGGGGCGCATTATTAGCATTTTGAATGATTTGATCATTCGACGCGACGTATGCTGTACTTCTGGCCTCAATACACATACTGGTAAGCTAACAGCTGGTACAGCGCGATGCCGAACACCGAGAATCTCTTTCCACTGCCATGCGCGCCTTGCGTGCCGAAAACTTGAAGCTCACAAGTGATACCGCTCGTTTGACCGAAAAGCACGCAGAGGCACAACGCAAGGCCGACATTGCAACAGCAACAGAGACGATGCTGAAGACGCAGCTCAAGTCGGCAGAGGCCAACGCCAGGGCACTGAAAGAAGACGTGGCGCGAATGAAGTCACTCGTCGCTCAGACTCGTGCCTCGTGTGCCACAGAAATTCGGAGGCGCGACCGACAGATAGACACCTTGAAGAAACAGTTGGGAGAAGCTGGCCGTTCGCGAGGCTCTAGGGGCAATCCGGCGGTGACAGTAATCACAGTGACTGGCGAGACTGGCCAAGAAAGGGACAGGACGACTCTTGATGGGAGCCTGGTCGGCCGTGACAACGAGCTGCAAAGCGAAACGAATACAACGCTTTCCAACTTGGCGCAGCACCTGACCGAAGAGAATGACACATTACTCTGCGTGATGCAGCGAGCTATGGCACAACTACGTGACATGAGCGGCTGCACAGAGGAGAGCAAGGGAGATGGCGAGGTTAACAAGCGGCCGAGCTGCGAAGAGATTGCAGCTGAGCTGGACTCGATCATGGGTCATATGAGAACGATATTGACTAATCCGTCATTCGTGCCCATTGAGGAAGTCATGGTTAGAGAAGACGAGATCAGCCGGCTCAAGACTGGATGGGTCAAGATGGAAACCCGGTGGAAGGACGCAGTGCATCTAATTGACGGATGGCGAAAGAGAATGGCTGCTAGTGGCAAATCTGTCTGTGACGAGGAACTGCAGATGGGTTTGCGATTAAGCCCCGTCCGTGTCAACGATGTCGAGGAAACAAGAGACGCCGTCATGGGACTATCCGTTGTCAAGGAAGAGGAGGAGGAGGAAGCAGAGCGTTTCATGCGCTCCCCTTGCCCAGCCGATCGCGTTGGCAATCGCCCAATATTCGAAGCTCCTGGCGAAGGATACGACAGGGTAGAGGAGGGCTATGAAAGCGAAATGACGGATTATGAAGACGACGCCCCGGCTGATGAGCGTGTCGCAACTACAGCCAATAACGGCATGTCAAATGGCTTTGAGCCGGAGCCAGATGGCCAGCGCTTGGATGAGTCGTCGGAATCCATACCTTTGCCTGAGCCTCCACAGCTAAGTCCTCTTCGCAATTCAAGTTCGGCTGGGAATCGCGGTTTTCGGAATAGCGAGGAGATGCAGTCACTTCCCAGCGAACCGAGTGGAGTTGGGGACGAGACGGGCCAGAATAGAATGTCGCAGGCAAAGTCAATGAGGTCGTTGCCAGTCCGGCCCAGGTCACTCGCACGACAGTCCATGCTGCCTAGCAAGATCCAAAGATTGGTAGAGCGTCCTCGATCTCCTTCAAGAACGTCATTGGACGATGCGCTACTTCCAAAACGGGATGCTGAGACTGTGCAGCGGGACGAAATTGAGATTCCTGGGGAGCTTTCCTCGGCCAAAGAAGAGCCCAGGGAAACAGGCATATGCCCGACAACTTCGGCACAGCGACGAGTCGAAAGCCGCGTTGCATCTCAACCAATCCTACCGCGTACTGATGAGCCTGGGCCACAGCAGAGTCCTCTAACAATATCGAACATCGCCGCGAAGCTGGCAGCGTCTGAGAAGGAGGCAGATGCTGCTCGTGTACGGGCCAAATTGCGCGCGGCGCGGAACTCGACAAGAGGCGTGTCAAGGCCGACTATTGCAAAATCAACCAAGAGCGATGTAGCAGTGGCTGATGTGCAAATGCAAGCGAGCACTGAACGCGAAGTGGCAATGGATGGCGACCCTGTGAAGCAGCCTCGGGCACCGTCAGGAGAGACTGACAAGCCGGAGAAGAGGAAACGAGATCGCAAGGTCGGCAAGGCGGCGTCAAGGAGACGAAGTACACTTAGTCCACGGGAATTGGAAACACTTATTTCGGGCACTGCGGAATGAAGCACTTACATCGGAGTTGGTCTATGATATCCAGCATGGGTTGCTTGGGGGGGCTGCGGAATATGAGCGAATTGATTGGCAAGGCATGCGTTTTGCCTTTGTGCTCAGCGCACATATGCCAACCATTACATGATGATATGGAATGCTATTTTCACAATACGAGCCGTTGCGGCATTTTTTGACGTGATTCGGGAGGCAGCATGACACAAATTGCATCTCACATACCACATCCTTTGTGACATTGGCAAGTAATGGTCTATATGTACGCAGTTACTATGGACAACATTTCAAAAATTACACGCCGAGACGCAGCTTCTGGTTATCCTCATCATCCACCGCACCGAACAATGCGCTTCTTCTTGGACTGATTCGGATCAATTGTAGCCTGGCGGCGCGGTGCCGTTTCCTAGCGGTCCATCGGGTTGAGGGAACTTTGGATCGGTAGTGAAGGGCTTCTTGCTGCTAAGCGAATCGACGCGGCCAAGCAAGAACTCCAAGTGACGAAAAGCAGCACTAGGAGCATACTGCGGTACCATGTGTCCGGACAGGGAGACGCCAACATAGGTGAGACCACGCTCTGTGTGAGTAGTCCCAAAGACACCTGCGCCGGCAATGGTTCCAAGCTCACCGGTCGTGTGATACGGAACATAGAAGGGCTCGACGGGCGGCTTTTGAAAGCCAAGCTGGCCGCCAAAGGTCATGTTTTGGATAGCCATGAGCGTGCCGTTGGCCAGCAGAATAAAGTCGAGGGCGCCGTGGCCAATGATGACGTTTTTGGTCTTGTCGATGACATTGCCGAGGACGGTGGTGCTGGAAGGCGGGGACTTGTCGTGATCGACAAAGACGGGCCCGCCGCAGGATGCCCATTTCCTGTCCAGGGGCGCGTTGATGGCCTTTTTCACGTCCTGGCGGTCGAAGTAGATGGAGGCGCCCTTGGGCAGGTAGTCGAAGCTGCCGGGGAAGCCGAGGACGTCCCACAGCAGAGGGCAGGTTGTGGCTACCTGGTAGATGTCGAAGCAGGGGTTCAAGTCTGTGATGGCCTGCTGGATGGTATTGGCAAGCAAGTAGTCGTCGCACTCTGGTCGAGGCTTGCCGGTGTTGGGGTCGATGCCGGGGAGAGGGTTCGGGAGGTGGCCCGGCGGCGGGTAGCTGAGGTGCTTGCTGCGGGCGTCGGCGTATCCGCACTTGCTGTCGATGTCGTGGATCTGCTTGGTGAAGGAGTCGTTGAACGGGAACAGGCTGTGGTGGTAGTCGACAAAGGGTACGAGGGTGAGTTCGGTGACGCGGTCGTCGGTGATGGAAGGGTCGTAGATGAGCATGCCCTTCATGTTGAAGTGCTTGGTGTCGTTGGCATTGATCATGGCGTTGGCAATGTACGGGCAGTACATGCCGCTTGGAGATTGTTAGATGCATATACATGCTAGATTCCCTGAACATGGGAAAGGCACTGGATGTGGGTGTTTTCTTACGCATATGACTCGCCCGTGATGTACACCTTGTACCCTTGCATGGAAAAGGTGTCGATGAAGTTCTTAAAGAAACCCATGAACTGACGGGCAACGTCTTCCTCGTCCTGGGCCGTGACGGTGCCGGTCGAGAAGCCCGTGTTGATGGGCTGCTCAACCCAGAGCACGTTGGTGAGATGGTGCCACCCCCATGGGTTGGCAACGGGTCTATAAGTGCCGTATTGCCACAGGAAGGGGCCGTTTTCCTGGATGAAGCCTTCGAGAGACGAGCAGCCTGGCTGTGTGTAGTGTATCTAGAATCAGCCTCGGAACGCGGGGGGGAGAAACACGACTACTTACGCCGCCGTTGAGCCAAATGACAATCTCCTTGTCGGCGTCGGGGTTCGGGGACGGCTGGAACCAAAAGTAGAACTTGTCCGGGCCGTTCACGTCTTGCGAGATGGACATTTGGCCGGCATACGCCTCGCCAATGTCAAAGTCGACATCGGGAATGGCCGTTCCGTTGACTCTGTACTCTGATTCGCCGCTCAGATTAGCATTTCCTTTGTTTTTCCCATGGACGCCGTCCATCCATTGATCGGACGGGGCTTAGAGGCGACTCTTGGCATACTCTGGGTGTCGGCATTGTCAAACTTGTTGGCAACGGGGCCGTCTCGCGTCCACTTGTCAAAGGGCACGCCTGGGTGCGCTCTGGCTCGGGGAGGGACGTTGGTGTTTCTCCCGTTTGGGTTTCGGGGGGCTTGGCCGCCGGCGCGGGCGGAGACACCGGCTGCCACGGAGGTGATGATGGAAGCGGCGAGTACCCAGCGCATCTTGCAAGATTGCCTGCCCTTGGTTTTTAAAAATTGCCCAAAGCTGACAATTGTCAAGTACGGGGGAGGGAATGAGTTGGAAGGCGGCCAGTCTTTCTTACTTATACTACGGCGAGGGCCCGGGCCTGGACTGTCTGAGACCGGACCACAAGCCGGCGGGTACAATTGGCATGATTGAGAACTTGAGCCAACCCCAGCCGCGCCCAGCTATGGACGGCGATATGCCTCGCTGTGGGGGGGATTGGACACAAGGCTGATATCATGGTAGGTTGCTGGGCTCGCAATAGGTCCTCGAGCTGATCATCTTCGGTCTTTCCTGTTCGGGGATGGGGAACTTGTGTAACGCGGATGACTCTGCTTGCCGTCGTGTTCGGCATTGACCGAGGGCGATGCTAGCGGCAGATGGGCAATTCCCGTTATGCCAATCTTATCTTCTGTTGCTTTTATTCAATTGGCCGGCACCCGTGTTTGATTGCAATTCCCATCGGATCACGGATGGCCTTTTGGGATTCTTCCAGAAAACAATGTTCCTCGATTACACGATGGCCCTGGCAGCCTGGTAGACCCTAGGGGCTCCCCGTTAGGTACGACGCAACTAGTAGTTCTCTTAGCGTGGGCTGAATGCGGATTGATGCCACGACGATCATCTTCAACGTCCAAGCCTCCGAGGAGGTGTTGGCCGGCCCACTTTCTGTGTTTGCGCATTCTTCAGCACGATTAGCTCGCGTTTTTGTTGCACGGCGAGATGATTGGCACTAATCAGTCGGGCACGATTCCCACAGTTTACGTGAATTCTTTCTCAAGGCGAAAACGAGGCAGCCGTCTCGGAAACCACCGAGTCCGCAATTTCGGGCCCCACAGCCTTGTCAGCTCAGCTCTCGGATACGTCATGCCGTTCTGACTTCCTATTTAGGCAGGTCGATATCCTGGTCGGGCCGCAGCTCCGCAGCTCTTCATCTTTGTTGATAGTGCAGACAGAGGCACAGCCTGGGCACAGCCTAAGCCTCTAGGAACGATTGCCGCTGCAGCTTTTGATGTACATGTACGTACTGCGATTCACCAAGCAGTCATGGTTACCTATGTGCGACCGCCAGTCCCCAAGACTTCATGTGTAGTTGGAACTTGGAAGTCGTCGCTGATTGTGCCTATCTATATACTGCATAGAGAGAAACCTAGGAGCGCTTGCACAAAATATTACGTGTCCCACGCCACCTTGCCATGTATATTATGCACTCGCAAGAGCGTGTGATGAAGACGGACGCCACGCCTACAATGCCGTCAATCACAAAGCATGGAGCTACAGATGTAGATCAACTACCATACTCGGGACCATTACGCCCACAGAATGTTCAGCTTGGCCCATCCCTTGGCGGGTGGCTCGACAGGCTCTGGGTTCTGGCTGGCCACGTCCAGGAATCCCCGAATCGGCATGTCGTGCAGCGACACCAGCGTTGTCTTGCGCCAGTACTTGTATCCAAAGTAGAGAATGAGAATGAGAGGGATGTTAAAGTAGGATGATACGAAGCCCTGAGCGCTCCAATGACCGTCGATGAAGACGAAGAATCCGCCGGTGATCAGGAGAATGGTAAACGACACCAGGGCAGTCCATGCCGCATACGGCTGGAGAGGGCCTTTCCAGGGAAGCTCGTCTCGACTGATGCCCTGCGCTTTGCAGCCGTAGTAGAAGCGGAGGTATACAATCTCAATGTTGATCCAGTGCACAAACGAGGCCGCCGAGACAAGGGCCTGCATCCAACCAAAGACGACTGACGCCGCGGACGAGAGCGTCAGATAGCCCAGCACCATGAGCGATCCCACCGCGGCCACAGAAAGCCACGGAGTGCCGAAGCGGTTGGTACGCTTGAAGAAGCTGGGCGCATGTCCCTCGAGAGCAAGGCCATAGAGGGTTCGCGTCCCCACGAGCATGGCTACAAAGACGTGTGTAAGTCGTTTCCACCCGTTGCAATATCACGGAGCAGCCGTGGGACTTACCAGAGTTGGCGGCACTCCAGGCACTCGTCACGACCACGGCGTTGATAATGGACGGCACAGCCTTGATGCCGGCGTTGGTGGCGGCAATGGCAAACGGCGAGGCACCAGCATCGCCGGAGCGCGCCGTCAAGGCCGGGTCGGCCGACGAGACGATGAGCCCGATGCAGAAGACGGTGAGCATGTAAAACACCATGATTCTCCAGAAGACGCGCCTGGCCGCGCGGGGGATGTTGCGCCGGGGGTTCTGCGTTTCCGCCCCGGCGACGGAGATGTTCTCGACGTTGGAGAAGGCGTACGCCGCGCTGACCAGGACGCGCCAGAAGCCGACGAACCGGCCCCAGGAGCCGGGGATGCCGGCGTACTGGACAAACGGCCCCGGGCTCCTCCAGAAGCGAAAGCCAATGGGCTCGCCGTGCGGTCCTGCGCCGGCCGTGATGCAGATGCTCTGCGGCGGCAAATCGTCAGCAGTCAGCCATCAAGGGAAACATATCAACCGGCAGTCCACACACGAACCATGACGTTGACGCCGACGATGAGGGCGATCTTCAGCAGGGCAAGGACAAACTCGAGCTCGCCGTAGACGCCAATGAGCAGCAGGTTGCTCGCGATCAAGAGGCCGCCGAGGAGGGTAATCCACACGGCGTGGTTGACGTGCGTCCAGTAGTCGATGATGACGGCGCACGCGACCATTTCGGCCGGCAGCAGGATCGCGTTCGCATAGGTGCTGTTCCAGCCTTGGGCAAAGGCCAGGGCCGGGTCGACGAACCACTCGGCGTGGCGGACGACGCCGCCCGACAGAGGGACGAGGGCGCTCAGCTCGGCGATGGACACGACGACGGCGCACATGAGCACGCCTACGATGGCGTACGACAGGAGCAGGCCTAGCGGCCCTCCGTTGGCGAGAGCCCGGCCCGTCGCGAGGAAGAGTCCCGTGCCGATGGTGCCGGCGAGGGCGATCATCTGGATGTGCCGCTGCTTCAGGCCGCGTTTCGCGTGCGCCAGCTCTTCAAAGGCCCGGTGGACTTTGACATCTTGGCCAAAGGCGCCCAGGGCGCGGGTTTCGTCGTCGGCGGCGGGTGGCGCGGCGTCTATTGTTAAATCGCTCTCTCTCCTCTCGGCGTCACGGCCGTGGTGACGCATCGTCAAGTGCCGGCGCCAAAGGGGCGGAGGCTGCTGTTGCGTCGACTGGGCCGGAGGACAAGGCTGTACGACAAGGACGGATTCAAAATGCAAAGCGGTACAAGGTTGAGGATGGCCAGAGAGTACGAAATCACACGACGACGACTTCCATCGGAGCAGTCATGACACGGGTGACGCGCTGGATTGATCCGGAGTACTAGTGCATTCGGATATGTATGTCGCTGTATTGGGCCAAGGGAGTTATGTGGTGTCTTGATCGGGAACAAATGAGTTGCCGACAACGGCGAGCCCAACGGGCCATGGTTGCTAAAGACTCAACGCTTGACTCACAGTCAGTGGCAGAATATCGCCATTTGCCCAACAGGTAGTTATTCACTGCCATACTGTGGATAGTATGGTACGGAACACGACGGCCAAGTACCCGATCTGGTCAAATGCTTTTTGCCGCCCACTGCTGAGTGTTGTAGGGAACAAGGCAAAGGATGGAATGGGCACAGCAGCGACAGCGCCGCTGGAGAGAAAAAGGAAACAAATGAATAAAATCCAAAGGACTTGTTGTGGAGTATCAAAGCGCCCGTCATATTGCATGTCTTGTCGCCGGTCAGAAAGCCCGGTCGCAACCATGATGCGTAGATTTGTACACAAGAGTCTTGTGACAAGACTCTTGAGCTGCGGCAGCGGAACGCCACAAATTGCGGCGATACGGATTCGACCCTGTCAAGGTGGTAACACCTTCTTTATCACTTCTTGTGTGTAGGCGGTGAAAAAATGCCGTTAAATTGCTTCTACGGTGTTACTCCGCGGACGTTTATGGCTTGCTGATAGGGAAGAGGCGGGTGGCCCTTGTGCCAGCCACTTTTTCAACCAGGAACACCCACGTGCACCCTGGCACTGCAAGTTGGAGCATTGAAAGGGAATTGGTCCCTCGGGAGGCCCCGAGTAACCCGAGAAATCCGGTGCCAGGCCCAGGGACAGCCAGGATGGGAAAAGGTTCCACCAATACATTCAAGGGGCGGTGGAACTCGTGGGAAAGGGCTGACGGCTATTTATTGGGTCGGGGTGGAAACTGTCTGGTTGGATAGTCCCAGAGGCGGAATAGGACATCCAAGTCAGTCACGAAAAAGGGGGGTGAGAGAGGAGAGAGGAGACGAGGATTCATCATCAGAAGTCGGGTGTAGTTGAAGAGAGTAATGATGCGCCGCTCGGTGTTGCTCGACAACTCACCCGGCGCCGGATGCTCGCACCGAGACTAGTTGGCACTCATCACTCCTTCTTGTTAAATGAGAAAGACATCCATGGTTCATGGTTGATCCAAGCCTCAAGGGCACATCCGTCGGCCAACCAAGACAAGTTGCAACATAACCCAGGAGATGACAACACAACCCGGGCAACTAACAAGACTAGCATGCATGCATGCAAACAATGGCTCGGGGAGGATAGTTTCGCAACAAGACCTCGATTCGAACACCTTCTCAGCTGGTGCCAACTTGTTCTTCTCGTACAAAACTTGCCTCCACTATCATGTGTGCGCATGTGTGCCGAGGTGGTTGTAAGTTGCAACTCGCGATTGACTCTTCACACAACCTGCTCAACTCGACAAAACTCGACTTGGCAAAGGACATGCATGTGCGTGCCATGTGTCCCCTCTTTCCCCGGAGAGCTGAGCGCCACTTGCGCAAGGTTTCCCCAACATGCCCAACTCTGACGAGGGGATCGAGCTGCCACAACAGGGCAAGCGAGAGTCGAGATCTCTATTGGATCGAGCACATGTCCCGGGCGGCGTTTTGGCCGTCAATACGAAACGGACGGACGACGCCACAATCTGGGGTCTGGGGTCTAGCTCGGCCCCAACGTCAGCCAAGTCCGTGTAAGTGTCCATGATGCCAGGAACATCAACGTCCAACATTGAACGTTGACGCCCCGCCGTCGTCGATCCATGGGCCATTTCAATAAGTCGACTCGGACCTGTGTGCCTTCACAGCCCCGAGTGCTGCGGCTTGAACAAGACGCCCGTGAGAACCATGTGAGAAGCCGTGGCGTTCAGTCTCCCGGGTATAAAGAGGCAGCCTTGGGATCTGCAGCTTTCGAAATTGAAACACCCAGAGTATCAGCACCCTCATCCTTCTGCCTCCCTGACCAACTCGAGTTCCCCCCTGAAGAGCCAAATCACAAACTGCCCACCACAATGAAGTTCCTCGCCCTGACTACCCTGGCCTCCGGCGCCTACGCCGGCGTCCTCGTCCAGCGTGACCTGGCCACCATCCAAGCGGCCATGACGTCTGCCGGCCAGGGCATCGACGGCTTGGGCACCGCCATCAAGGGCTTCTCCGGCGACCCGGCCCCCGTCCTGGCCGCTTCAAACACGCTCATCCAGGCGCTCAAGGACGGCAAGGCCAAGGTCGACCCCTCGAGCGACCTGACTCTCGCCGATGCGCTTGGCCTCCAGGCCCCAGCCGGCGACCTTCAGAAGAAGGGCGACGCCCTCCTGGCCGATCTCAAGACTGCCGTGCCCACCATTGAAAAGGCCGGCATGTGCGAGGTCACCTTCACCCAGACCAGCGACATCAACACCGCCGCCAAGGCCCTGATCGACAGCGTCGTGTCCAAGGTCCCTACCGCCGCTCAGGGCATTGCCCAGGGCATCGTGGCCGGTCTCCTCAAGGACCTCCAGGACGCTCAGGATGCCGTCGGCCCGGCCAACTGCAAGAACTCGGCCACGCCGCCCGCGAGCTCCTCTGCCGCTCCTCCGGCGACCTCTGCCGCTCCCCCATCTTCGTCGGCCGCTCCCCCGGCGACGTCTGAAGCTCCTCCCGCGACGACGCAGGCTCCTCCATCTTCGTCTGCCGCTCCTCCGGCGACAACGGAAGCCCCCCCGGCCACGACGGAAGCTCCTCCCGCAACGACGGGAGCTCCTCCGGTGACGAGTGCTGCTCCCCCGGCCAGTGATACGTGCCCGGCTGCTTCTACCGTCACCGTCACCGCCATCGACAGCAAGCACTGCACGCCTACGCCTACCTGCACCAAGAAGCCTCCCGTCACCGTCACCACCACCAAGAAGGCCTGCCCGACCAAGACCAAGCTGCCGTGGTAAAGAGGGGGCCCCTTTTCGCGCTCTCTGGGATTGTGCTCCTCGGAGAATGTACCTAGCCAAAATCTGTTTTATTTATATAGCCTCGGTACAAAATTATTATTAGATACGCTGTAGCATCTCAATGCCTCGTAAATCGTCATATTCGCATCTCTCATCTTGACTTGTGTTGAAGTGTCTGAATCGCATTCAAGCCAGTGATGGAAAATATCTCGGGCCTATATCTTGTGTGTACTAGACAAATATAGTGACATAGACGACTGGTTTCAGAACCACGGATACCTAGTGGTGGCAAACAAGGCCCGAGAGTCGGCGCCGTGATTGTGTAGTCTTCTTGAATCCGGCGGAGCGTAGAGATGTAGCGCGCCTTGCTACAAGGCAGGTTGGGAATGGAAAGATAATTTCACCACGTTGGTCTGTGGAAATGCCGAGAAACAAGGTATGTATGGTGCGCAGCTCAAGACGGCCAAGATGACAAACTTTAGCAGGCAAAGTTTCTCAACGGGAGTAAGTAAATAGCCTGTATGTACACCATGTGAATACAATAAAGAATTTATGCATAGCTAGGGTTTATTCTCTTGCTGATGTGTGTAATCGATGACATGGTAGGGCAAGACGTCGTGTAGCTGGCGGCCTCCTTATATTTCGTGTACACCCCTTGCATTGCATTGCATTGCATTGCATTACAGATGCGGAATTCACATCAAAAGGTGAGCCTTTCAGCTAATCACTGCACGCGAAACGTATTCGTGCTCCTGCACATGCTCATGCTCAAAGCTCTTTGGTATCCTCTCCCTCAGAAAGCCGAGAGGCCAACAATATGCTGGCGACGCACCACCTACATTCACATCTTTACTGGAAATATCCCTCCGTTTCCCGTCTTTGTTGGATTTGGGAAATGGCCGTCATTCTATTGAATTCCTGTCCTTGTCAAGCCCCAAGCTTGCAGGCGAGTCCTGTATTGCTTTTTTTTTTTTAACCTGCGCAGGTATAACTGCCCCATCTCAAGCACAAGGTATTTTGATGGATGTAGACTCGTGCATATGCCATGCTAGACAGAGACTACTGCTTCACATCAGGCTCCGATGAATCATATATGCAGCAGGGCGTCAAGTTGCTGTTGGACGTGGTTCCGGATTTCGACATGTTGGTTGAGGCTGAGTGATGTGATTGTGTGTGTCTCATCAATGTGAATGTCGCGACGTGCTTGCTCATCTCAGCCAAGGGTATTTCAGCTGAGCATGGCACATTCAGCCGTCACTTTCTTCCTCCGCCGGCTTCATCGGCTATCCAAAAAGCCCATGCATCGAACCCGTCAGCCCACGCTTCATCGGTTGGCAATCGGGCTCGGCGTTGGGCCCGAGCCAATCTGGTGGTACTCCGGGTTACACATCAAGCGAGATGCTCGAGGCATCAATTAATGCTCGGTATGATTACTATAGCACTGTGTGTTGGTCTACAACACAAGGTTGTGCGTCATGTTGCTATTCAACAACTGTATATTTGAGCAATGTGTCTCATCCCCTATATGAATCGTCTCCTCCCCCATCCTACGTCCTGGGTAAAAGGTGCAATGCAGTATGATGGCCAGATCAAACTCCAGTGACAAAATGGGAGCTTCGTCAAATCATTCGTCAATCACAAATTCAACCCAAAACCTGGAGGAGCTCGCGTCGCAAACGCACGAGCAATGTACTGGTCCTGTACAAAGGTCAGTATCTGAAAGGTGCCGTCTCTTTATTTACACGGCTATATGATTCGCTCTGTATTCTCATCGTGTGTATAGCTTTGCAGAACCAAAGGAGCAGCATCAAGGACTCATCCTTCCGTCACGTCCGTTGTCAATGTTGACACTGTACGTGTATGAAACACGACCAAGCATGTTGACGGTAACGGAGCGATTGTATCAGAGGTATAGGCTAAAGCAGGCCATTTGGGTGTGAAGGGGCGTGCCTTGACCGCATGGAATGACATTGTTTTACTGGCAAAGTCGGAAGGCATCGTGTGCTAGCTTAGAAACTGGAGTTGTGATGTAGTTTCTAATGCTCACGCACAACCGTGTCCATTGATCTCGTGAACTGCAGCGTATCTCGATTCCATGTGAATTCGGAGAAGCAAGTAGCTCTTGGTGTGCTAAACAAAGCCGGCGCCAGCCTCGCCAAGATGTAGACTACCATTTTATTTAGAACTGGAATCTCGTCAATTGCATTGGGCTCCTCAGGATCGGAATCCAAGAAGCGACAAAGGCCGAGAGACGCAACCACCAAGCCAAATGCTCATGGCCAGGCATGTCCCACATACGAACCAAGGTCAACAGCTCCAAGCCGGGATGCAACTCCTGCAGGCTTCTGGGGTCGTCAATGGCCCAGTTAAAGGTAAAGTTCCAGTGTCCCTTGAGCCAGAGAAAGGCATTTAGTAAAAATCGAGATGACCTCGGCATGCTGTCGAAAATCATCTGGCCGGAGCCGAAGCGGTCCATCAGCCGCTTGATCAAGAGTTGGCCGTCCTCGGGCGACAAGTACATTGTCAGGCCTTCGAAGATGACGAGCGTAGGGTTTCCTATCGGCAACTTGGCCAGCCATTCCGGCTCGACGACGGAGGACGCGAGCATTTCGTACGTGTACCCGTCGGTCTTGGACGCCGGCTCTGGTATCTCGATGCGGCGCCGCAGGTCGATTACGTCTGGAAAGTCGACATCGATCCATGTCACCCCGTCGCCACACTTGTCGCACAGGCGCAAGGCGCGCGTGTCCAGGCCGCAGGCAAGATGGACGACGGTTGCGCGCTCATTGTTGGCCAAGAAGTCGGCGGCCCATTCGTCCAAGAGACGGGCGCGCAAGACGATGAATGGCAGTCCCGATAGCACTCCCCTCATTCGATGGCGTGTTTCGGCCATCTTGTCCAGAATTCGTGCCATGACGTCTGCGGACCAGCGATCAGCGAGGAGCGGCCTGGGCGAGTAGAAGTCTTGCCATCTCCCATACAGGGTAATTAGAAGCGTTTCTTGCGCACCCGTGAGGCGTATGGGGTCCATGTCGTTTTCGGGGGGTGGCTCGGAAGCCATTTGGGGACAATTGTGCGTCTTGCAGACGGATGGATGTATGTTGGGCAAATGTGTAGTGATGACGCTCGCGGTGGACGATGATGATGATGATATCGTGGGGCCTGGCGTGATGAATGATGTATGGAGTCGGATGGCACCGAGCAACGACAAGTTACTACGGAGTATCAATGGAATAATACTAACTGGATGGAGTTACTCATGGTATAGCAACCGGGGTATCACTAGGACAAGATATACATCCATAGCTACGTCCTGGCTGCGCCATGCTTTGCGTGTGATGATGCCCGCTCCAGGAACGAAATGCTAGACTTCCATTTCAAACATGGAATAATGTCAATTGATGAGGGAAACAAAAAACAAGTTAATTAATGACAATGTACGCATTCACATGTCAACTTGCACGTATTACTGCGGGGCCCTTCCCAATATGGGCTGCAAACACGGCACGAAACGAGGTAAAGAGCAACTTGACTTGTCTCCATGTCAAGTCGCGCCTGCCTTATGCAAGACTCTGGCCCTTGATATGCTGTATTTTTGCTCCAATCAAGTATCTAACACATTGATTAATGAGCACGATGATTTTTTCTCGGGCTCCTGTGTCGAGTATCGCAGAGTTACTTCATGCCGCGTGCCCATGGCGTTGACCACAGGGCCACCTTGGAATATTCTCATGCAGTCGTACAAATCGCTCTCACCCTGGACGGCATGATGCATTGCATTGCGTGCCGTGCCGTCCGAGGATTATATATTATCCAGACTGCAAATCTCCTTGGCCGCACCGCCTTGAACCTCCTTTATCGGCATACATGCGTCCATGACAGTCACTCACGATCTCCTTCATCTTGCCCCTTTCGGCGCGACATCTCCAACTATTCTGTAAACTAACAAAATCTAGACATTGTCCAAAATGCAGCTCACAAACGCCCGACTGCTTGCCAGCATATGCGGCGTCTCCGCACACGTCCTGGTATTCCGTGTGGGTGAATGGGATCTTGCTTCTCCGTCCATCTTCGTCTTCCATGCCCTCTTGGTTGTAACAGCTTTATTTGCATCTCGTGTTCAACTACTCGGACTTTCCGTATCTGAACTAATGACTTGTCTGGGATACTACGTCGCAGGACTATACGCCAGCATGATGATGTACCGCGCATATCTCCATCGCCTCTGCAAGTATCCCGGTCCGGTCCTCGCCTCGCTCACAAATTTTTACATCACCGCTCGATCGGTGAGCAAGTTTCAGCTCTTCAAAGAGGTTCAAAAGCTACATCTGCAGTACGGTGACTATGTACGCCTGGGTAAGCCGCAAACAAGAGGGGGAAAATGAAGCTTGGTCTGGCACCCTCGACTTACACCATCTTTACACCCAAAGGTCCGTCTGAGCTCTCCATTGCCGATCCCAAGGCAGTCGAGGCCATATACGGGAGCAAGTCACCAACTACCAAAGGCCCATGGTACACTCTGCTTGAACCACGCACGCCCGTCTTCATGGTACGCGACAAGCGGGAGCATGCCCGCAGGCGCAAGACGTGGGATCTGGCCTTTACAACGAAAGGTACGTGTCAAGTGAGACCCAATAGCCATAAACACTGGTTAATTCTGACAATTCTATGCGCCGTCTCATAACCCAACAGCTCTTCACGGCTACGACTTTCGCATCACAAAGGCAATCACCGAGCTACTCCAAGTCGTCGACAGACACCAAGAGCAACCAATTAACATGACCACGTGGTTCAGCTTCTTCGCCTTTGACGTAATGGAGGATCTGGCATTTAACAAGACCTCCCACATGCTACGTCACGGCCGGGAATCATACATCTTCAAGACTATGCGCGGGGACATGTACAGCATTGCCTTCTTCAGCCATCTGCCCTGGCTAATGCCCTTTCTGAAGCGAACTCCCGTCTTGAACAGCAACTACCTCAAGTTTTGGCGTTGGATTCAGAACCAGATCGACGAGAGGATCAAGGTACGTTGGCCGAGACACTCACGCAGCAGGCCCGGGGTCAGGAGCAACAGCGTGTTTTGACATCAAGACCAGAATACACCAGACTGGCCCGACATATTCTCATTTCTTCTGGCCGACTTCAACCGGGGCAGCAAGACGCAGCAGGAACGGTGGGACTTGCACGGCGATGCGCAGCTCATCGTCATTGCGGGCAGTGAATCCGTCTCTACCACCATTACACACGTCTTTTTCCACCTGGCCCACGATGCACATCTCGCCCACGCACTCCAGAGAGAGCTCGACATGCTGCCCGGTTTGGCACATGACAATCTACTAAAGATCCCCTTACTAGATGCCGTCATCCACGAGACAATGCGCCTGCATCCCGCAGTTCCTTCGGGGACGCAGCGCGTGACGCCTCCAGAGGGGTTGACTATCGGCGAGAGACATATTCCTGGAAACACCATTGTTCAGGTTCCCTCCTACACCGTCTTCAGAGGTTCCTCGTCCCCCCTTTGTGCCCCGAGCCGTGTTCGCTCTGACCCGACTCACAGATGCCCGCTGCTTTGTACAGCCAAACGACTTTATCCCCGAGCGCTGGACCACGCGGCCAGACTTGATCCTCGACAAGTCTGTATTTATACCATTTAACATAGGTACGGCTCGATCCCCCTCTTCAAAGGCTAGATTCACTCCCATCGGCTAACACAAAGCGAAAAAAAGGCACGAGTGCGTGTGTTGGCAAAAGACTGGCGCTCATGGAGATTCGCCGCGTGGTAGCCGAACTTTTCTGGCGGTACGATGTTGGCATCGCGCCCGGCCACACAAAGGAGGCCTTTCTAGAGGGGAAGCAGGACACGTTTACGCTGATGTCGCCTCCGCTGCCGCTCGTCTTCACCCCGCGAAGCCGGTGAGGGAAAAAGGACTACACCAGAGTCCAGACCCCTCGTGGGTTTACCGCACTGCTTGTATGTATCCCAGTGTACGAGGTCCTGTTCTTAGCATGCTCCCAAAGCGGGCTTATAAGCAACATGTCGACCTGTCTTTCCCCTTCTCTCCCAACGGCTTCCACCGGCGTCAAACACCATCCCACGCCAAATATCTCACGTAAAGTAAACGACATTATAGCTCTGCCAGGCCCCAATCCTACTTCCATGGCTTTGTACCCCGTCCCCGAGGCGTCTGACGACGTCGTGCCATCGGGAAACGGCGAAATTGGTAGGCAACATGGTGAAGGTCCTAGTTATCGCCCAGGGCGTCTCGTCAGCCATACCGGGAGAAACATGCACTCTTGCCACCGGCAGAGGGATACAAGACTGCAGAGGACACTGCAACATCACGGACTGCAACACGCTATCAGATCCAGTATGCATCGACTCGCAATATTGTTTGAGGGCTTCCTATATCATGCCTCTCCGACATAAACGACAGACAATTTGCCATCTGTGATAAGAATATCCCATGTACCGTATCCCATAATTTCGCAAAAAGAGGTATCGTGTTATACAATGCTGTTACAAGGCATCACTGCCGAGAGTCATCCTGCTCAACTCCAAATAATCCCGCTTTTAATCATCTCGTACACACTTTGACCACTTTGACCGCCCAACGATAATCCACCAGCGTAAACCCTGCCTTTAATGCTGGCTCCACTGGATGGTATTGAGATCGATACCCTCCTGTACCAACTCCCAAAGGGGACTCAACTCTCGCAAAAAGCTGACTCGCTCTTGAACAGCCTTGAGAACATAGTCAATTTCTGCCTCGGTCGTGAAGCGACCAATACCAAATCGAATGCTGCTATGCGCACTTTCGTCGCTGTTGCCAAGGGCTCGGAGGACGTAGCTAGGTTCGAGGGACGCCGAAGTGCACGCACTGCCTGAAGACAGGGCAATGTCCTTCAGAGCCATGAGGAGAGACTCGCCCTCGACATAGGCAAAGGAGACGTTGACACAGCCAGGGTAAAAGGCATTTTCGTCGCCGTTCTGTTGGGTGTGTTCCAAGGAAAGCAGACCATGGAGAAGTCGGTCGGATAAAGTCTTGATTCGTTTCGAATCATACTATAAAAAGCATCAGCTTTACTTGCTCATCCGTCTTGAGCGTGTGGATCGGTATGATTTTGAGAGTACGAAAAAAAAGAGAAAACGCAAATCAGACAGGGTGCTTCACTCAACACAAACGGCCTTGTCACGGGCCATTCAGAAAGCCATGCATGTAGAGCAGATCATCATATAAAGCGCATAGGGAGAGGAGGGCAAGGTAGGAAAGGAAAGTTGTATAAAAAAAAAACTTACCGCCATCTCTTCTTTGGCGATGCGGCAAGCCTCGCCAAAGCCGACAACCAGTGGCGGTGCGAGGGTGCCGCTTCGGAGACCACGCTCCTGGCCACCACCAGTGATGAGAGGGTCCAATCTGACCCTTGGCCTTCTTCGGACGTAGCAAGCTCCAATGCCCTTGGGCCCGTAAATTTTATGTGACGAAATCGACATCAGGTCAATGTTCATAGCATTGACGTCTAGAGGAATCTTTCCCACGGCCTGGGCGGCATCAGTGTGGAAAAAGACCTTCTTGGAACGGCAGAGCTTGCCAATCTCTTCTATGGGCTGGATAACGCCAATCTCGTTGTTGACAGCCATGATACTGACAAGGGCGGTTTCGGGCTTCATAGCGGCCTCGAGGTCGTCCATTTTGATCAGTCCGTTGTTCTGGACGGGCAGGTAAGTGATTTCAAAGCCCTCGTCCTGCAAGTGCCTGCAACTATCCAGGACGCACTTGTGCTCTGTCTGTGTTGTGATGATATGATTCTTTTTGCCAGAGCGACCAAAGAATCTGGCAACGCCCTTGATGCTCATGTTATTACTCTCGGTGGCGCCCGAAGTGAAAATAATTTCCTTGGGGTCAGCGCCGATGAGCGAAGCGATGTGCTCACGAGCAGCCTCAACAGCCTTCTCACTCTCCCAGCCGTAGGCGTGCGTCCGGGAATGGGGATTCCCGTAGACGCCGACATAGAAGGGAATCATGGCGTCGAGGACGCGGGGATCAACTGGCGTGGTTGCCTGCATATCCAAGTAGATTGGTCGTTGTCCTTCTTCCATGACAGCAGCTTGCTTTAGAACCTCTGCAAGGCAAAAAATTGTTAGTCTATCAAATTGCGCGCCTAGGAGATGGCGAACGAGGCCACATCAGGGGCGCACATACCAGCCATAGGGCTGACCTTGGCATCCGCAGGAGCGCCCATGGGCGGAGGGGGAATGTCGACGAAGTCCTTTTTATCCAGCTTGATGGCGGTTTCGACGCGGGCCTGGTCCTGCTTGGACTCGGTCACATATCCCCGTCTGGCAGGCGTCGTTCTCGCGGCCACCAGGGCAGCACGAGGCAGAGCTCGCAACGGGGCGGTAGCTGTAGCCTTGCGGCTCGCCGACCGTAGCGCGCAAGATGCTATACTGGACATGATTGCGATGAATGTGTTGTGTGCAGTGGCATGGGCGAGACAGGAAGCCAAAGCCCGACGAGCGGAGAGGAGAGGCGAGAGTATTTCAGGTGCAGCCCGTCCAAATCTCCATCCAGAAATTTGTCATGGCAGAGCTTCGGCTCGGGTACTCGGTGATAAGCATCCTCAGGGGGGCTCTGATTGGTCAAAATTGACCGGGGGCAGGGCGGCCACCTGCAAAAATGTGCAAAAAGCCGCCCCATGGCGTCGACGGCTTGACCAAAGAGTGCAGAGATGAATGGCGAAAAATAATGGGGATACAGCACCAAGGACTCGGTAGTATTATGAGGGGAAAGACTGTGACGTCGGCGATCCATGTGCAGCAACGATAAAACTATGCATGGTGCATCAGAAGCAAATATTTGGGAAGAGGCAAAAGGCGGTGCAACGATGGACTGGCCGTCGAGCGAGACACGCGAGACACATGATTGAAGTCACTCAGTATGCGCACTGTGAAGGTCAAGCCAACATGGTGATGACCGACGAGCACAAAACCCGCGGCTTCTACTCTGTAGTCTGTACATCCGGGAGCAAACTCGGGTTCCGGCAAGATAAATTGAATCTTGGGACGGCTACACTCCCCACGCACACTCTGCGAGTCCCAGGTGCTCCGTGTTAGAGGGACACAGAACCGGCCGGAGGGGCTTGGAGACCGACACCTAGCGGCAGGGCGGGCATGTTGATGCACCTCGGGCGCAACATGACATTTGGATCTCTGGTCAGCATCAGTGTGTTGGACGGTTGACCGCTGCTGAGCTAGAGCTGCAGGGGACATCTGTAACTGAAGCGACATTGATGGATGGATGATCGCCTGGCTGCTGATGCCTCCCCGCCAGACTCCTTCCGCGTTCCAACACGGAGTGTTTCTCCGCACGCACAACGCAAGCAGCCAAGTGCAGCTGACTGGCAGCTCCCTGCGCCACAACCACCGGCACAGCCACCGCAAAGTCGTCACCAAGTCATGGTCCTGCCCTGCTCTGGCCTGGCTGCGCCGACAGACGTCAATGTTCTTTAATTCCTCTTCAAAGCCAACGCGCCCGTCGTCTTCCCGGCTCCCGCCATAGAGCGCGCCTGCGACTTCTTGTCGTGGTTTACCATCCCCGTATCGAGCATAGGGTTCGCATTGTTCCATCATGAGTTTCAAGGGCTTTTCCAAGAGCCTTACTCGGGTACGTTTCTGCTGAGAGGTCTCGTCAGCAATGCTGCCCCTCATCCATCTCCATCTCGGCCCCTCCAGCCAAGAACATCATCATGTCAGCCCGAGGAGGCCAAAGTCCATCACCCACGCCGTCATGGGCTGTTTTTTTGCTGACGGGTATCTCTCAATGTACAGGCGCCTCAACAATTCAAACACAAGTTCAATATTGGCGAACACACCAAAGATGCCGTCTACATCGACGCCGAACGCCGTTTCCAAGAGCTCGAGACGGAGACCAAGAAGCTCCACGATGAGTCAAAAAAATACTTCGAAGCCATCAACGGCATGCTAAACCACCAGATCGAATTCAGCAAAGCCATGACGGAAATCTACAAGCCCATTTCCGGCCGCATGTCAGACCCCGACAGCATCAAACCCGAGGGAAATCCAGAAGGAATCCGCGCTTGCGAGGAGTACGAGGCCATTGTCAAAGAGTTGCAGGAGACACTTGCTCCGGAACTGGAAATGATTGAGACTAGGGTCATCCGACCAGCTACCGAACTGCTAGACGTCATCAAAGTCATTCGAAAGACAGCGGTGAAGCGAGAACACAAGAAACTGGACTACGACCGGCATCGCGCCGCCCTCAAGAAGTTGCAGGACAAGAAGGAGCGCAGCCCAAAGGATGAGAAGGCCTTGTGGAAAGCAGAAGGCGATTGCGAGCAAGCGACGCAAGACTACGAATACTTCAATGACCTTCTCAAGGATGAATTGCCAAAGCTCTTCACCCTGGAACAAGAGTTCATTCAGCCACTGTTCCAATCCTTCTACTACATGCAGCTCAACATATTCTACACACTTCATGAGCGAATGCAGCGCTGTGATATTGGCTACTTTGACCTGACCCGCGAAATCGAGGAGGCGTTTGAGGAAAAGCGTGGAGACATCCAAGAACAAGCCGAGGCCTTGTCAATCTGCCGATTCAAAACCACTGGACGTCCCCGGCCCATTAGATACGGAGCCCGCCCAGCTCTCGAAGGCGGCAAGCAACCAGGTCTGCTGACAGCTGGGCCTTCCACCTCAAGCGGTGGTACCAGCCCCAAGATTAGTGCCTCCGGCCGACCTGCCAGCGATTCCGAAGCCGCACCTCCGCCATATTCCCCCGGAAACAAGACTGCCTTGTCAACGATCGCGGCGGCCAAGGCAAAGCCTCCACCACCTAAACCCAAGCCAAAGCGCTTAACAGCTGCACCTGCGGCAGAGACCGTGACAGCCATGTACGATTATTCGGCTCAAGCGGAGGGGGATTTGAGTTTCCGAGCTGGTGATGTTATTGAGATTATGTCCAGGACACAGAATGAGAATGAGTGGTGGACGGGGCGTCTTAATGGAAAGGAGGGACAGTTCCCTGGTAAGCTAAGCTGTAACATGATCCTCCTTCTTTTTGCGCATCTTCTAACCTCGACGGTGGAATGTTTAGGCAACTATGTCCAGCTCGGCTAATTTCGCGTACTCACCTTCATGTTGCGGGTATTCTACAGGCTGTGGCTTCTTCGTTGGTTATCGGCCCTTGGGTCAAAGAAGATTTCGGTGCATGGTGTATAGACTGGGGCAGGTCCATAGGGTGCTGGAGTAATCGAAAAGGGGGGGAATAATAAAAATTACCACTTGGATTACCAATTCTTGAGGGCTGAACAGAGCCAAGGAGTCGCAATATAATGGTGTCGGGCTTTATCGCCATCGCATTGTCACAGCCACCCAAAAAAAAAACCACGAGAAGCTTGATTTCTGTCCATCTAAAAATTTGGGTATAGGTGTATGAGACTGCTGCAAGCAAGCACCCATCGCCGGTGTCTGGAGAGCGACACTCGAATAAAGAAAGCCGAAGACCCCATTGGGACAAAGGTTTGATGGACGGCAAGCTGGTTTCTCGACACCCGGTGACGCCTGGTAATGTTCATGCTCAGTCAGATATCCTAAACGGACATCTAGAGGTCAATGGCACATGGCTTCTGGTAGATCACCAGCCACGTGGGCCGATCTCTCCGGGCCCAAGATACGACCAGTTGAGATGGATATTGCGGCACACATGCCAAAAGTTGCAGTTTCCCTGAATTCTCGGCAACAGCTCCCGACGCGTCACGGTCAAAATTGCACAGAGCAAATTGAATCCACCAGCTCGCGACGCTGGGAAAGTGCGCTGGGAAAGTGGTGACGTCACTCTGAAGGTGCCCCACCAACCCACCAACCCACCAACTCACTTCTAGGTCACTTGGTTCACTTCTCCTGCCGAACGACGGTTTTTCGTGCACCCTGCGAGGAGACAATGACATCACAGGCAGCTACACCATTGGTTCTGTTCTATTCGGTTCTACATAACCAGAAGGGGCATTTCATCGGTCTAATGGGGCCTTCCTTGGTGGAGCCTGTTTGCTACTGCTCGAAAGTGGGATTGCGCTTGCTTTCACAAACCTAGCTTGTTACCGGTCGTGTCTATAAGAACCAGCTCCAACCGCATCGTGAATTCAGATCTGTTTTCATTTTACTCCATCCACAAAGCTTTTACTCTTCACTGCTTCTTTGCCCAAAAGATCTTGAATCCTTCAACTTGTGTCTTACCTCGTCTTCATCAACTCTTGTCAACTCACTATCATCAACATGTCTGACAAGGCACCTTCCACCCTCCAGTCCTACGTGGACTCTGCTACCGGAGCTGTCCAGAGTGCTCTTGGAAGCCTGACTGGAAACACAGGCGACCAGGCCAAGGGCGACGCCAAGAAAGATGACGCCAAAGTTGAGCATGAAGCTTCACAGGCATCTGTCAAGGTCCCTGGAGCCACTGTGTCCAGTGACGGAGGCGTCAGCAAGGACCACCCTGATCGTGCCGCAGGCAACTGGAATCAGACCGTTGGCTCGGCCAAGGAGGCTGTTGGTGGCTTGGTTGGCAGCGAGGTAAGTTGACGCAGATAGGGTGGCCACATGTGTTGTTGAGCTTGCGTGACGACTAACGACGTCGTCCAGAATTTGAAGTCCGCCGGTCGTGAACAGAACCTCGAGGGTCAACAACAGGAGGCCAAAGGCCAGCTCAACGACTTGGGCTCTGGCATGGCCGCTCGTGCTCAGGGTACCGTCGGAGGCGCCATTTCTAACATCACTGGTGACAAGGAGGGGCAGGCTCATTACGACCAGATGCGAGCTGACGGCAAGGCTCAACAGCGAGGCGTGGAGCACGATCTCGAGAAGCGGGCCGAGGCCGAGCAAAAGAAGGAATGAGGAATGTGAGCTTGGCTTTTGCCAGGCGAGGTGGCATGACGGTGGTGGAATTGATACCCTACAGAGACCATGATTGGTCCGATAGTTTACTAATACAGTTTTTGCTAAATGACTTTCCCTCGTCATTGATCATGGCTCATGAGATGAACTTTCTGAATCAATCAAAGCCAATGTATGCCCGCATATTCGCCGAGAGTTCGTCAATGACCACCCATATGCATGTATAGTTCAACTTACAACACCTTAAGTCAGGTTCTGTCTAGTTTTTCAGAGGCTCCAAAACCACATCAGCTTTCTCGGGCGTGGCTTTCTCCTTTGATGTGCCAGCCATCCACGATGTAATAAAGATGGCACCTGCAAGGACCACTCCCAGAACGAACGGGTACCCGATCCACGATGTCAATGCCACGTCGAATAACGCACCCATGGCTACAGTACAACACAAAAAGCCAATGATTTCCCCGAGAGCAAGTATGCCGAAAAGCAGTCCAGTACTCTTCTCGCCAAGGGCCGAAACCATCATGGATCTACAGAGTGTCGGGATACCAGAGCCAAGCGCAGAAAGCACAACGCCAGCAATAATGAATCCTTGGCTGAGGACCAAGACGAAAAATGCCGAGCCTGCCAAAAAGCACAATGCACTTGCTCTCAAAAAGATGCCGTCGCGATATCGGTGAGAATATGTTGTTTTCTTGTTGCAAATATACGCAGCTCCGGGGAGGAGAAGGAGGAGAGTAACCAGGGTGATCATGCTGCGGAGGGAGACTAGGAGAGCTGATTTAGACAGTTGCCAATGGAACTGTACCGGCATAAACCGGAATAGTATTCCAGATAGGGTTGCTGCCATTGGCAACGAGAGCACCGCACCAGGGACCAGGAAGACTGCTGGACGGCTGAATATCGCGAAAATGGTTCGTTTGGTGGTTACCGGCGAGCCACCGTCAAGATCCTCTTTGACGCCGTCTGTCTTGCGACAAAGAGTCTCGGGACTCAATAGGGCGAGGAGAATACCGCCGACGGCAACGAGAGCGAGAGAAACGTACAGCAGAAGCCATATAGACGATTCGATCAGACGCGCGGACAGGAACGGCCCAGCGAGCTCGGCGGCAAGAACCGCTCCAACCACCCATTGAAACCACGAAGCCCTGCCCCAAGTCAGCCGGTGAATGCGGAACACGATGCTGCGCAGCTTTCTTACCTCTGCGACCTGGGAGCCACGTCGGCAACCATGGTGAAGACGATTGCTTCGGCCATTCTCTGCCCTCCGCCGAGGAGGAAGAAGACGCCCATAGCCCACATGGCTTCGAGCGGCATCGCCTCCCACCTCCAGCAGACGAGCATTGCGTACCCCTGGGAGAGGAAGAGGCTGAGGAGGCTTGCCGCGAGGACAGGCACGCGCCCGACTCGATCGGCGAGGATTCCGAGCGGAAACGCAACCAGCGCGCCTGAAGCAAAACCTATTAGCGAGACCAGTACTATTTCAACCACACGTGGAGGTGAATCCCTGGGAGGGAGAGATACATACTTCCAATGGTTACAGAGACTGAGATGCCAATGTTGATCCGGTTCAAGATCCTCTGCACCGCGGCATCCCTACACTTCTCCTCGGGCAATAGCTCCTGCGTCACGAGGCCGAAGTGCTTCTTACACGCGATGTCCTGCATCAGCTTCAGGCTGGGCAGGTCGCTCAGCGACAGGCCGAGCTGCGTGACGAAGAGCGTGACGCAGAGGAACGGAAGAAGGTAGGCTACCGGGATCGTGGGGCGCATTTTTGAAAAGTTCTTTCAGGCCGTTGGCATGCTCGGCAGATACTCTCTACTTTCGGTCAGACTAGGACAATGCAGGACACGGTTGTACGGTTGGAATCATCAAGGGGTAGCAAACTTGCGGTTTACACGCCCAACTGTCGTCAGTTGGCAGTCACACACGGCACTCTAGCGAGGTGCGACGTCGAATCTTGCGTATTGGTCGAGTTCGTCCAGCGATGCAGGGGAATACTCGATGATGTGTTTCTAGAGGGAACCCAGCCGGAGAAATGGTGTTGATGGGCATTCAACGAGCGATGCAGAACGTGTTTGCAGAGTGTCAACGGACCGAGTTCACTGGTATTGTCGCATCATTGGCAAGTGCAGCAATAGGTATTTGCCCGCGTCAATTGCCATTCAGCACGGCCAAATAGTTTTATACTACATACATTAGCTATTCATCGTGGGCTTTTTTTTTCTTGCCCAAGAGCAAGGCCACTTGGTGGTCAAGCCGCGCTCCTCATCTCCTTTGCCCTTCAGCTACAAGCCCTATGGCGACGAAAAACTTTTCAGATGCCAATGGCAGGATTACAATTTACCGTTGCGGCTCACAGCCATGCCGTGACAAGATGTATGTACTACTTGTCGTCGTTGACGGTCTCCAGGCAATTCGCAGCCGCGGTTGCGCGTGGGCTACCCTATTCACCAAGGTCCCATCTCGGCCACACATGATTCGTTCGTGTACGCTGCCATGGTCCTTGTTTGGAGAAGACGTTTGAGAATACAATGTCTCGAACCAAACCACGTAGAGAGCATACGACTAAACAGCCAATCGAAGAGATTTTAGAATTCCTGGCCGTTGGTTCGCCCGCGCAATGGATGCCGGTGCATGTTTTTTAAGGTTTACTTCTGCCCACTTAGGCAGACCACGGACGATGCATCGGCCCACGTGGACGAGAGGCCAAGAACGGTAGCAAAGGTGGTTGGGAGCTAAAAACCCATGAAACAGGTCCGTGTATGATAATAGTACTATTGTATTGCGGCTGTACTGACGTGTTGATTATATACAACGGCTGTTATATGGCACCAAGGTGGGTATCGAGCGCTTGTTTTTGCCTGTAAAGATGTCAATACGTGGTGGGTACGGATGTATGTATGTACATTCATATGCAGGGAGGACGATGGCAGAGGCCGCAGGGAGACAAGCCGGGGTTCGTTTCGGTCTGAATACTTCTGCATGTCGTCTTGATGTTCCGTGCAACTGTCGAGATGTATGTACCCATCATCAGGTGGGTGGCAAGACTTTCTAGAGCATGAATCGAAGCCAAACTGTTTGGTATGCCGGGTCAACCACCTGTTTCAAAATGCACCATGACCGGCTGCACATGATACCGGCTTGAACATCATGTTTCCTCGATGGTGGGCACTTTGCTGTAATGCATCCTCTGTATTGGATGCTGCTCTTGTGCAAGTTCATGCGTCGCAAGGAGCCTGCGTAGCCGAAACAGACTGCTTGCCAGGATACGCTGCAAAACATCATGGGTTGAAATGCCTGCCATCCTGACTGGCAGAGAGGGCCGAAGCCGCATAATACTCGTGTTCCAATCGCGCACCTGCAATATCCTGTCAAAACGAAATTGGGTACGGAGCAATACATCATACATACATACTCCGTACATACTACACCAGCTTGCCTGGTGGCATCTGAGACAGTGTAGACCTGGCCAAGCAATGATTTGTCCCGGCCCGATCCGGCAAAATTAACTGTCTCTCCCTTCATGTGTACCGAGTAGACGCACGTAATAATGCCAATTGGGCCATGTTGCCGAAAACAAATACATAGTAATCCCGCCAAGGCAGTGCAAGGTGTCATCCTCGTCATAAACACCAAAGAACTCATTGAACCCCGGAGCATATCGGACGGCCCCCAACTGCCAAGTGTTACGAACATATACTACCACCATCTGCCTAAGCTGACACGGGCTCATGCTCCAAATGCTCCAAATCCGCCCTTATGTTTGTGCTGACACACTGGCCGCCACACACTCACAGGATTTGTGTGCATGTATGTAGTAGTACTCCCACTCCGTATGTCTGGCGAGATCCTTGACCAGCCTGACATGAAAACAACAACGTGTCGAGCTCGTCTCCAGACCAGACCAGGAGCGGGACCAAGCGAGGCGGTGGATCTAGTCAATCCATCTGTTCAGACGTCTCTCTCCCCAGTCAGCCGATCTCTGGTGCGGAATGAAAGATGACTGCTGCTGTGGCTTATCCGCGGACCGTGTTTCACTTTGCGGCCCTGGTCCACAGAGCCTTTACCCTGTGAGAAAGAAAGAGCAAAAAAGAAAAAAGAGAAGAAAAGGAAAAGAAAACGAAAAAAAGAAGACAAGGAAAAAAAATTAATTGAGCAAACGTGTTTGTTTGTCTTTCGTGATTTCTCATTGCCCAAAACGCATCACTCCCAGAACAAGACATCCCTCATATCCCTTTAAAGCAGCACTCCGCGTCCAACAAACACCGGAACTAGCACTCACGACGGGCGTCGGCATCGGCGGTCTGCATCACCCTACGTTTGGCAGTACCTGTGGCGTTTCACAGAAACGGCAGCCTTTTCGCCCTGCCTTCGGGAAGATTTCGCCTTGCTGATGGGCAACTGACGCGGCAGCCAGTGTACTCCGTCATACAGCGTCGAAAAGTTGGTGCTGCGACGACTGTTGGTAAGCCCGACACGTCTCACTTGTCGAACACCATTGTCGTACAGCGTCGAATCCTTCAAGTCAATCTGACCTGGCTGCCTGAGTCGAGCCGACGCTATCTGGAAAACAGCACAGCCCGTCACAGGTAGTAGTACCCCGGCCGAAGACGCATACCTAGACAGATGTACTCCGTATTAGACCAAAAATAACCATGACTGTGACGCAAATTTTGGGCGCGGTTAGTCATATTGCAAACTGGAGCCTGGCCGATATGATCCGTGAAGGAGCGGAGGGAGTTGTCCACCCGGCTTCTACTACGCCATGCTATTGACAGTATAAGTCGGCCATCCGAGCACCGACGCTGATCTCAAAGGCCTGGCGTCAGCTTCAGCGGCACTAGGGCACCGCTTTCAAACTCCTCCCGCTGGTGCGTTCGGCACTATGACCGGATTCATCTTCAATGTTCTGCCGTCAGCGTAAGCTCCGTGGGCTGCTGCCTCAACTAACGTGCGTAACTCTTGGGCCTGATTGCGACAATCAAGCCCTTTTTGAGCATCACGAATATCCGCACAGACTGCCCTATGAGCCCGGCGAGTAGACAGAGCAATCAGTCTGCCGAAGGTGCAACAAGATCGCCCTTTGTTGACCCGCGTTTGTTAGCACTCTGCTTACTGCTGGATTCTAATCCTAATCAGGTTCGAGCCATGCGGACTGTCCCGTGTCCTTGACGGACAGCAGTGCGGAATCATGTACTACAGCCTCTTCCCTCATGGTCAGAAGCGCCACAGCACCTAGCCCAAGCTGCACTGCGATCCTGCAACAACGTGGTGGTCGCAAACTCACCCTCCAGTTCTTGCCGGACTCGTTTCAGGATTGACGAGGTGGTTGGCCATCGTACTTCCTTCCCCTTCTCTAACCACCCAATGACGAAAAATCAAATAATCCTTGTTGCCTCTTCGATGGCAGCTGATTTCTCCTTTCGGACGGCTAATGGATGGCCCAAGGGCCCAAGCAACTTTGAGACATCTGAACACACCTATTGCGCTAGTACATGTTGCTTTCCATTCAAAAAGAGGGCTGAAGGAGCCCCCAAGAGTTCGAGAGGGCGGAAAAGTCCAACTTCGGAAACAGCCAGTCCTTGTGCATTCTCGGGGCCAGATGTGAGGCTGCATGGGAAGTTGAGAACAAACGCTCCCACAGAACAAAACGACGGCCGGCTGTTGGTCATTGGGCGCGGGGAGAAATATACGTAGTCGGATGCCGCGTATGATAGCCGAGCTAGCAAGCATAGAACGTGCTTGGGGGCTGGTCGCCAAGTCGGAGGAGTTGAGAGGGCGCAATTGCGTCTGTGATAGTACTCTAATCTCCAGTCTTCTTGAGTAATAATACCTTGCATTGTCCGTTGAAGATCATGTCCTATCCGGACTGATGGGATGGGACAGGCTTCAAGTGACAGCAAGTGTGGATGGGGACGGACAGGATCCAGGGCTCACATGTTTGTTCGCAGCATTATTGATTGCCCGGCGCAATGCAATAACCCCAGACTGCGCATGGCAATGGAGACCTTTGGCCACAGCCACAGGCTTCGCCCCCAGTCGTCGACGAGTCGCCTGCAGAGTTGGCGCCCGTTATCTTGTCCTGGCAGCCGCAGACTCGAATGATCGGCCAGTCTGTGCAAAGACATTGCTCACCCACTCCGTTTGCAACAACCGTGGGGCGGCCAAGGCCACGGGTAGGCCACGACGGCCAACAAAGAGCAGGAATCATGGTGTCGAGCTGAGACATGGGGCACAGGAAATCGTACCAAGATCATGAATGATTTGGGGCAGTACGGAGTACCACGGGCCCAGTGAACTCTTGCGCTCCGTTGGCCGTCATACCGTGTAGTTGGCCAGCCATGTCTGTGATGCTGGTTTAATCAGCACCAGGTATTTTCTTTCCAATACACGTCACAAATGTCAATATTGATTGAAAGACAAGTTGGCTCGTAGCTTACCGCCACAAAAACCAGTTGTCGTGATAGCACCACTGAACAGAATCCAGCGCAAATTACTCCAAGTTCGGAAATATGACTGTGGGTTGCTCCACGGGCGTGCGACGTAGTCTTCATGGGCAAGAGGGGACATGCCTGGGATATCAGGACTAGTAGTACTCCTACTAGTATTGACTGCATGGGTAAACTCCGTAATTATGGCGTTGCTCGGCACGCGCCTACATATTAAGCTTGTCTGGGAAGCACCAGCCCTTTGCCTGTAGCTGGTAGTTACTTACTCCGCAGTCTAGAGGAAAACGAGAATTGCCCGTAAGACCACTTTGGAGCTGAAG